AAGAAGAAAAGATCGCCGATCCGTTGCGCGACTCGCGAGGTAAACGCGGTGTCATTGCGGAATTTCGCGATAAACATATGAAAAATATCGCTCGAGAAAGTTACACGGTATCTGCAAAACTTGCGCAACGTCAAACTGGTATCTGCGTGTGGTGTAATCGCGACTGAGTTGATATCGATGCAGTTGCGATGAAATCCACCGTCAAGTGCAAAAAGTGAACGCCCATTATCCGCAGACACGTTCCGGCTCTTCTCTCCCTCATTACGGTCGGGCCATAAAATTAATTCACGGCTGCGGAAGATTCACCTTCGAACGAACGAACAAACGAAAAACAGGAAAAAAGAAAGAAAGGAACGCACAAAGCGAAGCGCTTTGCTCTCATGCAAATGACTCCGCGAGTTTTGGCGGCCGCGGGCGGCGCCTGCAAATATTTTTGTTTCGTGCTTGCAGCCACGGCTCTATCTCTTTGTTTGATTATCCGCTATTTATCGAGTCTCTCCAAATGAGTTTTTCTCCTTTCATTTTTTTCTTCTCTCTCGACGAAAAAAACAGTTGGCTCCGGCGACAAAAGCCCCATCGCTTTCCCCGGCGAGCTCGCGCGCCCCATTGTTTCGTCGCGCGGCAATCAGGCTTCGCTTTGTGCATTCGTTATACGCCCGTTGTGTGTGTGTGTGTTTTTTTTCCACGATGGACTTTCGCACCGAAAAACCTTACTTGTCAATGTTCACGTTTCAAATTTCATCGCGACGAACGAGAAAGAAGGCAGCCTCCTCGTCAACACCCACCTCGACCATGTACCAAAAATGGCGGTGTCTCTCTCTCTCTCTCTCTCTCTCTCGACACAAAAGCCATTATTCGGAGAGCGCATTAAAAAGCGCTTTCGTTAAAGCGCCCGGAGAGAGAGAGAGAGAGAGAGAGAGAGGGAGGAAGGTGCATTAACACTCTGCCCCGCGCCGCGGGAGAGAAAAAAAAAAGAAAGGTATTGCGCGCAACAATCGCTCGCTTTCGGCCCGCGGCGATCCAACTCCGGAAATCCAATCCGTCCCTCCGACACGGCGGAAAGGTTGCGTCGAGGAATATGAGAGAGAAGCAGAGGAGAAGCGCTAAGAGACGATGATACGTATACGCGTCTCTCTCTTCCGCCCTTAATTTTCGAGCGTCTAGCTTTCTCTAGTTGCTCTGAAGATGAGGCTCTCTTTCTTTCTTTTTTCGCTCGCGTTGCGCTCGGTGAAATAATTGCGACGGCTTTTCTATTTTTCGCTTCTTTTATTTATTTTGCTTTCTCGTCTCGCACAAAACAAAACTGCTCGCTTTTGGGAGCCGCTAGGTGAGAGCTTTCTGACGGTCGAATAACACTCGAAGTATCCGAGAGTTCGATCGACGAACAAGTACCGTAGCATTCGTCGGATGACTGTGAATTCGCTCGAGCCCGAGGCTGTCGATAGCGCTAACGATTTTCGATACGCGGTCAATCTCCAAATTCGATACCCACGAACGCGCGCGAACTCTCGAAAAAAAGAAAACGAAGAGAAAAAGCACACAAAGAACGCACGGCCCATCGGCCGAGTTGGCGTGCGCGGCAACCGTACGCAGAGGACCAGGTTGTATTTCTTGCACGGGCCGTTTAACGCCGGATAGGTGGATTTAGCGTTGCTCCATTTTAACTGTCGCGCGCGCGGGCTCTCGAATATTCTCTCGCTCGCTTCCCACTCTTTTTCGCGAGATAAGAGCGGCGCGCCTAAGCCTCCCAGCCGTATCCCTGCCGTCCGCCCTCCCCTCCCGCGAAGAGGAAAAAAAAAGATTTACGTTCGCACGCTTTTCGGGAACGAGGGCGCTGAGAAGACTTATGATTTTTCTTTCCGTTGGACTTCTCGATTCCCATTTGCGAGCGAATATCGAGTTACAAAAGAAATCTGCTTTCTCGGAATTTGCGAGCGGATCGCCAATTCTGCACTTCGCCATTTGTCGGGTTGCAGTATCGAGGGCATCCGAAGCCGCTCCGCGCGAGTTGTCGGTCGTATTGTCCAAGTGCCTCCATATCACGGGCTTCCGTGACGTTGTCGGGCTTAGCCGCGTGTTTAGTTGACAGTCCGCGAAAGGGAATTCGAGAATGCGAATGACTTTTTTCTTTTTCGTACGCTTGGGAGCTTATCTCATCTGATTTGCAATTCGCGCGCGGGGCACACGCCGCGGTGATTTCGATTTCAGCGGAAAACAGACCGTTGAAAAGTTGCTTGAATCAATTTTATACCGGAGACGCGTGGGTTGCGCAGTTCGTTACTGGATCCCATTAAAAATGTTGCGCGTGATATTTCGCAAAATAGATAGAGAAATATACAGAAAGAAAAAATCAAAATTCGTATGCCTCATTGTAAGCCAAGGTGTCGTAAAGTTTGGGCTCGCCGTCGTAATAAAGTTGCCCGTGCACCTTCGTCATTTCCGCGTCTACATCGCGCAATTCTTCGAAGAGTTCGGGAAATTCGATTTCGTATTCCATGCAACGATTGAAAGCACTTTTGACGGACTTGATGGCCGGCTGCATAGTCAAAGTTCTCAAGTTTGCGACTGAATTTTCAGGGACCGTCCATGTTGTTGCCGAAAACGTCGGTCAAACTTCTCAGACGATCTTCTTGTATGGCAACTGTAACTTCGTCTATGACGTTAGAGCGTCCAAATTGGATAATTTTATGGCTGAAGCTTTAGCTTTTCGTTGTGTCATGAAGCAGTCAACTGCGTTAGCAATAAATTGTAGATCGAGATTCCCTTCTGCAAATTGTAATCTTTGAAAAGTTGGAACAAAAGCCGAGTGTATGGCCTCTTATAACATGAAAGTTATCGGTTCTATTGTTCGTTTTAAAAATGCATTGTACTCAAACAATAATCTAGACTTTCTGCATCGGAATGATTTCCACGCAGTAATTTTTGTGATTACTAATGCTAATTGTGATTTGTAAGATTTATTAACGAATCGTGTGAATGTTGACTAAACGGTGGTTCAAATAAATAAATACTTAATATAGGAAGAATTAGCTTTTGCTCCAAAGGATATTTTGGAAATGTAGAATTAGTAAGATAGCTTTTACAAAGAGAATGCAGAGTGGAAACTAGTTTCAATTCGTTATTGATTATATAATTTCAAGAATTACTATTAATGTATTTTTCACGTTTGGTTAACTTTTAAATTTGTTAGATTGTTTAAAGAATAAAATTATATTTGGTCATTTTACGAATTAAAAATAGGATATTATTCAACACATTCGATTTCACGTAAATAATTTACCCGTTTGGAGTTAATATACTTGAGTAGTTGTTAATTATATTAAAACATTAATAGCAGTTTCGTGCGTGATAAAAATAGGATAAAAATAAAACTGAGAAATGTAACATACTTTGTTGCGAACTAAAACACTAACAAGGGGAGACTTCAACAAACTTGGTGAGTGCATTTAAAAATGAAGTCCCATGGGCCTTTATTCCGGAGCTATCGGGTCTTATATCTATAAATCCTTCGATTCACAGTGGATTCGCCATTTGAACAGCTATCACGGTTTAAAGAATCGTAAATAATGCTATCACTTCCGCCTGTACGCGGTTGAAATAGTCCACAAACAAAGCTCGTGCGCGTACATCATTTTTCTTTCGAATTCACAAATACAAACTGCGTTTATCTATCGAAACCATAACAATGCATTTTGGCTGGAAACTACTCGCTCGTTTTCAAGCTACGCGAACGACGAGAATTCGCGTTTACAGAGCGCGAGCCCGCAGTATTTGAAAATCCTTTCGTCGTCAGGGCGAACTCAAATTAAAATGTGCCCGGGGCGGGGGGGGGGGGGGGGGGGGGAGTGCGTAGGGCTCGCTAGCCGACCGTACACCGTGGCAAGCCGGCTCCACGCTCGGTTTTCGTGCTCGGCAATCTGCTCTATTTTCTCATCTTGCTTCTCTGTTTGTCCAGCTCCCGATGAAAAAAGTTCGAGCTTCTTTTTCGGCTACACACGGTGCGTGCCATCGATAACCGCTCTCTCTCCCCCTCCCTCTCTCTCTCTCTCTCTCGCTCTCTCGCTCTTTCTCGCTCTCTCTCTCGCGGAGAAAAAAAATTACGAGCGGCACCCGGTGAACCTCCGAGCGTTCGCCCGAATTATTAGAATGGCCGCTTGCCCGAAAACGAAGTTCATTCCTTTTCATGCATTACCAACGATCGCCGATATGCTTTTCACAGCAATAACCGCTTCCCCGAACGACTACGCGAGCTCGTAACTTTTGCGTGATTTGCAAAATTACCCCAACAATTAGGAACCACGAGAAACGTTGCCAGTGATTTCCGATGGCAGCGTTATGTTCACCCGTTACTTTGTTTACAAGCGTACCGTACCATGCATCGAGGGCGCGGCTCGAAAGAGCTAACGTAAGAGAGGAAACGTGGCACTGTGTGGTGGGATGCAGCGGCTGAGCGGGGAAAAACCAGATTCGAGAGAGCGCCCACGCCAACGCGCTCGACCAGGCTGAATATATATTTTTTTTCTTTCTGAGAAGGCTTCGCGTACTATTTTATTATAAGCGTTGTATTTTTCGCTGAATTATTACACGCCGTTATCGGCGACTTAAAACTGTTTGTGTTGAGCGAACGTCATTCGAGTGGCAATAGAACGGCATATCGCAATGCACGACTCGTCAGGTCACCATTGATAACTTGTTCTTCAAAGGCCATTGTATCGCGCGAATGAGCGGTCGACCGTCCGAATGGTCGCGCGGCGGTGTGTGCGTTTCGTGATCGAGGACTAGATCTTTCGTAATCGCACCGCAATTAGACATACGCTAGCGATCCTTCGACCACTAAGAAGACGCGCTCGAGCTGCTTTCAACCCGCTCGTAACTCATTATGCGAACGGCCGGGCGCGCTATCGGGAGGCGATCGCGCGCGCGAAATCCACTCTCTCTCCAAACAGAAACGCGCGCCGAGAGGCCTCTCGCGCCGACGTCCCGCGCTTATCAATAATCAGAGCACGGCCGGGATAATATGCAAAGCGACGCCCGCGCCATTAATACTCAAGCCAGGCGTATCTGCTTTCAGGAGCGAGCTGTTTCTCGAGCCATATCTGCCCAACACCAGCGGCGGCGGCGGCGGCGGCGGTGGCGGCGGCAGCGGCAGCGGTGGCGTCGGCCAGCAGCAGCAACAGCAGCAAGTTGTCGTCAACTCACCCGATACGCCACCCCCCGAACCCCTCGTCGTCGTGCAACGACAGCTACATCATGTGCAGGTGGGTCACGCGCCGGCGATCGCTAATCAACCTCCCTCCGATGGGAAACCTCGTTATCTATTGGTTTTACCCGCGCGTAAGGGGTTGGCTTCGAACAGCTTGCGCGCAACGACGTTTGGGTTTACCCTAACGCTCGCTCTTGTGTTTTATTTTTTTTTTTGTTCATTGATTTTTATATTTCAGAAGGTAGTGTTTCGTGGTGTGTGCGTCAGAAAATCGTTGGAATGCGTATTCCTCGAAACGAAATCGTTAATTTTATTAGTGAAGGTAGTAATTATTTTCACATAGGACTACGGTGTTCTCGAATGGAAGCTCTTAGTTTTACATTATGGATTGAATGTTGACGAGTGATGAGGCTAATGGAGAATCTCTTTGCATTCCAGATCAAGTATTATTTATTTTTGTCCATAAGTATGACCATCAGGAAGCGAAGTTTTTAATGCTCCACTCTTCCCCTGATTCCAAATTTCAAACGTACATGTGTGTGCAAGCGGTTGGAGCAACTCGGTTTGCACCGTTTAACGGTTCTTATTGATGCTCAGTCTTTCGAAAAATAATCCAATATTCGTGGATTACCCAAGAAGGTCATTAAATGCAATCAACTTACCGAAATGCTCATCCTCTTCAAGAGTTAATCAGTATACACGGGAACCGCTGTACATCGGCAATTGATTAGGGCTTTATCGAAAGGTATCCAAGCTTGCATATCTCTCTCTCTCTCTCTCTCTCGAGCTTAATCCATAGAGCGTTCGAATAGGACACGGGCGCAGTGTCAGATAGCAGAGCAGCGACCTGATGGCAATTCACCCGCGACGGCGGGGGTACGGCATCATGAAACTTCGACTAACGGACTCCCGGCTCTGATCACTCGTCCGGAAGTCTGTCCAGCCCTTCGCTCGCGCGCGCATCCATCCCTCGCGCTGCCAATTTTCCACGCACGATACACCCTCGAAATTTTTAATTAATCGCCTCCTCCGCTCGGCCTTTTTCCGCGCAGGCGATCGATCACCGGCCGGGCAATTGTTAACTACAGCCTACATGGTTTATCCTGCCTATCGTCGTTCGATCGGATCGTCGAATAGTTGCCGAGAACAGAGACGTTTTGCGATGCGAATGCTATCCGACGGTGTACCCGCGGCTTCGCTCGGCACTCGCGAACTTTCGAATTATCGCGCAGCGGTGCATCGTAAAATCGTCGCAATTGGCGTTGCGAAGTCCACGCCAGTTGCAGTTGCGCCATCAATTAATAGATATGCGAGTACGTCGAACGCGGTCCCTCGTGAAAATCAGAGAAATGCCCCACGTGATCACGAATACATCGGCAAATGCACCACTCGCGCGCGCAAAGCAATCGCTTTTGTTTTAATTTTTGTTTCTCTCTCTCTCTCTCTTTCTCTCTCTCTCTCTCTCTCTCTCTCTCTCTCTCTCTCGACGCTGCCCACGTGACGAGGGACGGTAATTCAATTTGAAATGCAGACTGACACATTCGCTCGCTCGTAGTTTAGACTAAGGGGATTAAACGTTGGACGTGCACTGCCTGCTACACCGCGCGAGGTCACTAATTGCACAGCACCAGCACAGAGAGAGAGAGAGAGAGAGACCCTAATTGCTTGTCACGAAAACTTTGCATGCAGGCCATTTCCAGATTTTCTTTCTCTCGCCGCTGTGCCCTCGTGCGGGGAGCTCCCTCGTGTCTGTGGTTTTGCGATGTTGCGCGCGCGTGTGATTTTCTTTCGGACACTGATATCGATTTCATTGGGGTTGACTTGTTGGTCCGAGGGTAATTCGACGTTGTTCGTTTGATTGCATTGTGCGACAAATAAATTATCCGCAAATGGGCATCGTTGCAATTCGCTCTCGATTAACAGAACAAGCCACATCCATTAATTATTACAGGTAACATAAAGAAGCTCAACCGTACGACACAATGGTAATTTCACTTTGCAACCGTCACACGTGGCTGGAATTATTTGTGTACGATAGCCGCCGTAGTAATATTATTCACGATCAGCTAAGCTAAGCGATTCATAACGATAGCATTCCGATTACGAATAAAATGAACAGCTCGTGAAAAGATTATTCGCGAATCAATGCGTCAATTGGAAATCCTTCGGCAAATAGATATCAGGATTTGGCAATGAATGTGCGAAAGGTTCGTCGCATGATTGCCCGGGAGAGCAATCGATCTCTATCAATTGGGCGTTAAGGGACGATTCAGAAAGTCGAGGCACAATGGATATTTTCCAGACGGCACTTGTCGCAGAAGCCAGAGCTTTTGCATGAGCGATGGTGAAATGCCTGTTCGCGGTGTTATTTCACGGCGTTCGTCGTACGTTGGACGTGAAATATGCGTTCACTTCGGTAAACGTTTCTCGAGCGCTGCTGCATTGTCTGCAAAAATGCTTTCTCAAATCGGGAAAATCTTCGTCTTGGATTGCACGGATCGCGAACTTTCTTCTCCAGCTAGCAACAATTTTAATCAAAACATTTCCGAGAGTTGAGAAATTTTGTTGACGAGTGCGTTAGTTGTGTTATATCATCGCTATTAGAAACTACTAGAAATAAAACGGTGACTATGTATTTTCGGTAATTCAATGCAAAATAAATAATCGACAACCTGAATAAATTTTACTACTACTGAATCGAGTTCCAATCTAATTTGCTTAAAATCAATGAATTCTAGCGTTAGTGTCTATTTAGAAATAAGACAGGTATTTTCATTGATAATCGCATCCTCGTAAATAAGGCCGTAAAATCCCAAAAACGAACGTAGACACGTGTTTCCAACGGCTTCTCCCCTCAACGAAAAATTCAATAAACTTCAAGTAGAACGGTAGACGCCTTCTAATCTTTGCCAGCACATACGTATATATGGAAATTAAAGGCGATCTCTAAATCCTCAATTGGACCAAAAGGCAAATCCGTGCCTCTCCCCCCTGCAATTGTGACAATACACACTCTAATACCGCATTATATTCCCCGGAGGCTTTGCACCCAACCGGGAGTTATCTCAATTTGCAGGATGCCGTGGAAAGTGTATTATATGCGTTGCCAATGGAATGCCCGAAAAAAAAAAAAAAGAACGAGGCGACGGTCGTTAGCGTTGCTTTTACGCAACGAGGGCCAATTTTTTTTCTTTCCTTTCGAGTGTTACGTGGATATAAATGGGAGAGTTGGGCGAGATCTTTTATACGTGGAGTTATTTAATAGACGCGCGCGGATCTCGGTGCGCTTTTTGTCGAGTTGATGCGAAAAATCTTTTTCACATTTTTTTCTATGAGGGTATTCAAATGTTGGAAGTTAATTGTTGAGTATTTTCATGGTGTTTTTACTCTTTTGTACGTGCTTGAATAAAGCTTTTGCGTAAAGTATGTAATGAGATTTTAATATTCGAATGTTTGTTAGCTTTTCAAAGTCATACTAAGCTTATCGTATTTTATCACTGAATTCGATGATAATGAAAAATTAGAATCCAAAAAGTGTTAAAATAAGAAAATTCTTCAATACTTAGGTCTTTGTCTTCGTCAAAATAAAAGCCAAGTTTTTTTTTGTCTTCGCATTCAACGTATTTTCTTATTTTCATATATAATAATCAAATGAAGCGTTTTAAAACGTTTTAAACGTATTTAATTGCATGAAACATCAAGTACAATGTAATCGTAAATTTAATTTAAAATGCTAATGTTCAAAAACAATGTTATTGTATGCTTTATTATACGCAATAATCATGAACGATTGCAGAAAAACTTTAATCGGCAAAACAAAAACCGTCATTATCATTTAACCGGAGTCACCCGGAAAATTACAGTTTTCTTTTTTTCTAAAGCAATCGCACGAAAGATAGTGCCACGATCATTCAGATCCACCACGTTTATCCTTTAACGATTTCCAGAAAAAGCGCTTGGTCATTAGCCCGAAGATGCGAGATTTACGATTTCGTCTAATCGTCGCAAGATGCCAGCTGCACACCTAGTTAAGCAACGCGAATCTATGTCACATATTGCTCATCGCATCCGCTCGTAAATTCACATAACAGTGCCATGACAATTCGTTCGTTTGCGAAAGAAGAGAAGCGTCGAATTCTTTCCTCGAGAACAGTTTAGTTTTATTGCTACGGTTATGGTTGCGTAATGGGGCATGGCTGTGCGAGGAGAAGATTGAAGCGTTGAAGCAGGTTGATTTGAGGCACGGACACTCGGATGCAGCTTCGAGGTGAAAATCATGTGGAGAAGTTTATCGGAGTGCAGCCGCGAGCAGTCTTGAGCGCCTTCGCGTTGTTCACCCGCGATAAACGGCCAATTGGCGAGGCTTCAAGAGAAGCCATGATTTTTCACGGCGAGCAAGTGTCGCTGTAAAGGAGTCTGATCGTTAAAAGCGACCGAATTGCCCCCGCTGCGGACAAAACGAGCCGGGAATCAATCGTCTCGACGAAAAATTCTAGCCAAGCGTCCATCTCGCAAAAGCGTCAAGCGCAAATTTACAAGAGAGAATTCCCCATTTCGAACAATTGACTTTTCATCGCAGGCAGGCCGGCACGAGTATAATAACCATTTTTCTCAATGAGAGTCTGCCGCGGCGGCAAAAATCACAGATAAAGAGAACGCAGAACAATGGGCATATATCGTCGTCATTGTCGTATCTTCCAGTTTTATCCCTCTCGCCACTTGAGAAATCTCGATAATGGTCGGCGGCATATTCCCTCTCTCTCTCTCTCTCTCTCTCTCTCTCTCTCTCTCTTCTTTCCCCGTACTTTAATTAGATGGCGAAAAACATCGCAGACTGATTGCACTTTATGGAATACGTGGCGCTGCTCTCTCGCGGAGACTGCCAGGAAAAAGGTGGTTTGATAATTCGATACTGTATCTTTCGCTCGGCGACGGCGACGCTTTAATAAAAGAGGTACACCCTGGATATTATCGTTATTTAGATCCCTGGTGAGAGAAACCAATTGAATTCTTTCTTCGGGATGAACTTTATTTTCTTCTGTTTGTTAAATTGCAATCATTGTTGTTGATGATCGCGACCAGGGCATTATTTTCCTCGAAGCGCTTTTAAACTGAGAAACGCAAAGAGAACGCAACGATAAATGTTATTTGCATCGCGTAAAATCCTGTTTTTCTTATTTCAAGTAGATTCATAGGGGATCTTGTCTGAAAAGTAAGAGCAAGAGGTTCTTAATTTGAAGAAGGACGCGGAGTCGACGAAAAAATTGTTAAATTTCCAAGCGAGAAACACGATTTTGCTTTTTCTCCGGCAGAGCGAAGGTTCGTTATCGTCGGACAATGGCACAGGCACATCGGCGGACGGTTCGTCGGAGGACGGGTTGTCGGAGGAGGGTTGCTGCGACGACGACAGCAGCCACCTGCAAGGCCATCATCACAGCCACGCGAGCGAGGCAGCGTGCAGCATCACCCTGATCGAGCGGCTCATTCGCTCGCATCCGATCTGGTTTCTGCCTGGCATTCAACGCGCCGGCGCCTTTCACCTGCTGCAAGGCAAAGAGGAAGGGGTACGTTGTCCTTCGGGGAATTACGCCGAGTTCGGGGATGGATGGAGGATATCGCGCCTTTGTTTTCGCGCTAATTTCAACGGGCGTGTTTTCTTCGGGGAAATCGACGGAGACGAGGATCGCGATGTCCGCAAAGCGGTGGAATATCTGGCGAGCGCGCACGAGGCGTTTTCGTCTTTTCGAATCACACAGGTTCAGTCAACTCTCCGTCTGTCTCTCGGCGCGTCTGTAAAAATAGCCGCGTTATCGATTTATGCGCGCGTAAAAATAACTTTGCACCGACCAAACTCGTTCCGCGGCGCGGCTCCGCCGCGCCCGAATCGCCGCTGCACTTGAAAGTTCTTTTTGCCCGGCTCTGAATTGGCACGTCGAGAAGGCGTATATATCTGTGAATCAACGTTAAGACGTCCCGAGGCAACAATAACGCAGCTTGAATGGTACAATTACTCGGTTACGTCTACAATCTAAGAATGAGGCAGAGGAAAAGGAAGTGGTCGCGACGCGTAACTTTTCCAGCGTGAAAAGTATGTCAATGCCTCGTACTCGCGTATGCAACACAATGCAGTTTCTCTCGATTGACGTAACGACTGGTTAATGGGGTTTCACGCACGCTGTGTGCTCGCGCGCGCGCCTGCCAAGTGATGCATGCACTGTACCCTCGGGAGGGCCCTTCTTCACTACGCCGTTCAGATTTATAGCCAATAATAAATTCTGATTGCTTTTCTTACGTGTCAACGAGTGATTGGTGAATTGCGTTCGGGCGGTTTTTAACTTTCAGATTTATTATGAAATTCGTAGTTTTGCTGTTTATCATCGTGTCGATAATAACCAAGTTGCGTCACAGTGCATAAAGAAGTTATCAAAATAAGAAACATTGTCCGCGGATGGGATGCGATACAACGTAAAAACTATGCTTTCGAATTTTCTTAAAATTAGAAAAATCAAAAGCATATTTTCTTGAGTGAAAGTTTCTTAGTTTTTTATATCTTAAATTCTCTTATCTCCAACTCTTTTTTTATTTGTTTTGAAAAACCAGTTGCTACCGATCAAACAAAAAATTTCAACTTAAAATCAGATATTTTCACTTGTTCGTTCTTTAAATTGGAAAATTATCGATTAAGAATACAACGCGAATTAGAATTTGTTTGCAGTGTACTGTAGAATTTTCAAAATATTTCAAGCAAAACAGGATCCAGCCAAGTTGAACAAACTTTTCTTTTAGCAATCACTTCCACTCGAAAGCAGTCAGTCCAACAACGACAAATCAAAAAAAAAAAGAAGGACTTTGCACGCACCGAACAAAAGCGCAATGAAAAAAGCAACGTCGGACCGTCGGGAGTAATCAGGGCGCATCGCAGATAGACACATAGGAGGGCATTGTTTCGCCCATTGTTTGCGTTGGCCGTCGCCGACAATTACTACATACCTTCCATTTTTTTTTCTCATCCAAAAGAAAGAGAAAGACTTTCTTCTCTGTATCTCGGAAGAGAGGGGGCAGGTATAGGAGGTGTTTTTGTCGCGATGATGACGGTAGGAGGGAGGTCTGTTCCGCTGAAAGTTTACTCGGGGCGAGCTTTCATTTCTTGTTGCTCGTGCTGTGCGTGCTGACTTTCTTTTACTCGGACTCTGCGGGGGGGGGGGGGGGGCAAACTCGAGCGAACGCTCGGATAGTTCGCAGTTAATATTTATACGACCGCATGCACGCTATAAAGTCAATAGTATCATACGTGCGGTAAATAATTTATATAAACTAAGGGAAAACACAGAGAGAGAGGCGTTTCTTCAGCTTTATATTTATTTATAATGTAAATCATGGCTGGATGAGCAATTGGAATTAGAAAGAAGTCAGTTATTCCGAACTTGGACTCATCCGTTTCAAAAATAATAATTGAACTGACAAGAATCATACTTTCGCCTCCATAAAAGCTTCTCCGCACTTACAACTCCATAAAAGAAACAAGCCGCGCAAATGCAACTCGGCGTGCATATTCCCATGTCTAAAAATAAAAATGCATTATTCAGGCCAATGTCTGCTCTACCTACGTCGTTTCTAAACATAAGCCCGCTCTATCGATTCTCATCTTATTCTAAAAAAAAAAATAAAACAATATATGCGCCAAGGCCAGCGCCTTCCCCTTTAAAAATGCCTTTTACCTATTTACCACTAAAGCTCCCATCCAAGCGTGAAAATAGAAGAACAGGGGCACAGATGATCTTACGTCCTTTAATAAAACAGATAAAAATATCATGATTGCAGAATTTCGTAGTGAGACAATCAAGCCAGAGCGATACGATGGCGCTGTCCGTGAGATTACCAGCGGGTAAAGGACCGTACATCGAGCATTACCTCATCCAGGCGAACAAAGGAAAGTTGAGCTTGGAGACGAGCGAAAATAGGTTCGACAACATTCCCTCGCTCATCGCCCATTACTCCCAGTGCTGGTGAGTGAGACACACGGACGCAGTACGGCCGCGGATAGCGAGAGAGACAGAGAGCGAGCTTCAGCTGCAGTGCTCTCCTCGACCCTATAAGCGGCTCCCAGAATTTCACACAATCAGCCCGGAATAAATGGCCGCCGCCTCGCTTCTTCCTCCTTATCGTTGCAAGCGAACGTACAAATAACTTGTATTAATCGCGCGTACGCGAGTTCTTTTATAACGGAAGACAGCGCGCGGCGTATTTCTGCGGGTAATTAGAGCAGCGAGCTTTCAATTATGCCTAATTAAAACGGGTAAAACTAGTTCGCGGATAATGCCTACTATCCGCCTATCGATAAACTTGCGTCGATTAAAACGGCATTTTTCAAAACTAATTTCACGTCTTCGTTGAGCATGATAATTCATAGGATATTTTCCGTTGCTACGCGGGCGAGTAAATATTTCAAAGTTCATTTCCCTTGATTAAAATGGCATTTCACTGCGAGCAACAGTAGCGCGGCTAATCGAATTATTTCAGTAGAGAGTAAATCGTTTCTTTTAATAAAATTCGGCCCAGTCTAGTGAGCATTCTGAAAATTTTGCAATATAATTGAATAAAAGAGCTTATTAAGACATCTTCGTTGAATATTTAACAAATCTTTTTTTTTTTTTTCAATCTTTGGAAAAGAAAACAAAGCAAACGAATTCCTACAGAATCATCGACGATATCGCGTTTCACTCCAGAAGTAAAATGTGCGCACGGTCTCGCTGCGTCAATTGGCGCAACTCAAGGAGCGAGGCGATGAAGCTCGTTATATGATTTCACGTTATATGTATCTCTTGCCCCCTCTTTTCAAACAGCGACGAGTTGCCGGTGCAGCTGACACTGCCGCGGGCGATGCGAGAGGCCAAGAATAGGCAGCAGCTCTCGTCACTGGCCCTTCTCGGCCAAGAGTTCTGGAGGTATCCAATGGCTAACCCTAAGCAGCCACCCGAGAGCAACGCCTGCAGTAGTAGCAGCAACACCTCCAGTCTTGGCAGCTTTCATGCCGGTAATTATTTGCCGCCGAGTGCCTTTCTAAACCAGTTTTCGCGACGCTTTTTTCTCCGCTACCGTTTGGTATACTTTTAGAGGCGGTTTCTATCCGTTTACTAAACGCTCCTGACTTGTTGTTTCATTTCAACGTTGCAGGAAAATCGATATCCCGGTAAGCTCTAATTTTTTATTTTGTTTTTTCATCTCATACAGGAAACAATAACAATAACAACATCAATAACAATCTGAGCACGCCAGCCACTGAAAGTATTATACTCAATCTCACGCCGATCGCAATTAAAGATTCTCGTAAGCGTGCTCCTTTATTATTGAGCAATTTCCAAATTTTCCACCGCGGAAATTAAGCTTCGTCGTTCTCATTTCAGTAACTACGTCGCCGGCAAGCACGCTGACAACGTCGACGTTCACATCGTCGCTGCCTCGACAGTCACGTCCGACGCCACCGAACACGCTAAATCTGACGAGCTTTAACGAGCCACTGGAAGCCTCGCGTCGCGACAACAAACTGTCACCGAACGACAGGTTATCGCAGAGGCTGATTTCACCGAATCTCGTGCAGAATCTCGTCAGATCGCCTTCACCCGTTGCACACAATGTCGAGGCTAATGTACTCAGTCCGTCGTCGGTGTGCGAATCAGTCAAGAGCCCGTGTGGTGATTTCGTGCGAGGAAGTCAATTCACGTCGAGCAATACATCTATGACGTCGAATTTCCATCGGAACATTGCTACGGGTTTCAACGAGTTAGCGCAGATAAAGTCACCTGACGTCGTGCAGACACCGATGGGAAATGTGAAAAGTCCACCGCCACCGCCGCCCAGGTGGGCTAAACCTGGACAGCCGCAGCAGCAGCAGCAGCAACAGCAGCAGAGTAACATTACATTAACTACAACAGTTACATTCAATGTTAATCAGAGTGGAGATGTCAGCAATATGCAGGTAATTCTAATTTATTATTTATTAATTGCTTTAATTTCTTTTCGATAGTGATTATTACAATTCATATACTCTTTTTAGTCAACGCCATCGGACTCGAACATACCTTCACTCTTCAGTCCACAAAGTGCATCATCCAAATCATTAGGCTCGAAATCATCGTCAGCTCAATCCTCATCAGCAGCAACACCCATCCTCTCTACATCATCAAAACTCGGCAATAGAACTCCTCAAATTCTTTCGCCTGGTGGTGTCTCAAACACAGGAAAACCGTCTCGTCGAAAACGAGATAAAGACGCGCGTAAAAACTCTCAACACTATCAGGAATCCGACATTATGGAATCGTATTACAGAAGCTCGCCGGCCGACAAAATATCTGATTACGAGGACATTTGGAATACGACAGATCAATCGAATCCACCAACATGGTCGCCGAAAGACAAATTGATGACGAGGTGTACGATTGTGAAAAATGATCAGCAACTCGTCGCGCAAACAAACGAGAAACTTATTATACGGAACGATAGTAAGACTGCGAGCGAGAAGATGAGTTATAAGGAGATTACTAGTCCAGAGTTCACTAGCTTTAAACCGTTGCCCGAAGCTAAGAGTACCGAGACTACACCCTCACCCGAGGACATGTCCAGGGGCAAGCGGCCCGATCTACTGTCGAGAGTTTGTAAGTGATGGTTTCTCCCCTGATTAAGCGCTGATCGATCTGTAAAAGCATTTTGAAATTTAGTTACTATCCGGTTTTATATGGCTATTCAAGTATTAAAAATCTTATTGTAAAAAGTAGCTTGAAATATTTTACGACGGTTACACACGGAAATATGGGAGGTTAGATCAAAATTCAAAGAAATTGAAACATTTTAATTGTGCGAAGCATTTACGTAGTACTTGTTTATTATTTATTGAGAAAACAATTCGTTCAAGTAATTTTTATATATTTATTAAATATATTATATCCAATACATTATTTTTAATATGCTTATGGCGATTAAAAAAGGTTACAGGCATTACTCTTAAACTAATAAAAATTAAATTAGTAAGATGTGTCGATTGATAAAAATTTGTCCGTCAACAGGTAGTGCGAACTCACTGAACAGTCCAAACACTCAAACACCGCCTCGCAATAAATTAGGTCTTCATGTTCTCGCACGTTCCGAGAGCAACAGTCCCATGACACCTATGGAAACCAAACAAGGTTCACCATTCTACGCGGAGCCAGCCGATGCGATACTACGGCCAAGTCTCGCATTGGTAGCACGACGTCGACCAAAACCATTGAACACAGTAGCAAGTAAATTTCGGCACAGTGAACCAGGTTGGTTGCAAGCACAACTCAGTGGAAATTGTCATCTTGGCGTATTGCATCCCATCGATTGGGACGATTCGGAGGAAACCGAGGATAAGACACCGTTAATCTCGTCATCGGTCGACAATCTTGCCAAGAGGCTGAGTAGCGGCAAGGAGAAAAAATGTTTACCCTGCGCGGCCAAACCCGTACAGCCACCCAAGATCAAGCCCAAGATATTCAGCGACACTTCGTGGGCGGTCGACTCCAGCTGGGAATTTATAGGTGGGTTGAACGAAAGCCTCGATTGACGCGTTGCGTTTCTTTTTATTATCGATGAGCTGATTTCTTTTTTTTTCTTGATGCAGGCAACGACGCTGATGATTGCGAGCCTGATTACGACTGTGATGCGGACTATGAAGTTGAGAATGGACGGAAATTCCATGGAGAGGGGCGTGATAGATTCATCGTGCGCAATAATTTGACAGCTCATAATATTATTTTGCAAAGGTGACGCATGTTTTCCTTCTTTTCGTCGGTCAATATTTTGGTAAAAGAAGTTTGTATTCGCAAGAGAAAAACAATAATGATAAGGTTCGACGGTCCGACAAAAGAAATAACCGTAAGGGAATTCCCCAAGTTCTTTTGTGCCGGTTGAATACGCGCGCCTTTGGGGCAACATTCCTGAATAAGAAAAAACGCCCTTTTTCAGAGACATAAGTACCCATGGCCGAATGATTTCTATTCAAGAATTGAATACCGGGAACATGCAGCGTTCATATTAACGATGCGTAGAGCTTGAATTGAATAATCGTTTTTATTATGAAAATTCATTGGATCATGTTATTCATTTTCCGTCGTAAATACAACTTTCATAGTATCGCTACAAATTGTTTATACAGGATTTTTAAGGCGTTTTCATTATTTTGAAGAGCTCAAACATATTTTACCGCATAAGAAAAAGAGCAAGATTTTTTAGCCGCTCGTAGTAAGATTTACGACTTGTAATAAGCCTCGGACCAAAATACGCATAAATCATACTTTTATGCATAAAGCCGCCATAAAATGTTTATTTTAAATTACCGGCATTCTCGTAAAAATGGTCAACTCAATTTGGCTTCCTTACGACATTCGAGTTTCGCTTTGTCTATTTTCTATTGGCCAAGAAAGCGAAGTAATTAAACTGCAAGCTCGCAGAAAAATTAAAAGGCAACGAAACTAAAGCTCGCCGCGACGCTGTTTGCAGATATCCGGAGCTGCTGAAGTCAGCGCCAACCACAAACAGTCTTCACAGCGATCGTAACTCGTCGTACGATAACGTGGAAAGACGGTTGATCGGTCAATCGACCACGACAATGTCGACGACCACGATGAACACCAACGCAACGACCATCGAGCCAGCCGAAACGATATTGGACACGGACGTTGAAAGTAGCGACCAAGAGCGCGTCAAGCGCAGCCGTAGCTTCAAGGACCGACTCGATCCCCTTTTATGTGAGTTTTCTCATCCTTCTCATCTTTCTCTCTTCTTTGTACGGACGCACGCTTTGATCGGAGCTCCTATCAAAACAAGTCCGTTAGTCTTTGTTCATCGGATTATGTTTGGCAAGGGGGAATTTTTCTTTAATGCTTGATTCACTGATTAGCTTCTTCGTTTCTCTCTTCCGCGAAATTTCTACCATCATCATTTAGATTAATATTATTATTTCAATGCCAAAATGTATTTTATTATGTAATGAAAAAGTGAGCGGCAGCTTGCACTCGATCTTTAATTACTTATTTTTCTAATATCGATACTCGAGTTCCAGTTGACAATGAGTTTACTGTAATGTAATATTGCGATGCGGGATGCATTATTGTGCAATGCAAAGTATAATTCAATCTTACAAGTACATTCTAGCCTTTCTTTCTCTACTCGATTGTCTGTAACAACCTTCTTACTCAAGTTAATTTTGAATTTCAAAAGATGTGACGCGAATGAAGCGATCGCAAAAAAAAACACAAAATCAATATGCTTCACTGGAAAATAAGTCTTACTTTTGTGACTTCTTCGGCTTATCTTGTACATATAAATGCCTTGATGCGCTTTGTCATATCCACTCAGCGTATTGCTCAAATGTAGTGTGCACGTCGCCTGGTTATTCATGTAATAAAGATATTCACACCGACGTGAGCAAGAGACCTATCCGACAGATTAGATAAAAGAAAATTTGACATGTAACTTATCGGCGCATCTCAAAGCAAGCACATGCACCCACTGTTAGTTCTTTAAAGTCGGCGTTTGTTGCATCGTGATGTTTGATTTGAGGGTTATAAATTTAAAGATACTCACGGTAGTGAGCCGGCGTTGCCGTAGAGATTCAAAATGTTATTTTTGTCGACGGATTTATTTAGATCGATGAGAGCAGCGTTGCGTCGCTGCGCAACGCACGATATCAAAATCGAACTAATCAACCGCAATTTCGCGATAATTTGCATCGGAAATTTGCGCAAACAATAATCAGCATTCGCTAAAACTGAAATGCATTCGACATTACGTCATCGCAAAATACAGACGCCGAAATAATCCTTCGGCGATCCACACTCGAGCGCATAAATCGACTGATTGACGGGATCGCGACGATATCGTTTCCGGGCACTCGAACGCGCGCGCGCGCGAAAGAAAAAGAACCAAATCGAAGAGACGAGCCCAGAAGTGCTCTACATTGTCGTAAAGACACGCTTCCGTTGCGTGGGCATGTACTGATAAAACACCGAGCTAGACCCCCCCATCCCCCACTCTCGCTATTTGCCTTCGCCGGCAGTAGGTAGAGATCGCTATATAATTGCCGATAAGGTAGTAATAATAGATGAGATCGAATCGGATCGACGAGCGCGAAGACGAAAAAATATAAAAAGATAAAAAAGACAACGGCGAGCTCGAATTTGCGATTCGACGCGTGCGCGATGACTCGGCGATCCGCGCGAAGGTGTTCGGTCGAGTGGCTACGCAAGGCTTTGCTGTCGACGATAAGACTCTAAGCGATAGTGTAACACTTTTTTGTTCTCCTACCGTTTGTTCAGATGATTTAAGAAAGGAACGAAAGGTTTGGATATGCACGCGGAAGGAAGAGACGATTGCGATATACGCTCGAAATGGATTCCTCTTTCGTTGAAAATGTTGCCATTCGAATTTGCTTGATTATGAAATTGAATGTTTTGAACGATAGCCGATGGACGCTTGCGACAGCAAAGCTGTGAAATTCCCAATTTTCCGAATGAACTTTCATTACATTCTGTCTTGAATTGGCTGTAGCAAATTAAACCATACTAGATAAATTACAGCGAATAAAACAAGCGCTGAACTGTTTGCTCCCGAGAAAAACGAAGAAAACGATAGCCGCAAATCTCACGCCCAATCCACTCCGTTCGATAATAATCGAGCCTACAAACCTTAATAAACCTATCGCGACGGCGGCGCCATTCGCAAGGAAGAAAAAGAAGAGAGAGAATTGGTCGTAGCACTTTTATCACACAACGTGCACGTACATTGCCTTTTCTATTAATCCGAGATAAGCTCGTCGACGAACCGATGCTCGGACGTTGATAACGATGGCATGCTCGCGCGCCTGGCGAGTGGCTTTCCCCGAGAAAAACGCGCTACCCGTGCGGCCTAATCCACTTACCCTGTTTGCAATAATTGGAAAAATTGAAGCTTGACGGATCGACGTTGGAGAGTCGCGGCTGAGGTTAATCGATTTTCATTGCGATTCGCGAGTACAAAATAATCGATGGTTCCGACGGGTTGCCAGCCTAGGAGATCGGCTGTCGCTTTACCGGCCGATCTCGGAGAGCAATTCCCGCGTCGTTTGAATTATCGTCGTAAATTGACTTGTAATTTTCTTGCGAAATTTATCAATTTCATAGACTCGTTATATTCCTAGCAGGCGCATTACGTAAAGCCACATCGCTATCTGCTTTAAAAATACGATCGCGATTAGCATTCGATAATGAAATTGGCAAAAGGCCGAGGGAACGAGAAACGAAAGCGAAGCTGCGATCGTATCGCGGAATAATTGATTCCCAGCGCATCAACTGCGAGGATTTTTCCGGGCGATAAAGCGACAACCGTCACGCGCTGCACAAAGATCAGCGCAGCTATATCCCCCGCGCTGACAGCGTCGGACGCGAGCACGATAACTCGCGGAATCGCGAGCATAGAAGTGTCCTTGTCCCACATGTTTGCGTTGGATTGATTTCGCGCAGTGGCAGTTGGGCGACGAGCTCCTTTGTTTGGGCTTTGTCTCGCCGACGCCGCGCCCGCGAGCCGCCTCGTACGCAAACGAGCGCGACGTGTTTGTCAATAGAGAAAGAACGAGACTTCCGCTCGATCGAAATATCAACGAGCGACAGTGGCCGGTCGTCCGCAGCAGTGACAGCGTTTCGCTCGCAATTCGCTCGTTATCTTCTTGCGTGCCGCGCGCGCGACGAGATTTTCAGCGCGAACTTGATCTGCGCGCGTCCCGATTGGGTAAGCACATCCGCGACTTTTCCGCGCCAATAGTGCTTATCAATTTCCAACGTATCAGTGAAATGATGAAACAGCGAGGACGGCTTGCGTTAGCGTCGCCGGTTCGGGATGCACTTCCAGGTTCGCGAGGCGCCTGGAACCGGCGCTGGTCGCCGCGTCCTGACGGATCGGGCGCCAAAGCAAGCTCCCGAGAAAAGTAATCCCTCGGAGACTTGACGACCCGACAACGGCCTACTCCCATTGTGACGTTTCTTGCGAGCGGCTTCAATTTGACGAACAAGAGGAGAGAGCTTTATAACTACATTTACGAGTCTTTCGTCTGGACGCAGTCAAAGTGCTGCAGTTGAAGCGATTTCACGGGAACTTGCTCCCATGCCGCAGCGCCGCTCTCAATTTTCTCTCGATCGCGAAAGAACGGAGGAAAAAGACGAATTCTCGATTTGCCGTGCGATCGAAGGGAAAGTACTCTTGCTCTCGAAGTAAACGGCCGAGCGAACAAGAACGCAGATGCGGCTGCTTGTTCCCCAGTTGCGACGGCGCTCCTCGGCCAATACGGCAGACCAATCCAAGCGCGTCGATCGCGACAATTATCAATTGGAAACGCGCCAGCGGCCGGCGACGCGCAGATTGCGCGCGCGTCAATCAAGAAAATCGGCAGCTCACTCGGGTCTGTGCTTCGAAAAGACCAAGCCTGGCCGACGCTCGGGGAAGGCAAGCGCGCCGAGATGATGCAAACGCGAACGCTGTTACGTGGATCGATCTTCTCCCCCGGTCGCGGTCGAGCCGAAATTTCGCCTCGCGTCGTGCGCCTGGGAAAGCGTCGATCGAACGGACAAACGTGACTGATCGAGAGAGAAAAAAAAAAAAAAGAAAGACGATGATACGCCTTTCTCTCCGCGTCGACGCTCGCAGGTAAACAATTTCAACTGCAGATGGAGGAGAAAAAGAAGAGGATCATCGACGAGCGACTGTCCTAAGCTTATCAGGCATCGCGAAGTGCAGCCCCCCGCCGCAGCGCGATATCGGATGCTCGCGATCATCGGTAGGCCGCGACACGGCTGTGCGTATGCACGCCCAGGTAGATAAGATAGAGGGGAGAAAAAACTCTATTACCACCACGCGAGTTTTCAGCGTTGTCTGCCGCATGCGAAGCCCCCCCCCCCCCCCCTTCCCGTGCGGGACACGTGCAATGTATGTTTTGCTCTACATTCACCGTCTCTATTTCGGTACTTTGAACGATTGCAACGCTCGATGATCTACGGCCTTCGATTGCCTGTTCGTGATAACGATTGCTCTACATCATTAGGTTGATCGAACTAATTTAGATAGGAATCGAAATGATTGTCGGCTGAATATCTTGAACTTTTCTAGTTCTCTAATAGCGACAAACACGTCGACGCTTTTACTAAATTTATTAGTCGTTTTTCTTTTCTTTTAAGGGTCGGGCGAGGTCTTTGGTTTGAAAGAAAGGGTGTTATCGGCAAATTGTCGCGATGTTCGTTCACCTTGAATTAAGTGGTTGTTAGCATCTGCAATTGAATATTATGTATGAAGAGTTATTGAGTGTCAATCCAGCTTTGTTGAGATTAGATTCGTATCTCAAGTTCGATTCAAAAATACCATGTCGTCGCAGTGTCTGATACTTCAGATTAAAAATTCCTCGGTCGCTTCAAACTTTTCACATAAATATCCACTCACCGTATAATCGTATCTTACGATTTTTTTTAATCGACCATTGGATAATTTTTTTTTTTTTTTATCAAAATCGCACTTGCTGAAATTAAGATATTTTTTTATATGGTCAAGCAATTTGAATTTACACATAAAGTTATTCTGCTCTGAAATGAAGATACTGTTCCGTAATTTTTACAAGTAAATCTTCTTTTTCAGGGGATAAACATTTCACTTTCCTTATTTTTATTGCACAAAGTCTTGATAAATGTTTATTTCGCGCGAATAAAGTGCTGGACACAAACAGTAGAGCATGCAGGTAAACACGTACTATAAATAAGAATAAACTGATAATTCCGTTATGAGCTACATGCAAATAAAAAATCGCACTATCTCAGTGTTATTTAAAAACATCAATAAATAAATTTGCAATCTTTTTTTATATATAACATTGAAAGAAACAATAAATGGTAAATTTTTCGACTGAAATTCTTTGAAGCGTCATTGATAACATTATCGAGCTACGTGAAATAACTCGACATGAAACAATCGGATTTCCCCATCATTCAGTAACATTTTACGAATCATCGAAAATTCGTAGCTGTATAACAAACGAATCAGATCAGGATCGCTTTTTACTTAGAAAATAATGGATAACTGGATGCACTGATTATTAACTGCTGATAACTGACTTGTAAACGTCAAGTCGATTGTTAATTTATGAGAAATGATTAGAATGTTCTATGAGCAGTAATTTACCATGAATTTTTAGTTGGAAATCGTATTAATTTTTGCGTTCACGTCAATTTTTTCGAGTCTACGACGAAAATTATACGTTCCAAAAGATGATTTGTCGTCCCATGTTTTTTTTTCAAATTAATGCTAATAATGTAATTGCGTCACGACTGTCCATCGTTCATCTAACCATCCGATGCCACGGAATCTTCCTGACAACCGATCAAACGAAAATGCCAAAAATCTCAATTGTCGTGAGCGCCGTGAAATCGGCAAAAGTGAGAGACAAGATTAATTTTAAAGCAAAGAAAAGTCGACTAGAAAATATTATGCAATAACTCGGAAAGTTGTACCACGATGCGATTGATGATAAAATGGGACTGTTCCGGAATACAAAAGAATTCAAGTCAAATACGAAAGTTTTTCTTTTGCAAAGTCCATGAGAACTTGGCAAGATCGGAAGTGACCGCCCAAGAATATGGCCTCCTTAGGGTGGTTAGACAGGGTAGAGCCAATAGGCGGGGACAGTGAAAAATCTGCACAAAGGTCGGCCACTCGAAGTTATCGTTCCTCTCGCTCTCTCCACCCTGCCCGCAGGCCACAGTGCTCACCTGTGCGCCGCGAACGGTGCTGCGAGATACGTATCCCCCTCCCTCGCGGACACTCGGTGGCTCCGCAGTACAGCCACGGCGCTTGGAAGTACATAGCGTGCTCGCCGAGCGCTCGAGCGGTCAGTCAGTGCCGCGACACCGGACGCCAAGGATTCACGTCAGTTTACGCGGTCGCCGAGACGACAGTGCGCCACGAGCTTTCGCCACGAGAGGCACGGAGACGCGAAGCAACGCGAGCTTGCGTTAATTTCGCACGAGCGAGCCAAAGCAGTGCCGCGAGAGCTTAGCGCAAGCGAGTCGCTCGTATCCGCCACTTATGAAGAGAAATACCGATCCCAACCGGATAGCTGCGAGGCTGGCCGGAAAACTGGCACTGACACGGCCGCTGGGACCGAGGGCGACTCCCTCGCCGATGGCACACGTGCACTCGCTGCACAGGTACCGCGACAGCGCGTAGGCCAACGGCGCGACCGAGGCATCGGCGAGAATATATACGCGACGGGGGGAGGGGGGACACCGTTGACCGCGATAGTAGCGACCTATTGCCAGTGTTGCTTTTGTGACACGCGAGTGCGAGATTGATCCACCGTGAGATATGTTGACCAGCCGCGAGGACGGCCAGCCCGACCGGGTGGTGCCTGTGCCGCCGAAGAAATTCTCCTTCACGACCAAGAGTCTCTTCCGTAAGATCGGAAGGTGGTTCCAGGAGTTCTGCCAAAAGTTCCATCGGAAATGTAAGTGTCGCGGCAAAACAACGCGGCGAGCGCTCGAAATCTTTCCCGCTTTATCGGAAGATGCCCAGTCGCCGATAAGAGCTTGCACCTAAAAGCCGCGTGTCCGATAACGGCGAAGGCACAACAGAGGCGACTACGCGTCGTTTTAATTGATTGCGAAATTCTCGGCTTGCCGGGGGGGGGGGGGGGGTCACATTTGCAAAAGGCGTATCTGTCGCGCGTGCGTTTCTTTTTCCTTTCGTCAACTTGCCGCGCGTCGTCGCGGAATTTTGCGAATTTCATGGTTGAACGCTTGCAGCACCACCGGTTCGTGGCCGCGGCGAGAGTGGTCAGGGATCGAACGTCGCCGGCATGACGATCAGCACCTACGCTCTGCAGCTTGCCGCCGATCGCACCACTACCTTCTCGCAAAACATCGAGAACTTCATCCAGTGCACCAAGGAAGGCAAAGAGGCATCGCCCCACGTTGTCATGCGCAATATGAGACAATTCATGTCCGGCATGAAGAACTATTTGGTAAGAAAAAACAATCGATGAAAATTTATCGAAATATTTACCGAAGATTCGCGAAGACAGTTGAAAAAAAAAAAAAAAAAATATTTGTTCAATCTCTTTCGAGAAATCTCGCAAGTTATCCGCCGTATTAACGTCGAATCGATCGCAGGTAAAGCACGGCGAGCGTGAATTCGAGAGAGAAGTCGAGAAGCAGCGTTTGAAACTGAAACCCAACGAGTTTCTCAACCTGGACGCGATACTCGAAGACGTGATGATGCGTCTGGTGGTGAGTCCGTTGCGCGAACATGTGTACAGACTGTTTGTCGAGCATTACGCTGCCAACGGCTCCATTCAAGATCTCGCCGATAGCATTCAACTCGCCCAATCCAAACAATTGCAGGATCTCGGCGTCCGAGTGAGTATTTATTTTTTTTTGGCTTATCAGTTGCGCAATAGTTGCGTCTCTTCTGCAGACGGTATCTCGCGTGTACTAGCCGATTCGCTCTGGCACGCGCAACGGATAAACGCGCCATCCTTGCAGCAACGACGTGCTTATGGGAAGTTTCGGTTCGTCATCGTTCTACTTTTGTTGCAGCCGAAAATCATTCCACCGTCGGAGGCCGGTTTGGAGCGCATACTCGGTAACATCGAACGTCTTCAATTAGCTGATTCACCACTGGAGAAGCTCGAGCACCTGCTGTCTGCCATCTCTGCCATTGTCAATTCGGTGAGCTTTGTTTGCGCGGCTTATCTTCGCGGCCGACAGCGATGTCTTTTTCTTCCGTTCGAGCAAATAAATAACTCAGACGCGCCGCGGCCGCGCGAAGGGGATAAAATCGATGAATTTATTGTTATTTACATGATCTTTATCTTATCGCTGCGAGTTGTCCGTTATGCTTATATACCGACTTTAACCGCGTGTTGTTGATGCATCGAAACGAAACTCGTTACCACGTCAATTCTAGAATATCACTGACACCGTTTCTGACCCTTTGCTTTCCAGGTGAAGCACGCTAATTCCAGCAGAGCAGTCACCCTCGGCGCGGATGATCTATTACCACTTCTCGTGTGGGTGTTGGTGCGCGGCAAAGTCATCGACGCTGAAATCGAAGCCGAGTACATGTGGGGACTTTTACATCCGTCCCTCTTGACCGGCGAAGGCGGCTACTACCTTACCACTCTATCCAGCGCTGTTCATGTCCTCAAAACTTTCAAATCTAGTCAAGGAACCATGTCCACAATTACTGTAAGCCGTTGATCTATTATATGCTCGTGGTCGTAACTTTATTTTTCAAATAAACGTTTTTATGACTATGCGACTATACTAATTTCTGCTTCTTTTTCATTGCAATCCCAAATTGTTCGAATAATGCAATACTTGTCTGTTATTACAGCAGGGATGTGGAACACCGGATTGTTCGTCGGTTCTTCGTGTTCTCGTGCCAGATGAGCTAAATGGTTCCCTTAATACCAGAACACTGCCAGTTCGACCAAACATGAATACCCGCGAACTCTGCCGTATTCTTGCTCATAAAATACGGTGCACAAATCCTCAAGATTATGGTCTTTTCAAATTGGTTCAAGGAGAAGGTAAGTATCTCATTGCGCAGTCGAAAAATGTATAGGTACAAGTTTTCGATGGAATACTAATAAATTTATATTTTTCAGAAACTCTTCTTGGCGACCACGATTGTCCCCAAGAAATGTCACACTGTCTATTCGCTTACAAACGTATCGATGCGAAAATAGCATGGCCAAAGACCACCGATAGCAGCATTATAACTACTAACGGAAACAGCGCCTCCTGATCCACGAACATGCAACGACGCACCGTGAAAATCTTGTCTATAAATCTGTATTAACTTTTTTATAAAACTATACTATGAATGACGAATGAATTTTGTGTGAGATGACAGACTTACTGTCAATATTATGTGTAGACCAATTATGCTGCGTTGACATGGTATTATTATATGTTATGTATTGTCTTGTATGGTCGATATAAAAAAAAGAAACAAAATGATCAGCCTTTTTACTTCCTTCGTCTGTGTTCACTTTATGACTAATGTAATTTTGGTAAAAAACAACAAAGTTAATCATTTTTCGAGCTATCTATTTCAAAATTATCACGTTTCATGTGATACATGAGTTAAAACAATAATACAGATTATTAGTCATACTTTTAACAGTTGTAATGCGATGCCCAATGTACCACGTATTTTTTTTCAAATTATTCACTGTAAATGATTTGCAAAGCCAGATTTTCCAAGTGATAATGTGCAATAATCATATAATAATAAGCAACGTCAAAAAAGTAGATCATGTTCGTGATATTTTTCATGTAAATATTTGTGTACGTGTTATTAAATAATAAGGAAATCATTTTTTTCCATGCGTGATTAGCTGTAATCTTAACATTTAGCTCTCTTCTAAAACAAATTGATACTACTCGTGCCGTAAATAAATTATTATAAACATGAATAAAATATAAAAAATTAAAGAGTTATTAGAACGTATTTTTACACAAAAAGTATCGATCAAATGATAAGTAGAAATCAAGACTAGATGCGGAAATTCGAGGAAAGTAAATATTACGGAGTTAAAATTCTCAATAGAATTAAGCAAAAATAACGAATCATATTGTCACTGTGACTGAAAAAATAAAGTTTTTATTTATTTTTGTTCTCAAATCAAATGGGTAATAGTCACGCGGTAAATAATGAACCCATTAAATGTTGTACAAATATTAAGCCTCAGCGTGTGTCTTCTGATTAAATCTTGCCTAAGAACGTTTCCATTCGTATTATCAATGAATATTTATCGACATAATAATCATTCAAACATCTAACTAACGCCAAATAGTGGCAAAGAACAATTATATACAATATTAGTAATTACAAAAAATACATCTATCTAGATGGATGTCGACGTATGTTTAAGAATTATATTATCGATTATAATTGATTTTTAATTGGTTACGACCATAGATTCACATAGTTTTCCCATCAAATAATTTGTAATAATAATTTTATATAACACATGAAAATTGTCTTCGATGATTTATAAAATAATAAATCTTCAAATACGAAACTTTTTCGGTTTTTGTGAAATTCTACGAATAAGATAATTGAAAATGATCAATATAAATCGAAAATGAACTGAGATAACTACATCATATGTAGGTCTTTTAGATGGTAAATAATGTTTTTTTAATAAAAGGATAATTTGAGACTAATTCTTATAACTCATGTCGAATCAATCTTTTCATGCATTATTGTAACTTTTAATTTTTGTTATTGTACAGTAACAAATCAACTGAAATTATATTTTCATATTTTAACTATCAATTGTATACATTGAAATTAGTTTTATAAAGTCGATTAGACAATCAACCAATTCAGTAAATGTAAAAAGAATAAACGGAATCAAAGGACTTCTTCATACTCTATAGTGGGCAATGTTCAGTACCACGTTTAACAGTATAACATGGAATGTAAATAGTCTCTTGAATTAATTTTTAGGCGGATAGTTAAAATACTTTAAGTAGGTAGCATAGAATATACTTTAATAAAACTATATGGATAAAATCATGTACTTTAACAATTAATATATTTTTCATTGTAAATTATAATTATATTCAAATAAATCGTCATCAAAATCTATCTTAACTATTGGTATGATTCTAGTTTTCAAGTAGATCGTTTATCAAGAAATATATTTATGTACCACTGAACTTTTAAGTTATCTATAATCCCATAAAATTTGTGGACATTTGCTATTTACAATAACAATAAATTAATAGTATATTTTATGAAAAATTTTTATGAATTTCCAAAACAATAGCTCAAATTAATTTCGTCATTACGATGGAACTATAAATCAATCAACGGTTACTCAACAACGTATAAAATTTGTTGATGGTTGACTGTGAATATTTTTCAATGTGTTACGCTTGTATAAGTCTTAAGATTGCGGAGCCGTACTCATTTAAATGGTGTTTTTTACTTGGCTTTTTTAAGGGTAAGAAAATAATCGTTCATCCTTAAATCTCAATGCTTTTCTAAAAAAAACCTTAGAAACCATAGATAAGGCTAGTTGGACAGTAGAATTTGATAATTCTCATGTGTTCTTTTGTTTTTATAAAAATATACTTTAAGCATCAGCGAACGTTCAGTTTTCTTGTACTGCACTTTTCAATTAATATTAATGTATGTATCGATCGAAACGTATAAATAAACCATTTTCTATGAATTGTTCGTTTTTTTTATGTAATTCATTTCCAATTTATTTTATGCTAAAGTTAAGAAATTATGACATCGCAAATATCACCCTACTGTAAATTGAACCTTCAATCGAATATCAAGGTAATATATACCTATTTTAAAAACATTTATCTTTGTTTTAATTATTATTTTATTCATTTTATTTTACTCTTCTCCACTATATTATTTCATGATGCTCGATAGAAATATATATATTTAAAAATATAACATAGCGAAAATTTAATTCCTCATATGCACAATGCGCTATGTAAATTTATCTAAATTAAATAAAATTAAAAGTGAAAAGCTTTCGCTAGTTATAACTGTTTAGTTTGCATATAGTTATAAAAATCATTGATTTTATTTGATATTTCTCTTGATGGTACATCATGAAAGATAAAAGTATAATAAGACAGCTGTAATTGGTAAAACATTTATTAAAAAAATACTTATAAACTTTTTAATACTCAACTTTTCCGAAGGCTCTTTAACACTTGCAACTTTGCTAAATAAAGAATTTGTAGTATATACATAAGCATTTTTAGCTGATATAATCAAGAAAGCTTAATTATTTGCTTACAATAGTAATCATCACATAATCCCTTTCATGATTCTTAGCTACATAACTTCAATATCTCATAAAATCTCTGAATGTCAGTTGTTAAGGTCAATAATATTAAATTTGTACAGGCGATATATATATGATTATGTAACTTGTAATTGGAAGCTTCATAATGCAAAATTCGTCGTACGAAAACATATATGGTAAAATAGCCTTGAAGAAGAAACAAAATAGTGGAAAAATTGAAATTCTTAAATATATTTTCAAGTGCATTAAAGTGAATAATTATTCATGGCAAAATTTCAATCAAACTGATTATCAGTAAAAATAATTATTTTTCAACTAATTTACTCTTATACGATCCGTACGGAATCTTTTATCTTGTTTGTTTTTATTCTTTGTCTTACCTTGCCAAGTCACAAAACGTGTGGTCCTTTTGTTTGTTCGCAAAGGTTTTAGCTATTTGATAAGTCGCTACAATTTTTTGTATACTTATCAGTATCTCAAATAGAAAAAATTATTTTATTATTTTCTGGATAAATTATGAATCTACAAATGCAACTCCTTCAACAAATTAATGTAGAGCAGCGTGTGAAATTAGTAAAGCTATCCGAAAATATGAAAAATTAGAATGGATCAACCACGTGTAATCCTGGAAGTGAAATATGATTATTTACGTGGGCATGCCAAAATGCATTTGATTTAAGAAAATTATATTTCTTTGTTTAGAATAATTATTCATTTCTTTAGTTATTTACTTTATTTATAAGTAATGAGTTTTCGGTAATACTTGTGTTAAATCCTTTTCTCTTGTTTAACTACATCATAATGAGAAGTAATCATATGATCATGATATTCACATATATTTCAATAATTTTCAAAGCTCTCAATGTCCTTTACAGATCATTATCTGGAGGTCATTTTTTTATGGCGAGGTTCAAGAAACCGTCCAACGATAATGGAAAACAAATCTTATTAGAATGAAATTATATCAACGGCAACTTTTGAGAAAATTAAAAGGGCTGAACCAATCGATGGAGAACTCCAATAAAGAAAAACTTGATAATTGCAAGAGTATGCCATCATTTCCACTAAAAGCAAAAGCATTTTCCATTAATGTGACAAGATGTTATATAATCTAGATCTGTTAGTAAAGATGAGTATGGATTATCTGATTTAGTTGAAATAAAATTTAAAATATGAGGAAATATCTTCAAAACGGAAATTGTCAATTGATTGGATCGCATTTATTTTGAAAGTATCGGTTGTTAGACTAACACAGACGGCCAAAAAATATATCTTAATACAATGTTAAATAAGTATATATTTGTTTAAAAAATTATATATTAACCATATAGGTTATTGGGCGTTAAGTCTATAGGTCATTATGGAACTGTTTCTTGGAGGGGCAATATAAACTACTCTAATCCATAGTGCAAAAAATTAAAAAACTGCCATCTAAATTCAGACGAACATCAGAAATTTTACGTGGCAAGTTAATATAATCCTAGTGAAGATATTGTAAGTGTCTGAAATTAATTGAAAGTGCATATAGTGAAATTCATTGAAAAAAGATGTAACTATGACCGAAATTAATGGAGAATGATTATTCTTTATATAAAGTTCTAGTTTGCGATAAAATATTGTTATACATTTGACGAAATGATAGCTGAAATATTATTTAACATTTGATTTTCCACTAAAAATCGTTAAAGTACTAAAAGAATATAACTTATATAATTCGGTTGTTTCTATAATAAAATCAAAAATAGATATATAAAAAAACAATGTGTATTTTATTAACAACGTTTTTACAAAGATTTAAAATAGTAACTATCTCAGGGGATTTTCAAATAGTGAATCTGCTTATCAATAAAAAGTTACATATATGATCCTAATCTAATAAATTAAACTAATTAAAGCTAAAATTATACTAATATAAATAATAATAAAATACTAATTATACTATTTATAAAATACTACACAAACTTACACATTAGCAATAATTATTTTACATGAATTAAAATTAAATCAAACTAACATTAAATTAAAACTAAGACATGAAAAAAACTATTTACAAATATGCAAAAACACAATAAAATGCTGAGCATCTCAGGTTGTTTTTAAATAATGAATCAATTACAAATATATACATATATACGTTACTATATCAAGAAATTTTATATTTCAATATATATTTCATTATAACTAAAAAGCAAAACGCAAGTTCCTAACATTAACGTTTAATTTTCATTCAAACTTAACTTGCGACATTGATAGTAGCAAAACAGTGCTCTCATTTGAATAATATTAAATTTGAAAAAACTACAGTAAAAAAACAAAATTTAGGTGAGACATGCAGCATGTTGAATATTATAAAATTGATTTAGTTTTTCATAATATTTCTTAAAACTAATAGATATCTGTGATAAGATAAAGGCGTCTATTACTACTGTAGCGGATGATGTGCTCGTTTCTGTAGAATTACCTGAAAACAAATGACTATATTTAATTAATTAAAAAAAACATTGAATTAGATTTATGTATTTAAAGAACGTGAAAGGTGTACATCTTTCATCTATTTCCAAAACTTTGTGCGATTACCTATTTGGGTTATTAATTCTAAATACAAAAGAATATTTATAATATAATTGTTCAATATTTAAAAACCCCCTGAGATTTTTACTATTTTAAAATGTTTAAAATTTACAAAATTATAAGTGGAATTAATCATTGAATTAATCATTTAATTAATCATTCCATTTAAAGAAATGTTATGATTATTTTAATATCGTATAAATTAATGTTTAAGCCTTTTATAAGAAACCTCCCCTGAGATTTTTACAATTTTAATCTCATAGAATTTAATGTTTAAACCTTTTGAAAGGAACCTCCCCTGAGATTTTTACAATTTTAATCTCATAGAATTCAATGTTTAAACCTTTTGTAAGGAACCTCCCCTGAGATTTTTACAATTTTAATTTCGTACAGTTTAATGTTTAATCCTTTTGTAAGGAACCTCCCCTGAGATTTTTACAATTTTAAGTTCGTGTAGTTTAATGTTTAATCCTTTTGTAAGGAACCTCCCCTGAGATTTTTACAATTTTAATTTGGTACAGTTTAATGTTTAATCCTTTTGTAAGGAACCTCCCCTGTGATTTTTACAATTTTAATTTCCTACAGTTTAATATTTAGTCCTTTTGTAAGGAACCTCCCCTGAGATTTTTACAATTTTAATCTCGTGCAGTTTAATGTTTAACCCTTTTATAAGGAATCTCCCCCAAGATTTTTATAATTTTCATTGTTTTTATGGAAAAGCCGAGGGCTCTCACATATGTGATTTTATGTTAACAATCTAAAAAAAACCATCAAAAACATTGAAGAGATAAATTATGTTATATTAAGAAAACTGCGTTATTATTAAGAATGAACTACAACAATTTATATAAAAAAATTAATTAATAATTATAAGAAAATTTGTAACGAAAATGGTACTTGGAGAGCCATCTAACGAGATAGGGCCCATACCCTTGAACGCACGCCCCCGATTTCCACCACGCCCCTGAACCAATTAGGGCCCGAAATCCGAAAGAGAAAAATAGGAAAATCTCAGTCAGCCAATTAAAACCTGCTGCCATTTCCACTCTTCCGAAATTTTAAGGGGCTGAGAGAGGAATTTTCCTCCCAACGACCCCCAGGCTTTAAATAAGCGTGCGCGAGCGAAAAATAGTCACTTTTACTTCTTCTACACCTTTTACACTTTTACAAAGTTCGATTTAGTGCCAGGTCCAGTTCCAATTCGAATAAGATTCAACTCTCCAAGTACCAGAAAGTTACTTCGAATAAAAGAGAAAAAAGTAAGTCAAAACGAAATTTGTTGCTATCCTTCCTTTTTCTCTTATTGCTAACTTAGCCAAATCGAAACTCGAAAGAATTAAGTCTTCGAAAAATATTTCAGCAGGAATTGGGATACTTCTCTATAAGACAATCGTGCCGTTTGAGAGTAAATTAAATTCTTTTTTTGTGATAATTCCAGCAAGGTCTGGGATATTCACATACAATTTCCCATTTCATTGGATCATGGTGATCTATAGTGAGCGGTCACTAGCAAATTAAATTGAATAAAAATACAGCTAAGGGTTTTGAAAAATATTCGATAATGATGCTGGATATTACAAACGCTACATATTTTATATCACTGAATAGTCTTAGGAATGACCATAAACAAAGGCCGTGTTGATTTTAAATAACAAAACTTGAGTAAATGAATATAGCGTTGGGTATATAAAACTTCAAGGTCATTGCGTGCATGTAATTTTTGTCCTTGACAAGAAACAAAATTCCAGTGTAATAAGGCATTGGGACTAACATTAATAATCAAACAGCATATTACTAACTACAAAAACAATTTAGAGTGATGAATTCCGAAATACAGTGCAAGTGTTTCCACATAACTGCCAATTTATTTAATCGATCAGTTTCAATAACGCCCATAAAAAGAAATGCAAGCAGAATTAGGTACCTATATAGTTGGAAAAAACAAAAAAGGTTTCAAATGTCTTCAAATATATCTAACAAGGGAACCACCCCAACCCGAACTCACCGATTTGAATGATTTTGGGATATGTTGTAGTACTTGAAAAAAAAGTCGGTCCATAAGGGCTTTTAAGGGGTGAAATCCACCCTGAAAATCAACCCCTAAAATCAGTTTTTTAATATTTCTCAGCATCAAATGAATATTTTTCAGTAAACTCAACGTTAAAAAATTTCTTATAAAAAGGCGGTTTTAAGGACATTTATACCGAAGGGTTGCAACTCCCTTTTTAATAGGGGTAAATAAACTATTTTTTGTACTGTTTTGCGACATGTAATATAGTAAATCAGCTCGAGTGATTTAAAAATCGCACTGATAATGAGAAAATACCAAAATTAAATTAACGTATTTCCGGATTTAAAAAAAAAATATATATTCAAAGGGTGTTTATTATTACGTACGTAATTATTATTTTCTTTTCATTATAAATACAAAAAAAGGTCAAAATAATTAATAACGGCTTATAAATATAAGATTTGAGACTAAAATAAATTATAAATAATTATTAACTATTTTGTTTTTTCGAAATTAATAATAACAGTTATAGTATCAGTTTTTTTTAATATTATTTGCATTGTTAGTTTAGGAGAAGTTACGAGAGAAAAGAAAAATAAGAAGTACTCTCAATTTGGACTTTGCGTTCGAGGTGAAACCTCCGAATTGATGAGCTATGTTAAAGTTCGAATTTATTCGACTTTATTAATTCTAAGAAACTTATTACTTAATTTAAATCAGGCCGAAGTTTGTATTGCTAAAAGCAAATGTACGTCACACGTGTATACCAGAAATCGACATTGCAAACTTTTATGATTCAGATCAGAGTGGTTTCCAATTAGAAATGCACTCGGGAAGAACATTAGCAGTTGAAGGAGAAAAGCAGGTGCAATGTCTGGTACAGTCGGTTTCGTCGACAACGCACAGTTATACAATTCAGCCAACTATATCAGCAACCGGGAAACTTTTATCACCACTTTTTATAGTATTAAAGGAAAAAAGTGGTCAATTCGATCCCATAGTGGAATCTTCATTATTTAGACCAGAAAATGTGCATGTGGAAGCATCTAAATCTGGAAAATTTACAAGTTAATATATTTTTGTTTATTATAATGCAATGACATAAAAAAATTTTGAAATTTTTTTGTCATTGCATTATATATAAAACTATAAAGGAAACGATGACGACAAACAAAATTGTTAATATAAAAAAAAATTCCCACAGGAACGACAGGGAACATCCAACCACTCGATGTTTATGGATTTCGTATCTGGAAAAACTTCGTTCGACGTTTATCAGATAAAGTAATTTTGATGGACTATGAAATGAATCTACATTTAAGAAATAACATCATAAAAATGCAGTCTCTTGTCCATAACCAGCTTTCTTCATCAAGATATACAAATATTTTTAAATACGCTTGGTATAAAAGCGACTACATTGCTGAAAAACCAGCTAAAACAGATAACCCTGTTGATTTTAGTTTTGGAGATTCTTGCAATATACATTGCGAAGTAGAAGCATGTAAAAATGTTGCTATAATACAGTATGGTTGGTGTAAAAGATCATTATGTTTCAAACACTTTTTCGATGATTATCATTTTTGTAAGGAATTCGTTGGATGATACATTTTAATTTACCAATAAATAAAAAAAGAAAAAGATGAAAATTATTATGAAAAATCAAAATATATGTAGTGTATTTACCCTTATTAAAAAGGGGGTTGCAACCCTTCGGTATAAATGTTATGTCCTTAAAAGCGTCTTTTTATAAGAAATTTTTTATCGTTGAGTTTACTGAAAAATATTCATTTGATGCTGAGAAATATTAAAAAACTGATTTTAGGGGTTGATTTTCAGGGTGGATTTCACTCCTTAAAAGCCCTTATAGGCCGATAAAAAAAAACACGTATCTAATTTTTTTCAAGTACTACAACATATCCCAAAATCATTCAAATCGGTGAGATCGGGTTGGGGTGGTCCCTTGTAAACGTATTGATGAGTTTGCTGATTAAACTTAATCGTTATTCTACTGAGAGAAAATATAAAAAGAATCTTTCCTTGTGATTACATATCATTCAAAAAAATATGCAACAATTTTATAATACATTTTAACGCATTGATAAAGTAACATTATAAGTATAATTATAATGATATTCTAATTTGAAATTTTACTCCAAATTCAATAACATACGCAGGTAATGAACATTTTGTTACGACGATCTACAAATATAATGTATAAGTTCACGCATAAATTAGTGCTAGGCGATCAAACAGTTTGGAAAGACACTATAATTAGAAATTGTTTTTATCAAGAATTCTCATATCGGCGGTAACATTCAAAATTAAAAGTAATTTATATTAATATAATATAATAAGTATTTAATTCTTAGCAAGAATTATTACAATTACGAAGAATATGTTTTTAAATAATTATAAAAAAAATATCTGCAAAATTAGTAATTTCCAATGCCTTGAATAAAATAGGTCGTACATAAATAATGCAACATTCTTTTATATCAATATTTAGTAATATTTAGTAAATCTTCAACACTTCTTATGTTGTAGGATGGTATAGCCCACGTGATGTTTAGTATAGATATGTAATGAACTGAATAGTGGTGAACGGAATTGGTTGTTGTCCCGCTTTCCGGTGTTTATCATTCAACAACGTGGTTACTCTTTGAAGTTGTTAGCTGTCTTGAATCAATATGTAGATGACTTTTTACATATCTGGTATCTAAAACTTCTTATTTTGTAGCTATTATGTTTTCAATGATTGCTGATCATTTCCCATGAGTTGAATAAAATAGGTCGCACATAAATAATGCAACTTTCTTTTGTATCAACGTTTAGTAATACAAACTATAATAATCTATAATATAAAATAGTATAGATATGTAATGGACTGAATAGTGAAGAACAGAATTGATTGTCTTCCTATTCGCCGGTGTTCATCATTCAACAATTTGGTTACTTTTTGAAGCTGTTAATTGTCTTGAATCAATATAGATGACTTTTTAGATATCTCGTATACATTTTCTAGTTATCACATTTTTAATGACTGTTGATGTGTATCAGGCAATGTGTAAACTAGTATTATTCTTCGTCCAGAACTTGATGGAACATTACAATATTCTGTATCCAAATCAACTTTTTTCAACCAGAATATTAATGAGTATAAAAGTTATCTCTCATATATCTGTGTATATCTGGCACATAAGGGTATTACAATAATATAGGAATTTAATCCAGATTGTAAACATAATTTCATCACGTTGAATAATGACTAAGATCCAAGTCTTGAGATGAAACCAACTGATTTCTAGATATTCATAAATTATTTTTCTTGAAAAATAGATGGAAACATATATTATTTTGGAAGTGCATAATTGCAATGGCATTCTCAAGGGAAATCTTAATATCTAATTTCCAATCTTATCAGATTTTTACAGTATTTTACAGTAATCAATCAAATTCCATCATTTCATCAATCATCATCTATAATTACATAAATATTTGATGTAAAGGAAAGTTGCTTTTGTATGAAATAAAATTATACTTAAATGTTTGTATTTGAGTGCAGATATTTTAATAATCTTATAATTATTTTAAACTAAAAATAAAAAATTAAATGCTAAAATTTTGTGCCATATGAATCATTGCAATTAAACTATTTATAAACATAAATCATTACTACTAGTATACATTTTTTAAAAGACCTTTATAATAGTTTATTACCAAAAACAGCAATGTAAATTGCTTACAATTTCAACAATTTTTTAATTCAAGAATTAATATTAAATTTGAAAAGTTAAAAATTTCATTAAAAACATGATTCATTCAAGAACGTTTGATTACAAAACTTATATGTACTTAAGAATAAGAAATTCTTCACTCTATTATCTGTTTTTTTCTTCAATTATTTCAATGAACTTTTTTTTAATCTACATTTTTTTGTTCCTTTCCTTTTTTTTCAATACTATTTTTTTTATTATTGTTTTTTATTATTGTTTTTTTATTATTTTTTTTTGTCTATTATTTTTTTTGTCTATTATTTTTTTTTGTCTATTATTATTTTTTGTTTTCTTCTGCGATAATAGAGTTTCTAAATTACATCTAAAATACAGATCAAATCAAATCGTCAAAACATTTTAGTTGTATTATAAATGATTGTACATAAAAAGCTATATCTCTTTAAAAAATGCATATAAACAATGAAGTATAAAAGCAGCATTTACAACAAAAAAGTTTTGATTCACAATAGTATACTAAAAAAGGAATTTCAAAATCTAGTGACCAGTAATATAATCAACATTTGGGATCCGAATGAATGTATAATTACCAAGACACCAACAGCGCTGAATGAATACATTTTGTGTTTAAAATTTTTAATGGCAAGGTTGGGCTCATCGGACCATGGAATTTATTTTCGATAAAGCGGATTAAATTTTTGCATTGCCATAAAAATTCCATATTCAAACTTCAATACAATAATAAGGTACTTGTAACTTTCTGCAAGACCGTAACAACAAAAGTATAACATTATATACTAAGATTAAGCTGATTCAGACTTTGGCAGACTATGTTACTAGTGTGAGTACAATAAGCTTTGATGAAAAATATATAGCGTCAGATCGCGGTAACCGAACGATTGAACTATAATATACAAGAAAAGATCTATCTTATATTTAAACCATTAGAATGAGAATGGAAATCGGTTATAGGAATAAGTAAAATATTTGAAAACACCTTTACCAATGTAAATTGATCAGTCTTGCATCTTACTCAGCTTAATAGCATTTGCACGAGAGTGAAATGAAACAATCGATTAAATCTTTTCGTTATCTTAATAGAATCAACTTTTTTAGTTTTTAAAAAATAGTTAGAACCAATGCATATTATCAACCTGGAAATAAAACTAACCATTGTTATTTTAATTTTGTCACTTCAAAATTCTGAATAAGTAACAATATCAAGAAGATTGACGATACATTAAACGTTTTTCATATTAATACATTACAATCATTGGAAAATAAATTATCTAAGAAATTAAAAGTAAGAAGTTATGATAAAAAATTGTGCGTTCATCATACATGTCTTAACTCTTGATGAAAGGATATGAAGTCAAAACTTCTTTATGAGGTTCCAATGCCCGTAAAAAATTAATTTTGTAAATTTGGTAGAAAAGATTGACTTTTTACTGTTATATTTCACATCAAGTATGAGGCCAATTCAAATTCAGGACGTATTCAAGTAATGAACACAAGACCAATCGCGGATAGATAAGTGTATATGCACAGACATACACTAGCTCTTTCACAAATTTATGATTAACCAAATGAGATAGTTAACCATTATTTTCATTTAATTTAATTTAAACATCCAACTCTATTATCTGCAATTAGGTAACGAAATCAAAGAACCCAATCTTCTATCTGTCATATTATTTGCTATCAAGATTGCATAGAAGACAGAAAAAATCTTGATGATAATATGTCTTAATTATGTATACCAAATTCCAACATCAAAGACTAACGTTATAAGTAAATCCAAAGATTATAAAGAAATCAACAATAAAATTAAAACCTAAAAAATGTATAAAACCAAAGAGTTATTTATACACAGACAAGAGTTTATTATATTCAAGTGGAAAGGAGCGAGCATTTCAAGATGGTAAATCTTTATGTTTATTTATCAAAAGTTTGCTAAGGACACCATTTTCACGTATGAAATAACTATTGCATGCAAAGTGCTCACCCACTAGACAGTCTCCTTAGAAGTTATAAGTCATCAAAATTGTTATGTAAAATTTAGTATATAATTATTTTTTAAAGATATTAAAGTAATTAGCACAAAGTTTTGAAATGCAATCTATTTGAAAATGTACACCAAAATGTTGCAAACGATAAGCAATTTAATGTTACATGGAAATGTTTGATACTATAATACCCAATCTGAATCTGGACTAGACAACTTCAAACTAGCTATACCATCAGTGCCATCAATAAAAAAAGTATCCATGTTTTTCCTTATTCTATTTTTACATGTTTATAAAATTGTATTTAAACCTATTATTCAAAATGTCAGTAATTTATTGCATCAATAAATTCTACAAAAATAACAAACAGCAAATCTATTTAGAGTGTTTTCATCAGACACCATTTTATTAATGTAAAATCGTTTTAAACAATTGAGGATTATCAAACAAATTTTATTTTGAAAAACAAATGATGCCAATCGACAAATATCACTGGCTTCACTACTTCAGATTGTTGGTATGTTTTTACATCAAACAGCCTGACAAAAAAATACACCATAGAAGTTTGTATTTTGATTTTTTAATTGGCATAATTGGTTTTTCTAAATAACAAAATTTGAAAATTTCTAATTATGTATAGTGATCTTATGACAAAAAAATGACATGATAAAAAGATACCAGAGATTTTCTTCCTCATTTTTCTTATAAAATTGATCACTGCAATTAGTTTTTTGATATTCTAACATGTTAATTTGTCTAAATACTTTTTTATAAACAATTGGAAATGGAGGGAAATACATGGATACATTTTTCAAAATGGGTATTTATTGGTTAATATGAAAGCTATCATAAAATAAGTATTTAGTATCAAAGCTCATTTGTTCCAGATACTGTGTTTGTAGTCATTTTGTATTTTTCAACATTCATAGCAACTAAAAATAACAATTTAAGTATAATTAAAATTTGCTTAAGTATATATAGAAAATTTGTATTAGCTAAATGTAACTTGCATACTCAAAAATATGGTATAGACTTATTAATTTACTATTTTATTATGATAACTTAATAAAGCAATAATTGATGATGACAATTACACAATATTAGATATTGTAGCAAACTCTTATGCATATAAAATTTACTAACTTTATCTTTTTAATTGTACAAAGAACCCTGTTAAAAAAATTAATTAGACATAATCTTAACATATTTTCTTATAGTAAAATATTTTTCAAAATGCAACATTAGTCATTAATGCTATAATCATATAATATAAATATAGTAACGATATAATCAATATATCATTAACACATTTATCTAAAGGCATTCAATGAAACAATAAAACTTACATGTCACAGAGTTAACATGCTTTTAAGATTATGTCTTTGTTGAATATTAAAAAATAGAAAGTAAAAAATACTCATCTTATCGACTCAATGATATTTTCTGCAGTAAGCTTGGGAGCTTCGTAAAACTGCTATTGTTTCCTTTCGTTCAGTAATATCGCCGTTGCTGAGGCTTAGGGTATGCAGTACCTTTCTCACATTCGAATGACAAAGAATTTCCCAGACGCCTATATGCGAAGAAAACAATTCTTTAATGATAGTGCCTTTTTTGCAAACGAACTAATCAGTCGACATTCAAAATCGATCAACTTACCATTGTTTGAATGCACAAGCGGCGTCATGACGTAGTTGCGTAGCGTTGCCATTACCGGGTTTCATCAAGTTTCTGTAAACAAAGGATTGCGTGACATTAATAACCCCATTGAAAAATCAACTAAGAAATCTATCGAACAAAGGAAAATATCAGCTTACAATCAAATATAATTATTGTTCGACACCTTGCAGCAGAATTTACTAAAACGCAATTACGTCGTTGAGTGATTGCCATGCGCACCTACACGAAGCAAAATATCACGAATATAAACTCTCGATGACGCACGATAATTTTCACTAATCGAACAGCATAACTGAGCACTAATATTTAAACTTACCTCAGGAGAGAAAGCAGCTCGAGAAAGTGATGTGCACGGAAAAAGCATAGTTTTTCTCTTTCTCTTTGGGGATGCACTCCTCACTAATCTTTGCCACGAGACTGCTGGAATAAGAATGGCGCTACCCATTGAGCACATTGCCGCCTGCACAACTCTCTCCCCTCGAACTGTTCTCCTTTGTTGTCGGCTGCTCGTGTCTGATTGGTCTTTCATTTCTTGTGCTTTTTGAAATGACCAATGAGATGAATTTACTCGCGGAAAAAATTTCCGGAGGAAATGTGCGAGACTGCGCGCGTTCTTCAGCGCGCCATTTATAACATGAGTTGCTTGATCGTTTATCGTATAATTATGCTTTAGTAAATAAATTTCTTTTCAAAAGTCATGACAATTTACTTTCAATTTAGCTAATTTTGAATGATGTGACTGCCCCGCGAAAATTTTATTAAACTTTAAGCTATTTTACGCTGACTTTTGTTTCTTGCGAGTTGAAGTCATGACAATGTGGTAAACATTTACTTTCAACAATCGAGTAAAAATACCAGTTTTCAATTTGTTTTTCGAAAAGTGTCACTACAACGTAAAAACTGAATCTGAATATTGTTGGCCAAGCCAGCTTACTTTAGCTTTGTATAGCAAGACTCGCTCGACCAGGCAATTATATGAACTACGCATGAAATAATTATGCCAAGCAATCGTTTATTAATTTATTATCGCGAGTCACCGAAATTTATAACTTTTGAAAAAGAGGGCAATTCTGTACGTTTTAATGTAAAATGACGGATTAACTCCAACGCCGAAAATGACAAAAAATAAAATTAACCATCTAGAAATATGCGATTAATTTGCCAAGACGAACAATGGAATTTGAAAGCATTCTAAATAAATCTGAAAAGAGAAGCCGGGCACGCTGTGCGAAGTATAGTACAACAGTGAGAGATGGCTATTCCTCTCTCGGCGAAGATAGACCGGCTTACAAGGGTCACCTTTAATACAATACAAGACGTTATACATCTGTCAGGTAGGCACGGAGCGAGGGGAATGTAAAGATTTTGCAAGGACACGGCGCATACCAAATTTGTTGGGAATGGCGCACACCACGTGGTCCTTTACTTGAATTTCTGTATTCTTGGAACTTTTCACCTGTCAACGCCAAGACGCGGAACTTGAGATGAATGGTGGGCTAACGGTTCGTTGTTCGTACTTATTAATGTTTGTGAACACTCTGAACATCCTGGAAGTACATATGTTTCACATTGAAATAATTACATGACAGTAGTAAACCCGTCGGTCGAACGGTCAGATGTTTCGCTTTCGCCTCAAGATTCATTACTAGCCAACTGTCGTGCCACAAAACTTTCTATATTATATTTCTAAAAGAGAATCGAACAAGAAAAATTATTAACTCTACTCTCCATTTTACAATATTTTCTCAATATATTTTCTTAAAATTTCCGAGAATGAACTACAAAAAATAATCAACATCTCATCCTTCTAGATATTGTTTTATCAGGATGTTACCAGCCTCTTCAGAGCAAACATTGTCTACAATACTCTTGTTAGTGTTTGACTATTTGTAATTTGTCATGTAGCGTTTAAGAATTGTGGATTGTGATAAGGTCATGGATTCGAAGAGGCTGGAAAACGTACCAGTGAAACGTAATCAAGATAGATGAAATGTTGATTATTTGTTTACGTTCGCTCTCAGAAACATTGAGAGAATATAGTAGAATTGAATAATGCGTTACGTGTATTCTGCTCTTCGTTTAGCGGAAACTCTTGAGAGCACGATTTATTTGTAGAGGTGAATAGAAACCCGAATAGTAAAGTCATTTGGTAATTACTTCAATATCGCATCGTTCAATTGTGCTGATTGACTTTCAACACGATGAATGTAAAACAAACACAGTAATCACTGCAGCATTCGAATAAAAAAGCTTTGCAACAAATACATGAGATTTTCCAGACTCGACATCCCTCTTTCCCGAATGCACATTTATTGTGAACGAGAAAACGTCTGCTTTATGCATAAAGTGTTTTTATTTTCATCGTCGCATGCAATTAACTTCCCGTACATTCTGATATTACAACGCTTCTGATATCATGAAGAACGATACTTTCTGTTTATTTTACTGAAGTACAGTATCCGGATTTGCGCGCCTCGTCGCGCATTACTGCGAAACGAATCTTGGAAATGACTGATAACTACGTTCACATTGGCGAGTAACATTGACACCGTATTAACAAGCCGGCTGCGATTATTCGTCGGGGAAAATTGAGGGGGAATTATTCTTTCATTCGATATCTCGTCATAACAACACGCTGCAAATCGTCTCCCATTGTTTTCTTGTTTTCAAATCGGTAAATTGCGTTTAGCTTGAAAATTAGAGCAACGCGCGTCGCAGCGCCGACTCGTGTGAATAAGGAGCGTCGAGTGACCTAAAAAAAGCAAAACAACGCAACCCCGTTCGACTCGCACGCCGTATGTATATACGCTCGTGCACTACGAAAAGAAGAGAAATTCCCACGACCGAAAAAAAGAAAGAAAAAAAAGGCAATGTACAGCGCTCCCTCAAGTTCAAAGTCAATGAGCCTGACGAAAAGAAAGAGAGCGCGAGCGTCACGACATAAAAGCGAGAGAGAGAGAGAAAGGGAAGAAGCGTCTGTCGGTTGGCATAGTGGGGGTTTCTCTCATTCTCTCTTTCTCTCTCTCTCTCTCTCTCTCTTTCTCTCTCTTTCACTGTTCGCATATAGGGGCAAAGCAAAGCCATGGTGGAATTTGGTAGCGGCGAGTTCAACTCGGAACACAACACACGGGGCCCGGGATACAGACGATAGCCACGCAGTTGCGCGCGAGCGGTCTACAAGCGTCATCCACCACGCGAGTTTCGAGCAGATTCTCTCTCCGACACCTTCGCCCATTCGGACTATTTCTCGCCAAGCATGACGATGGCGATGACAATGATTTTCACGCTCGTTTGCTGCGCTGCACTCGCACCCGTCGGTAAGTGTCATTCGTTCTCGCTCGAACGTCGCAACTTCGAAAGGGATTATTGTTTCCATTGTTTCTTTTTATTTCCTCTCTGAAAAAAATTATTTTGCATCAAACAGCGCTGTGCGGGAAAGTCGCGATATCCAACATCTCCAAAGAGCAAATCAAGAATATCGGCGAGCAAGTGGAGTTCAATTGTACCGTGCAAAACAACGACGACAATTACAAGGTGTTCTGGTTCAAATTTACCAAGGATGGGAGAGACCAAGTGCCTCTCGCCACCGATGGTGAGACTACTCTGCGCGACAATAGGTTCCACGCCAGTTACGACAAGCAGACTTCTACGTATTCGTTCAGAGTACGTTTTTATCACACTCACTATATATCGATAATTTTCGGCGAAGCGCGCTCAATCGAGCGTCCGCACAAGAACAATTTCGCGCGAAAGCTTCTTTATTTTTTTTTCTTTTTCTTTTCTCTTGGCGCGCGTACTCGCACGTCGTCGACGTTCCAGAGTACGCGCATTTATCGAATGAAATTGTAACAAAGTGAAATTGAACAAAGGATGAAAAGAAAGAAAGAAAGACAATGACAATTTGAATGGTGTGTGTCCCGTACAGATCGATAAGCTGCAGGAAAGCGACACGGGCTTCTACCAATGCCAGATTATCATTTCAGTGAGCGAAGTAGTGAGCGCTAACGTGGAACTTCAAATACGCCGACCGCCCACCATCAGCCAGAACACCACGCAGTCCGTGAACGTCACGGAGGGCTGGCCGTTCGAGCTTCACTGCTACGCCGATGGCTTTCCCGTGCCGCGCATATCCTGGAAACGGGACGACGACCTGCTGCTCTCCACCGGTGGCGTCATTTTCCGGTAATCCTCGCTTTTGTTTTTTTTTTCGTTCCCTTTGCGCAGCGACTCGCGTGACCATGCTACGGGCACGTTCGGACGCTTCTCGCGCACATTCCGTAGCGTCTTACGCTTGATTTGCTTAGCCGTCGGAGGCTACCTTTTCCATATTCACCTTTTTACATCGTTGCGGAACACGCGCGAATCTCCAATTTTACCTTCATTGCGGTAGTTTAATTCAATTAGACTCGATCGAATCCAACGGACGTAAAGAACGTAGGCGGTCGTTCGACTACCTTTTTAACGCAAGAAATGTTTGTATTTGCCCCCCCCCCCCCCCCCCCCCCCATCAGTAGAGTCGATAAGATACGAGCCCGAGAGAAATTGCAAAATACATTCATTCATAAAATATCAAAGGGGAGAGCCGACAACATCGCGACGCGATAGGCTGTTTATAAATTTTACGTAATTGGCTGCGGATTTATGATAAACAAGCTTCGATAAGACTTTATCAGGTATGTGAAAACTCGGCGAAGATCAGTCCGCCCCGCGCGGGGTTTCGAAACGCAGCCGCGTCCGGCATGAATTTATCTGTGTGCGCTCTGTTGGTCCACAGCGGCAACGTCCTGAAGATACAACTGGCGAGCAAGGACGACCGCGGGCTGTACTACTGCGTGGCCGAGAACGGCGTCGGCAGCGAGGCTCGCGCGAACGCGAGCGTACGCGTGGAGTTCCAGCCAGTGGTGCTGCCCGTGAGGCCGCGAGTCGGCCAGGCGCCGGGCTACGACGTCGGCTTGGAGTGCAAGATCGAGGCCTATCCCGCGCCGATGATCAGTTGGTACAAGAACGGCGAGGAGCTGAAGAGGCAACCGATCAAGTCGAGCGCCGACAAGTTCGTCGACACTCTCCAGCGTTACTCCGTCGGGTCGTCCGATTACGGCGAGTACATCTGTCGCGCCGAGAACAAGCACGGCCGCACCGAGACAAGGATCGATCTGTTCGGTGGGTATTGCTTTTGTTTTGCTTGGGTTATGTAACCTGGCGACGCGTAGGGCTTCGCAAAGCCGAGTGCTCGCTCTTGCACGATTAACGCTTACGCCTTTCTCCTTCTATCTCTCTTTTTCAGAGACAATCGTTCCAGTATGCACCTCTTCGTGCGGCTAGAGCGAGAGATTATTTTACGACAACTGTAATATAGCCGACGATAGCGATACTTACGCCTAATTTTACACGCACAGACGGACGCGCACGTCAACGTCATTTTCTACTGCAATAATTTTTCTCAAAGTGCTCGGAAAGTTGTCTCTAATAGAGGCACTGAGAGAAACAATTAGTTGAACAGTGACAACCATACTACCTACGCAGAATCGAAGATAAGCGAAAGGAATGCTCTTTGTATATTACAAAATAAACAACACAAGTACAAACTAATTACTTTGAACTGGTGCCATCGCTCCCTCGCGTGCGTCTTTCATCTCTGTCGACGTTGTAAAAAACAAATGAAAGAAAGAAACCTAAAGTGGGATGAATTGAGAGAGAGAGAGAGAGAGAGAGAGAGAGAGAGAGAGAGAGAGAGAAAGAGAGAGAGCTCTCCCGCATTTTTCATCTCTCAATGACGAAGAGAAAGATATGTGGCATGCGTCTCACAAATAATAAGGCTTCGTTTATTCAAAGGCACAATATGCCGCGTGAAATATTTTTCGCCGCCGCCGCCGCCGAGAGGCGAATTACCCGTGATCAACAGCTGCAAACTATTTAGCTCGCGTCGCACGGGACAAACATCGAATGAACTAAAGCGGACTCAATGATACTCGGCGCGCGCGATCTCTCACGACACTCGCGCTCTGGAATTTCAATGTCGCGCGCGCGTTTTCTTCGTTGTCTTTCAATCAATCGCTTTCTTTTCGAGCGTCGCACACGACAACGGCACACCTCAATTCCAACGATCAATTTTGCTTTTCAATTAAATTAACTTCTCACGTTTTCATTTTATGCGTTTTAACGAAAGTTTTTGCCTGTTTTCGTCACTCATCGCGCATTCGCGTAAACTCATGTTGCTTATGTACCAGATCGAACGTGAGTGTATCGTTGAATTTTACGCGCAACGTTGAAATATCAACGTCATCTCACTTCTGAACCCGATGAATGAGTTTGAACGATTTATTTTTTAAATGTTTCTATTGGAACTGAACGTCTTGATTAAATTTGTTGCGTCAACTTAACAGAAAACATTACGAAAGAAAATTCTTAAATGCTGTATTTCTTGAAAAAGTTTCCTCGAATCAAAAATGTTTTTTTCTTTCTCAATATAGGACATGTTTTTTGTTTTTTGATCAAGAAAAAAATATTTTACCTATGAAAAGAAATTTTTGTAAAATACGACATCCAAGGAATGATTTTTCAGTAAATAGTATACATTACGGCGATAAAAGCGCTTGAAAATCATTTCTATAAATTATTAAATTTTTCTCGAACATGCGTAGCGCATTTTGGACCGAGCGTGCGGCAAAGTGTTGAAAGAAAAAGTATTAACCAATGCGTGCCTTGGGTATTTGAATTCAGTTGGCTGTGTAACGACACTGCAAAAAGACAATTGTTATGGAATCCCATGACCTGGTCGCGCGTAAATTCCACTTCCTGAATGAGAACAAGGAAAAGCAGAGGGGAACGGTCGGTGCCGGATAATTATATCGGAAAGTTATGCGCTTACGTAAAGAGCATCGTATTACCGGGTTCATCCCAAAACAGTGGAATCACTCGCAAAATGCGCGACCGCGCAAAACCATATTTAAACCTTACGTAGTCTTGCGCAACGTCCTTTTCGTACCTTGGCAATGAAACGACAGAGCTCGGTCGAAAGAATGCACTGGAAGTCGCAACATACACGATGAATTTTTTTTTCTCTCCCGCGGGCGAAATTCCTCTGCGCATAAAGTCGGAAGCGGAGGCACACGAGGGCTGAACAAGTCAAGCGTATAGTTGGCTGCTGCCCCCGTCGTAAATCAGCGCGGAGCGGGTTCGAAACTCGCCTCATTATTCCGTTGGAACCTTTCGTAATTTCCCCTCGAACGCGCTTCTCCAACTGACCTACTGATTATAGTCTCCTCGGATGTCGTTCGTTCGAAGGACTAATAAAGACTGCCAAGAATACTTGGCGACACGCTATTTTGCCGCGCCTACGCTCGCTCAGGCGGCAAATTTTAACTCAGATTCCACTCTCTTTTAGATATGAGACGCGAACTCGTTTCTGTTCACAGATCATTCACGCGTAATTCCGACACGATCGTTTATTTTTTAATTATCCACCTTCACATAGACGCAATGAATTAGATGTCAAATAACTGATAATTCGCTGCAAAGATGGGGCCTCGCACGGAGAAGCTCAGGGTGAATCTTGAATTTGAAATTGGATGAGGATCACGAGGTAAGTCACTATCGAGTTGGCAACCTGAAAAATAAAGAATTATTGGCTATGTTCTTGACCGAATGTTATATGCAGTTTGGAAATGTATTCGAAGCTGACCGACGCTAGCAGAGTACTTTCCAACGAGAAAATATCGTAGACTGTGAATTTCAATTTATTGTTACTCAAGTACCAGGAAAACTCCCGCAACTGAAATACATTGCACACGTTAGCCGTGAAACAGTATAATTTTCAATGAGCAATCTTACGCTGTTTTTTGCATCCTGGTTAAAAGTATTTTTCACAACTTCGCAAACAATGTTGTTTGTTTTTCCAGCCTGAAAAACGATTGTAATCATAGAACCAATTATAAGATAACAATTAATCAATTTGGAACGAGAATTTACCTCATTGATAGCGTCGGTAACGTTTCTCGTCAACAAAAAAGCTGAACTCACAAATAGCAAGTCCCACATAAAAATATGGATGTATTCTACAAATATAAATGGCGTTTTTCGCTCCAAAATGAGATTCAATAGAAAATAATTATATACTACTAGAGAAACAAATATGTATAAAACCGATCCAAGCATAGGAAAGTTGTAAAAGTCAGATACATCTTGTGATATATCACACAAATTTTTATGAAGATCTTGAAACGAGGATAAGCTGCAAATATTCGTGGTAGTGTGCTTTGTAGATAAAATGCTCATAAACTTTTGATGTTGGTTGGTTGATATGATCAGACCTGCGTTCTTCTTAATCACCTCGTTTAAATTTTTAAACATGAAAAATAACAATCTAACAATGAACATGTATTGCATATTCAAACAAGTTATCATAAAATTTGGCATGAAACCAATTAAAAAGATGAATGAGTTTCGATACAACATAAATCCAGTACTTGTAAAAAATGTGTATATTACAACGTGAATTACAAAAATACTAGTCATGTAATAGACTACCGATTTTTTTGAGTTTACAACGTCCGAATAATAGAAAATAGTGTATATACTGTACATTTTAACAATTAAATTAACTAAACATTCAGCTTTAAGGCAGAAACTCAACAGTACAGAAGCAGTAACTAATGTTCCAAACACAGCATGAGATAGATCCACTATTTGGAACAAGAATAATCTTTCTTCATATACTTTGTAATAGACTACGTATACACCTGCATAACAAACGAATACCACCAAACAAATCAACAATATATTGTAGAGGATAGAAAGACTGGATGTTTTAAACAAATAACGTTGTTTCAGTTTGAGCACTGCTGTATTTTTCTTTTGCGTTATTGAAAAAGTTGACAGACCGATTAACGCAAAAAAGTAATGTAAGATGATTAAAAAGCCCTTGAAACCAACGACGTTGCACTTGACCATTTTATGCGCGCACAACGCGACAGAGTGCCAACCGTTAACCCGCGCGAAAGTATTGCAATTGAAACGAAAATATGCCTGTTCGCACTGTGACAAAATGTTTTTACAATTTTTTTCACACTTACTTATTTGATAGCTTCTTTCTTCCAATTAGCATGATCGTACTAACGATAAGATGTATATCGATTTACTATTTCAAGAAATTAAAACCTCTGACCTTTTGTAGGTGCACGCTATGACTAACGTCCAGCGTGAACAAAATAACGAAAAATTGTTATGATTTACACTATTATTATTTCATTTGATTCAATTGTAAAGCAGCTTTTCAAATATAAATACATTGCAAGATGAGCTTTTCTAAATAGCTAATAATTAACAATTAATAAGCATGATAAGATTTTGATTATAGAACTAAATATCTGTAATAAAAACAAACTATTCATCATTACGTATAAATAATTGTAATTCATTACTCACCGATTGCACGAAGCTACTTTCTGCCTATAAATGAAATCTTCATGCAGTAAATTGAACATGTACGTGAAGTAAATATAATGAGAAATAAATCACTTAGCTAAAATTTAAATAAAAATCCTTATTCAATTTTTTTTTTATTGAAAGAACTTAGCACTCATAAATAGTGTTAGTCAGGAATATACGATATTAAGTAATAGTTCACTTGACGTGTATCAACTGCCATACTTTATCATATGAATAATATACTACGTACCTCTTTCAATATTTCATCGTTCAAAGTGCTTCTATACAAAATTAATGAACTTTAGTTCATAATGCCAGTTCTATTGATCAGCAATACACAATTATGTCCAACTACAGTAATTACAAAAATTTTTTAGATCATCGTGGAACCGATTCGTCATAATATTTGTCATTCGTATTAAAAGTATTATATATAATTATGAATCAATGTATAAATGGAATTCACAAGCAAAATCTAGTTAATTATTCTGAATTATTCTATATTTTCAGGATTATTTTACTAATTTTTCAATTAAATAAAATAAACGTTTACAACGTACTTTATGTGATGTTGTCATAACATATTTTGATGGTGTTAGTAGTGATAAGGTAAGGCAGATGAGTCATAAAAATACGTAAACGTATTCTATGTCAGATAAAAGAATACTATCAGCTACAAAATTCACTAAAAATATAAAAAAACCACTATACAAACAAATATGTTTGAAATACTATTAAAAATAGTTATTTCATAGAAATTTGTTATTTATTCACATATTTTAATAATAGAGTTATATTATTCATACACTGATGACAATTGCAGTTGTTTTGAATTGAGCAATAGACTTATTTCAAATATATTCAAGTATATGCTGTTGGTAATTTGATTAAATCCAACAATGCATCCTTCAATTTTTTTTATACGTCTAACAAATTTTGTACACTATAGCGTATTGTAAAACTAACCGGATAATTACAAAATTTTGAGAAGTAGTAGAAAATGGATATAAGCAATTGTTATAATACATACATACACTAATAACTGATGTTACTCAATTGGCTGTCCTAAAATCGATTCCGTATAGTTTAACCATTTAGAAGATTTTTAGTTCCAACAGCAGTATGTTAAAATTGACACAAAACTGTCATACATTAGCGAGTCTACGACAGACAACAAAGTCCAAGATTTTTTGTATCTTGTAGTGTATATGTACTCATAGTCCATAAGTTTATGGTAATAACGATTAAAATAAAAAAATAATCGTAGTCTATTGCTAATGCCAATCTAATAAAAATAGGTTCTTCTTATATGAATGTGTTTGTACATTTCAAAGAAACGCTGTATTTTCGTATCACGTCGAATGACTGAATCTTACATTCTATCATTGTTTAGACAAAACTGGAATAAATATAGTTCACAATTGTAATCGTAAAAGTACTTCGACATTTACTTCTTGATCTACTTTTCATACGTCGGTTTTTTTACACTGTACTCGCAATAAGATGAATTTGCAAATGATAACAAGTAAAATATTACTCAAGTTTTTCAACGGTATGATAACATCTGCCAACAGCAAAGTCAATGACTTTAATATAGCGAATAGATGTAACTTAAAAAAATATGTAGACTATTTATAAGTTTTCGTTATTATAATTACCTTACAAAAGGTACTTATGTACTTGATAAGATCTACTTTAATTGGAAATTGAGCAATATAAAAAGGTCATATGTGGGCACGTATTTATATAAGAAAACATATTCACTAAACGATATATTGCTTTATATTTTAAGTTTTTAGAACAAAGGAACAATAGGCCCATGAAAAACAAATTTTTTATTTATGCACCCTTGGTGTCGGTCAAAAGAAGTTATAACTCTATTTTGCCTAATATTACTTATCAGACGGAATCTTTTCACTTGAAGGTATTTTATATAAACCCACAACATATAATTAAGCGTACTGTTTATGAAAAAGAAGGTTTGTAATGACTTTTGATGTATTAAGTTATAGATAACTTCTTTTTTGATATTTTCATGTTGGACACTACAAATGCGAAATTTAACCAAATACTTGTTGAGATCGGAAAATTCATCTCAAAACTGTTAAATCTAAGTATATGCTTGAGAAATACAAACTGTTGTAGGTATTTTATGATAGGTAAACAGGGACTTTATTTCAAACTTATAATTTTCAGCGATATATTTATATTACATGATGAACTTCGTCACAATCTAATAAATTCGAGAGTTTGTCAGACTGCCTGAATAGAGTGTATATAAATATATCGCCCAAAATGATATTGTTATAAATTATTAAACAATGAATAAACTCATATATCAAAGAATCTATTTATTAACTATAACGATGTAGTTGTTAGAGTGATCATTCGTGAATACATCTGAAAATTGATAACTGGAAAGCGCGATATTTGAATGTGTATAATGCATCGAAATAAGGTCCGTGGTCATCCATCTTTATAAAAGTGATGGCGAAAATGACGGTAGTTCATTCGTAATTTGATTGGCCGAAGGATAATCACGTGATCAGCTGACAGATTTCCATCGATGATTAAATGTTCGAAAAGTGTATCTGTATAATTCACATGAATTTTATATGAATTGATTGATTTACGAGTATTTATATTAACCTCAAAATAAAAATCGTCTGATACCTCGACAGAGAAATGTATTCAATTTTGCTCTAAGCGAAAGTTTAGCTTCGAATAAATGAAATATGTAATAAAAGATATAAACCACAAATTATCACGATAAAATGTTATGTGATGACTTGGGTTTTATTCAGTTACATAAAATATTAGAACATTTTTTTTAATGCATTTATTACAACCGTAAACGTCTTCCGAAGTATGTTACTAATATCTCAAAGGATATGCTTATAGAAAATGATAATGGTTTGAGAACTTATATTACGTTTTTATTGTATTTATCAAACGTTTTTAATGATTTTTCAAAAGAAAACTTCGGATGATAAAAACTTAAAACTTTACTAATAACATTTTATAGTCATGAGTAACAACGAACTGCATATTCATTTACCAAGAAATGATATCGTCGGTTATATCATATCAAATCATGGGAATATTTAATGTATTTCAAATTTTCGTATTTTCAATTTCGCCAATAAAATAAATATGAAAAAAAAATAAAAAATTTGAGCACGCTCTAGACATATCACTAATAATAATATTAGATGCGTGAAAATGTGGTTATTCGTGATACTTATTAGAATATAGTACGAAACAAAAGACTTCAAAAAAATGTTGCATTCAAAATGTATAATTTCATAATATATAATAAAAGTTATAATAATTATTTCATGTTCAATTTTATCATTTTATAATACAGCTTTTAAAATATTCATACAGAAAGGGATAATCGTTGCTTTTATTATCATATTATATAAATTCAATTGTCAATCACTAATTAACTATAGTACCATTGCTTTTTAATGGTGTTGAAGTTGAATCAAACTGAAACTGTATAAGTATCACGAGATACGTTGTTATAGAACTGAATATCTATAATAACAATAAATCATTAAATAAATGTCATGAATAGTCATAATCCAATACTCACTGACTGCACAAAGCTACTATCCAATGAAAAAAATCCCCATGCCGTAAATTGTATCTTCACGTGAAGTAAATACGTTGAGAATTCTCTGAGCTGTAAAATATTTATTTGAATAAATAATATATTTCTTATTTGGAATACCAATGAATAAAATAATCCACACAACATGCTTTAGAATAATTATGAAAAGGGTTATACCTCTTTCAATATTTCACCATTCAAAGTATTCCGAATTAGTTGATGAACTATAATACCAGTTCTATCTATCTAGAATGTACAGTTTTATATAGTATTTACTTACATAAATTTATAAATTATTCTTTTATCGTGGATAAACTACTCTGCATTGAATCCTGATTATAAAGATATTTGATAGTTATATAAAATGATGATGATCAACTTGACATTATCAATAATATTTTACAATAATATTGAAATAACTACGATTCAAAAAGATAATAATTAAGAATAATAATAATATAAATAATATTTTATAATTACATAAAAAAATAAAACGGAGATGAGCGAAAAACGATGTCGTTTTAAGAATTAAGTACTTATATATTAAATAAAAACATCATTTGTGACTTACTTCTTGTGTAATTATCGTAACATATCGCGACAGTATAATAAATGAAGATGTAAAACAGATAAGCCATAGAAATATATGGACGTACTCTATTTGAGATACAATGAGTCTTCTTTCGATCACAAGATCAACCATGAAATATGCAAATACCACCATGCAGACAAATATGTAGGCGATACTGCATAAAATAGTTATTCCATAGAACCTTGTTACTTCTTGACATATTTCAGTAGTAGAATAATGCAAGTCACGTACCGATGACAATAATTGCAACTGTTTAATGTTTACTAAAATATTGTTTTTGGATTTTCTGCTCTTCCAGTCAGATGTAGAAGCTTTCACTAAATCCGCTAACGCACTGTTTAATTTTTCAAATACATCCAATAGAATTTTTACAACTAAAGTATATTGCAAGACTAGCCAGGTAATTACAAAGTTCCGAGAAGCACTACTTATTAGAAATACCAAATTGCTATAATATAGGATGCCGCTGACAAACAATGTCACGAATATGAAAATATGAAAAGTTAAAAGTAATGCAATGAACACAACCGTTGATTTCTTCGCCGGTCTATTATTCAACTGGTTTGCGACCGACATTGTTCTATAGATTTGATCCATAAGTTCTATAGAAGTCTTTTGGTACCAACAATAGTATGTCAGTATTAAAAGTGAAACCAAACTGCCATAGAGAATTTCAAAAAAGTCTATGATATGAAACAATGACAGGGTTTTATTGTATCTCGTTGTGTATAACGTATTTACAGTCCAACAGTTTATGATAATGACGATCAAAATAAAAATCAAATTGTAGCCTATTGCTAATGGCGATCTCACAAAAATAGGCTTTTCGAAGCTTCCGTGCGTCTGTTTCGTATCCATAAAAAAAGTTACAAGTCCAAAAATATTGAACAGATAGAGTAACAGTTTTAGCGATGTCGGATGACTTGTATCAAACATACTTTTATTCCTGAAGCAATTGTAGTTTTGCTTCATCTCAATGGGCTGAAACTTTAATAATTTTTGTGTTGAATCGCGGTCGTGGAAGAGCGCTATTCGCTTCTTGCTCTACTTTTCGCAGATCGATTCCGTATAGCCAGTAATAATGACAAGTGAAAAATATTACTTAAGCTTATCATAACATGTATCTGTCAACGGCCAGAACTGAGTAATAACTTGTGAATATCGAATAGGCCAAGCTCAAAAGCTTATTGTACAGATGAATTGTTTTTCTTGAATCGTCATTATTTCAATTCTATTGTAATATGTTATTAACTGTTGATAGTATCAAGTTAGATTTGAAATCATAAGAATGCTCTTTAACTGATTGCCTTAACATAATGTTCGTTTTTGCTATCAAACTTTTTTTTTGTATTTAACATCAATGTAATAATAGGACTTACTGAATATGTTAACAAACTTTTCAGTCGTTTTCATTGTATCTATAACAAAGAACTTGGTTTTCAATGTATTTTAGTTTCATATTTAGCATTAATATGACAACAAGAATTATCCAGATTAATGTATAATTATAAAGATCTATAGAAATATGTAATAATTAATATGCCATTTGTTTGTAAAGTAAAATTTGCACTACGTACATCAATACATTGCAAGTTTAATCTCTTTCAATGTGTATAATTAGACCTTTCATTGTGTTCTCGATAATAAAGAGGCATAATTAACAGAAATTGTAGATTTTTTATGTGGATGAGGTAGCTTAATTTCATATATAAATAGAGGAGTCGGGACAAATCGAAATTTAATTACGAACGGAAAGTTAATCGCGAACGACGTGTTTTTCTTCAGCTCAACATGAAAATTCAAGTGATACTTTGTCCGATAGCAATATCTTTTGCTTTTATGGATCATACTTATGCTGTAAGTACTAATTTTTAGCTAATATCTTGAAATCTATAAGGCTTTGGTTAATAGCAATATGATTTTAAATTAATGGTTCAATTTGATCTAGCAGTGAATAAACCTACAATGATCAATTTGTTTCGAATTTTGAAAAGTATGCATGTATTTTCTTTAATAGGGCGTGACCAGAGCACAGATGGAAAATTTGGCTAACGGTATCCGAAAGGGATGTGCAAAGAAAGTAGGCGCTGATCTAGGTAAAAACATAGAAAAATGTCTAGATAGCATTGAAATATAGTGAAAATTGAATGGTTTGCAGCTTTGGTCGAAGGAATACGAAATGGACAATTCCTGGAAGGGAATACTGCATTAAAATGCTATACGAAATGCGTAATGATTATGATGAAAACTGTAAGTACATAGTGCAGTTTGAATTATGGAAATATGAGAACGTTGATCGTTTTTGCTTTAGCTTAGAGGCAACAGGGGAGATCTCAATGTCTTAAAGAAACAAATAAAAGCAATGGCATCAGAGGACGTTGCCGACAAACTTATTTCCGCTGCATCACAATGTTATTCCGAAATCGGTAAACATAAAAAAATTTATTTGACCATATCCAATTTGCAGGCAATTTATTCCTTTTAAATTTTATAGCAATTATGACTGATCTTTGCGAGTACACGTGGAGGTATACAATTTGCACCTACAAGAAAGATCCAGTGAACTTCTTTTTTCCATGAAGAAGTTTATTTTTAATCTAAAAGCAGATATGAAGTAAAATATTGTTGTATTGAAATGGTAATTTATGTTTATAAATTGAAATGAATTTAATGATTTTATGAAATTGATCTACATTTTTGCTTTTTTTTATAAATACTGTAGCACATATTTTATTAATTTGAAAAGCATTAAAATTATTTTACGTAATTGAACCCCTAACCATCAATGCAGTTTTCCAAAAATTCAATTTCTTCTTATAAACATCGCTTTATATTACTAATTGTTACAACTGTTACAACTATAAGATTCGTGCTGGTAAAGATTCTTAATTAGACTATTTTTTACTTTTTGTATTTACATGCTTTATTCTGAAGTCGATAAATGAAAACTTCAATGTTGAAATAAATGACTTTTAATAAAATAATTCAAATGTTAATACTCCTGTTATAAATTGTGCTTTAAATGCATGATGCAAAAAAAGGTAATCTAATTACAAAGACATTTAAAATAACTTATACTACTTTTACGATATCACATTACAGGATGTACGATATTTTCTGAATGACGGAGTGCAAAGTATGCCATTAGACAATTGACAAGATTGATACCTGCATATGTTAATAAGTGCTACTTGGTGAAATGTCTTCTATTATAAAAGACGAAAAAACGATTGAGACAATGTTTCTCAAGAAGTAGACATAGTACGAAGTAAATGTATAAAAAACTTGAAAGTGTATTGTAAAGGAAAATAAAATGAAATTGCTCTTTCGAATAGCGACTTTTAGCCTGATTTTACTGGTTCTTGAGACTGCCAATGCTGTAAGTATGATTGGACTTTAAATAGATTATTTGAGGAACATCTATTTTTTTGTTTCAAATATTTTCACGTCGTGGGTAGTTTGCCTTTGTTTAATTATTATTTAATTATTTGAAAAAATCATACGTACAATAAAGTCTTTCAAGTGTGTCATTAGAATACTGCATTTTTATAAATTTTAAGAATATCGTTGTACATAGTTAATGCATGGAACAGGTGAGTCAGAATTAAATTTATTATATAGAATTATATATATAAAAAACCCTCGTTGCTTTCGGATTTTTCAGTAAACTAATCTTCGAATTAACAATAGTTTATCGACATCATTTGTTGTCATAGTGGTGTACAGCCAAGTGGGCTAGCTTTTTATCATAGAAAATTTTCAATCGTGCAATATTCAAATTGTATCATTTTCGATATTTTTTTATCCATCACATAAATTTGATACTATTGCCATAAAATTAATTATTTTAAACTACTAAAGTGCAAACATATCCTTTATGGTATAAAAGTAGTTGAAACATAATAATAACTAATATTGTCACTTGGATTATTATACATAAGACGTGTATAAATGGATGTAAATTAGCTAATATAATCATGTTTTTCAGAATTATAACGAAAATAATTAAATTTTTCTTTGTTTTACTTTATTTTTCCTAGTTTTACTTGTCTATTTTGCCCAAAAACATTTTTTTTCCCCAGGTCAAAAATTTTTGTATATACAATTTTTAAGCATACTTTGACTTAATTTTTATTAAATTTTGATTTGCTTTCGTTGAAAGGAATGGCAGATCTTGCTTTCTTACTTCGCTTTCCCACCTCTTCCCCTACATGTTAAAACATATTTTTAAGCTGTAATTATATGTTATTTTTAAGAAAATGACTATGGACCAAATAAGAAATACCTTAAGACCCTTCAAAACTTCGTGTCTGAAAAAAACTGGAGTAGATTTTGGTAAGTTGAAATCTATATATTTTGGGCTACTTTTAATATTTTATTTTTTATTACTAGGCGTTACAACTTTTCCATATAAGAGTAACTTGGTATTGTTATGTCTAATTCAAATAGTATATTAATCAAAATCTTGAATAAACATATAAAATTAAAATAGTGAAGTATTTTTAAACAGTTTCAAATTGTTTCAAATAAAATACATTAACTGTTTTTCTTACTAAAAAAGAGATAATGGTAGACTTCTAATTTATATCAATTTTTTTTCTTATTATACATAAACAAAAGCCCATATTAGAAATTAAATATTTGTATTCTTAGACTTGGTAGAAGGAACCAAACTTGGTAATTTTCCGGAAGAACGATCTCTAATGTGTTTCTGTAAATGTGTTATGCAAATGATGAAAGTGGTAAATATCTGTAGTTTACTGGATTTTGCAAATTTGAAATAACTAACAAATACAATTGTGATTTTAGGCAAAAAATGGCGAAATTTTGATAAATGCAATGATGCAACAAGTAGATTTAATGATGCCCGATGAGTATGTTGATGAAATGAAATCAATAATTACGAACTGCGGAAACGAAGGTAACATAATTTTAAAAGTTTTTGAAAATATTATCTACCCGTATGTTTCAATTATTAAATTTAATTCGATTTATTTTAGCCTCTACAAAAGAGGATGCATGTGAATCCAGCTTTGTGTTTGTCCGATGTTTTTATCGATCTAACAGTAATGTAAGTAATTGTTAACTTGTAATGTACAAATGCGCAAATTATTTATAAAGTTTATCATATGCGTTAACATTTTCATTTGAAGTAAAGAGTTCATTTGATATTTTATTATAATTTTTAAATTATCTATATTTATTTTCAGCTCTACTTTTTTCCGTGATCATTGCAACTGTAATCGACCTACAACTTGTTCATCTATGATCTATCTAACTATTTCAATTTCATGCAATATACTTTTTACATAAAGTTTGAACATTTTTTTATAAGTAATTGTATATCCTATTAGGGTTGTATAAAATCAAATTTTTTAATAAGAATTAAAGCGAAAATATCTAACCATTATTTCATTAAAATTTCTAGATTTATTATTCATATTCGTATTGATTTGTCAAATTGGTTTATATTACAGATTAACAAAAAATTACGTTTAATAAAAAAATAAAAATTAAAGATATAATTAAGTCATGCATGAAAAAAGGATTATACGGATATCTCTTATAATTAATGTAAAAAATGCTGCCAGCTGATATATTGAATTGAAATGTAAAGAAAGTGATAAGTTTGTGTAACACATATTTGAAATTTTTTAAATTATAGCTAGAAAAATGAAAGTTTATTTCGACGACTTTTCTGAGATAAAATGGTTTCACGACGATATCTTTATTTATAATGTTATTTATATGTGTACAATGTAATTTATAATTTTCACTGTTTAATATTGACTCTAGCATCAATAGAATATTATAGCAGAGTGAACATAAACATAGCTGTTAAGGTTTTCTGCTCATACTTGTAATTAAAACAGAATATACTAGATTAAGTGAACGAAAATAAGCAAAGCTGATGTTTATTAAAAAAATTCTTGTTGAAAAAGTGAAAATATTTTTTTAATATTATGAAACAATTAACGTTTTCTTACTTTGCTCATATTTGTACGATAGATCCGAAGGTTGCCGAAGTATTTGCTTTAAAAAAAGAGCTATTTTTATTTAATTGTCAATAAAATTGAAGAAATTAATATATTTACTTGAGAATGGATAGATCAAAATAGATGCGATATCAAGCTATAGACGTGGTCGAAACAATTTGGAATCTACAGGATCACAATTCAAGGTCAGAGAGAAAAAGAGAGACGGCGAAAATTTGCCTCGAACATCAAACCAAAATATTACGAATGATATGTTGATGAATATATATATTTCTTATATAATACACGCGGACATTATGCAACACTGATAAAAATTAAACAGGGCTTAACAAGTAAATCACACAATTTGCATAGGAGTCCTTAAAGTGTAAGTCCCCTCAATAAACGTCCAAAAATCGATGTTTTTAACATTAGTTCACCTGAAATTGTATATAAAGTTTGTGCGAAAAAAAATGAGTCGCCAGTAATTAAGTCAAATTATCGTCGGCAGCATTGTCATTGTTCTCAAATGATATCCTAACAATAACAAAATGTTAATTTTTGTTGTTTATCCGGTAAGTTACAGCGAAATTCAACGGCGACTTATCCGAGGATATCGAGGTATGTTAAAATTATCGTTTTGAATATTAATTTATTAATTTATTTATTAATATTAATTTATTCTTAAAAGACAATTGATAATTTGTAAACACAAACATATATGTTACCTTGACAACGCAAGTACGTTTTTTTATTTTTTAAACAAATCTAAAAGTTAGTTTAATAATAAAAACGTCAAAGCAATAACTCATCGTCATGTTATTCTAATATATAAAAACTATTTTAAAACTTATATCTGAGGTTTCGAGTACTTATTGTATTAAGGTAAACTTTAATAATTGGGAGTGGCAGAAAGATGTGCACGCTGATAGTTGCTGAGTGTTTGGCTGGTGTGCATGAGAGCGCGCGCGTATGCGTGAAAGAAAGAGAGAGGGGGAAAGCGAGAGTGACAGACTAACGTACGTTTCACTGAACATTTTTTCCTTTTTTCTATAATAGCTAGTGGAAGGAATGTTTTTTTTAAGTTACGATTATAGAATTTCTCTTGAGGTAGTTGGAAAGTTGATTGACGAACAATGTGTTGTAAGCGTTAAAACTTACATTTTATAGCGAAAACATTTTAGCTGTGTAGTAATTTGGAATTTAATTTTTGAGCGGCTTTTACAACAACTAAATCGTTAACTTTTCAAGTCTGCCTCTTCTAGTAAATGCTTATTGCTATTACTTTCTTGGGCTTATACAATACGGAATCGCAAAGAAGGATTCTATTTTTAAAGAATTGACCGTAAAACTTTTTTTCTCCATAACTTATATAATTCGCTTTTCATAGATAAAAACTCTTGTAAATTTATTGAACAGTAGAATATCAAACCTAACGTAAAAAAACTTAGGGTAAGAGGTTTGATTATGGACGACTGCGTTTCTTTTTTCTGTTAACAGAAAGCAGGTGAAGTTTTTCTGACAAATGTCATTTACATATTATGGAGGCACGTTATACCAAATATAAAAGTAACTTGCGCATAGTAGTTTCATATGAATCATCTACCATACTTTGACGATTTTGCAGAAAAATAACTGCAAAAATGTTTGTTGTCGATAAATCGACTAAAAAGCAAATTTCCAACTATCTTTTAAGATTTCCAAGCATATAAAAAAAAATTTGTGAAAATCCGGCCAGCGGAAAAGTTGTACCGACTGGTACACACAGAGATTGTCACGAACAGACTTCATAAAAATTAGTACATTATATGCACCAAGGGAGCATATAACAGTGGTCACTGCACTCCCATGGTGCGTGTACACCCCCCCCCCCCCCCCCCCCCCACCATACTCTACCTTGGGCGGTAAAGCCAACCATGAGATAGGTCCATGTGTCTTCATGGCTTAAACCATTGGCTGACCATGGATGCAGAACGTCCTGCTAGCATCTATGATGGCTTTCTTAGTTGACCGTAGACCCAAGATTGACACGGTATGTGACTTAGCGTTATTGAGCTCCAAACCACGCGTTCAGAGATAGTTTGTAGATAGATTTGAGATTCAGCTAGCAGGGCTAGGTCATCGGCTCATGCTATCGCTCTATAGGTGAAGTCGTTGAAGGCGGGGATCCATTATGATGTGACAGCATTTATAGCGTAAAGATCCTAGAGATACGGCATCATTAGGGATGGTAAACCAACAGCTTGAGTTGTTTTGATGAATGCGGTATGCTCAACGCTACAGAAGACCTCTAAAATATCGAAGATTCTCTCGTTTAGTACCGGGAGATAATCTTGAAGTATATGTTTTTGAAATTGCAAGTTAAAAATGACTTCGTGCATACGTACAATAATGTTATTTAATTTTGTATCTTATTTTTCCTTCCTTAATACTTTCAAAATAAGTAACTAAATAATAACAATTTATTACCGACAAGAAAAGAAATCATAAATAAGAATACAATTTTTAAGTATTTTAATTGAATTTGTTTAAATTTGATACTACTTATGTAACTATCAGTCTGAAATTTATATCCTGATTCAGAAAGAAACATGTATCCAAACACGTATTATCTTGTTGGAAAACATACGTCACCAGAATAAGACTATAAAGGGCACTTAATATTTTTAATGATATGAAAAGAATATTCTTTAATTTTCGTCGAAAACAATAATTTGTTATACTGAAATTGATACAATATTCAATTTTATAGTTAATTTTCCAACGAATATTTTTATACCATAAAATACACCATGAAATTTGTAATCGATGAGTAACTAGCAGTTACCTCCATTAATTAAACTGATTTCATACGTGTCAACGATGGCAGCATAAAGTATGTGTTTGTTTTCTAAAATTAGTGGCTCTGAAGAGAACAATTAGATGTTTGCAAAGCACATTTAGAACGTTACGTATCTAAGAAAATTCAGCTTATCGAATACTGGTATAAAACAGAATAGAAGCATAAGAAGCGCATTTTTTCAAATGCTACCAGTTAATGCGTACAAGAGAGTAAATAAGAGCTCGAGGAATATTAAATAACTAAAATGCAACTACTCAATGCGACAGTAACTTTAGTTATAATTGTTATTATGCATAAGACTGTCGATTCTGTAAGTGTTGTGCTCAATGAAAGACAAAAAAATCAATAAAAATCATTATACATAAAATACTTCTCTGTTAAAGAAAATGACTATTGACCAAATCAAAAATACCATGAAACCGTATAAAAACAAATGTTTAAGAGTCACAGGTGTAGATCCAGGTGAGACAGCCTTTACTTTATAAATTTTTTGTTCTGTATTTTATATCATATTTATTTACTTTCATAAAAATCCCCATTGATAAATTTTTTTATGAAAATCTGGCTTACTATTTATCTATCATTGATCCATTAGCAAGACTTTTCCTAGTTCTTTCATTCATCCTTTTAAAATTTATTTTAGACATCGTTGAAGGGACTAAATCCGGGAACTTTCCCAGCGATCCAAAGCTAATGTGTTTTACAAAATGCATATATAACATGATGAAAGTTGTAAGTTTAAGCATGAAAATATAGCTAATCAGAATGTTTTAATCAATAATTATCGTTACAGATAAAAAATGATGATCTTTCACTAAAAGAAATTTTCAAAACAGTTGATTTGATGGTGCCAGATGAATATGTGCCACAAATGAAGAAAATAATTGAAGATTGTCTTGGAAAGGGTAATAACATTTGATAAGCATAATTAGATAATTGACACTTTGCATTTTTCTTAAGTTTCGACAAATATTTTCATCTTCATCTTTAAGCGCATTGAAGTTGGTCAAAGTTATTTCTTGATCCAAATGATTCACGCATGAAGAAATGTCTATTATATTGAAAAATCTAAATTATATAAGTCATGTATATTATTTTCATTTCAGCTAATACTAAAACATCAGATTTGTGTGAAAAAAGTTGGTTACTATCCAAGTGCTTCTACGAATCAGACAGTTCGGTATGTTCAGTTTACTAACCATTATTATTTTACATAATTAATATTTTGGATATATTTTATCATATATAAAGTGATTAAACAAAAATTTTAACAAAATACGTTTACCGTAAAAAATTTACTTACATAAATGATTTCCGAAAGTTATTGAGCGATGACTATTGCTCAAAATAAGTAATTTGTTACTAAAACTGAACAATTTTCTCCTTAAACTGAGTTACTGAATGCTTTAAAAAGCAATTATTTATTTGAGAATCTTTCAAATGAGAAAATTATTTAAATTATTTTCAGTATTAAAAAAGTAAGAAGTCATACCTCCAAAAAATTAATATTTTTACGATGTTCATAATTTATGTTAGATTCATTCAAAAGCTTATAAGTTTAAGAAAAAGTTGTAATGCTGTAGTAATAGATTTATATAGTACTCTATTATTTTGAATCACTTTAAGGATTTCAAAAAAATGTGAAGCTAGCATTTATTTGAATTGATCGGGAAATATAATATATTTAATTATGTAATGTTCAACATTAAACTTTATGTTAGATTTATGAATTACGTAAAAAGAATTGTAAAAATGCAATTTGCATTCCACTTGTCAAGTTCCTTCAATTGAAATTTTTGAAAAATTATAAGCTTACTTGTGTCTTTACAAAGCTTACAAATAAAATGACCAAATTATTTACCTTTCCAGCTTTATTTCTTTCCATAACGTGGGTTTTCGAGGCATCGATCAAGATGAACGCTTTACCGCTACAACTGCTATTGTGAATTAAGATTCACTCAGCCATTTACTGCTTCTTTTGTGGAAGCTTTGAGTCAGGATTATTTTATCACTTTTGATTCTTAAATCAATCAATGAGTTTGATCGCACAGGTGAAAAATTTGTTATTTTCTGTATGTGTGTAATGAATCTGTTTGTCAATTCATTAATTCTCGTCATTTTTACATTGTTCACGATATCTTAGCAAATCTGTATTTTCGTTTTCCGACATTTGTATGGTTTACTATTTCAATAACAACAGAACATTTTGGTGCGATGCGAACGAATGTTTTACTACGATTATAAACATACGATTATAAATGTTAATTTACATTTTGCATATAATTTTAGTGGTTTTATTTTTTCTGCATAATTATACTTTAATGATTGAATAATAAATAAAACTATGTTTAATTTTGTTCGATTTTTGCTTATTTTTTCAATGCCTAATTTAATCTGATCATTGTAATATTGGTAAAATATATTGATTACTCTGGCATGATTTAGTAGATAAAGTTACTTTCTTAAAATGAGAGTCTGCTCAGGAGTAAGGAAACGTTACTATTAGACGAAAGAAGAAGACTGACAAAATGAATAAAGATCACTTTGGAACCGAAGGTTTCTGTAACGTTTCTACAATTTATTAGGGTTGTGGATGTAATTAGGATATTGCCCAAAAAGGTAATTATCTTATTATGTGCTGCGTTGACCCCTTGAGAATGCAATTTCTGTATTTTGTTCTGTATTGTTTGTGACTTAAAGATATTTTTCGATATTATTTTTGACAAAATGTGAAAAACAATTATTTAATGAATTTTAATTTAATTATTTAATGAGTTCTCTACACGTAGCAAAGTCCTATAGTGTATGTTTGTGTGTATACAATTTATATCTGGAATAAAGCCAATCGCTTTCTTTAATAAGTCATTAATTTTTTGTGACTTTGCAAACTATTCTATAACATCAAACAAACCGTTGAGAAAGTTGTTCTTTACTCCGCACAGCAGTACCAACGAATATAGACGCACTATCCGTCGAAGTACGCAAGCGAAATTTCGGTCATAGATTCTCATTCCACTTTGCTTCAAGTCGATAACAAAAGATGTGATTTTAAGTAGTTTGAAAAAAATCTTTTTTCTAAACCATACGCACATGGCGGACGAAAAAAACCCTCAGAAAGGAAATTTTATTATCTGTCCACTATATCAACATATTTTAGAAGCACATATTGCTACAAGGAGAATGTAACTATCTGTATTTCTTTTTGTTTCTAAATATATATAGACTTTTTTTAATTTTCTTTATATTTAAACTGATATTGATGCGGGCGACTCCCTAGACCATGCCGGGTTGGTCGTGCTGGATCTTCATAAACGGGTTTTCTGGTGCTGGTGGGGGAAAACGTAAGTCAACTCAAAACGCAGAAACGGATGGTAATTAACTATGGCTCCCACCTGGCTACATATTGCACTCAGGTTAACTTGCAATACTCCGACGGCAATATATAGTTATAGGTTTCTGGCGGACAGGGGCGCACCAATTATATAAGAAAGAGATACAAGATTCAAATTAATAGCAAACATATGGTAAAACTTCTGCTAATAAAAAACAGCGTTCAACTATTTATTATGGTATTATAAAATAAATAGGTCAAATATTTCGTGCTGGCATCGCAAGCAAATGTGTGTTTGTTACTAATCCTTTAAAGATTTTCCATTTTTTTTTCTTTTTATTTCATTTTGATTCGATATATGTCATGCAAAGTTTAAATGCCATAATTTAACTAGGAAAGAGCATACTTGTCAACATTTCACAGATTTCATTCCTTTCCAAACGTTTCTTCCATTGTAATAACAATAATAATGATAAATATTAACTATTAACAAAATAAGTAAGCTTACAATTCGATTTTGCTCCTTTCATAACTATAATTTCATTATAAAAGTAAATGAGAAGTTGAGAAACAAGATAAGAAAGAATATAAACTTCTACTTCTTTCTTAACTTTAATTTGATCATAGGTGTGTGATTTTTTTCTGGCGTCTGACATTTAATAATTTATTTGGAGAGTTATAAAGAAGTAGTTAAGAAAAACAATTACACCAGGGAAAAGTTATTCTATACGAAATTCAAATTAAAATTATAAAATATACGAAGTCAAAACACAAGTTTTAAAAGTTGTTAATATTCGATTGTTTAAATAATGATTATTTTCTATTATAATTCGATCAATTCATACTAAATTCATGTCAACTATACTGATACACTTTTCGAAGAGGTATTAAATAACCAGCGAGGCGGTTAATTATTTCATGATAGAACGTTTAATTGTTTTATCTGAAAAAATATTCTTACGGTTATTCTTCATTCTTTTGAATAATGTAATCTGTTGAAAGTTTTTTTCTATTAATATTCTCAATCACGTTCGATATTGTCATGAATAAGCTTATTAATCTACAATTTTTCCAACATTTGTTCATGATTTACGTTCAAAAATATAAGATACTAAAATTGAATTTTATCACTTAAACCAAACGAAGTCGCAATAAACGGGTTTACTTAATCAGGTTTTTCTTGAAAAAAAGGAAACAGAACGAGTAAGTAAACTTAATTCACTATTAAAATAATATTTCCAAAAAATGTAAAACTTTACGCTGAGAAATTTCAATAAACAGTTTAACATACATACTAAATAACGGTAATGAAAATTTTTCCAAAAATGTTGGAAAAAGTTTTTATCACAATGCCAGGAGTGGGTTAATTTCTCGATCGATCATCTCAATAGTATCGAAGTCTTCCCAAAGTATTCAGCGGAAACCTATAGGAAACTAAACAATCAACTTTTTAAATTCTGTTCAAGACAATAATAACCTAAACGAATTATGAAAGTGTACATTAGATTCAATATTAATATAATAAAGAAATGATTAATACATTTTTGAACATAGACATAACATTTAAATTAAAATAATTTAATTCATAATATTCGATGATTTTCTCGTCGATATTTGTTTATACGAGGTGGAAAATCTTTATCCATGCAATGTAATTTCACGTCGCGAACTGTATAGTTAAGGATTTCTCAGAAACTGGTGTGTCTTACGAACTGTTATTATTGTGTCATTTGCAAACGTGATAAATTGCACGACGTTTATAGCCTCGGTAAGGGGAACTGTTTACATTATGGAAATGTTGGACTATTGATGTTGTCGAATAAATGTTGCTCGAACGGATTCAGGGGGACAGAGTGTTTCCGTTACTCTTTTACCCCGATATCAACTCTTGAAATTGAACAGCAGCTCGGGAAAGCATAAACTTATAATTGATTGAGATTTAAAATCATTTCAAGACTCACGTTGTCGGACGGTCACTTATTCTACACGAAATGTAACGTTGTAGCATTGAAAGACTTTCGCACGAGAAATAATAATAATGTTACTCAGCCAAATGTCCTAATTCTTGTATTACTGAAAAGCTCCGTCGTTCGGAGTTACAAGATATACATTCATTTTTCGAGGAATACACCTAAAGCATAGATGATTTGTTGCACAATTCGTCACTTCCTAATGAGACGTTTGGATATTTCCTGACTTGATATTCCGGTATAAAAGCTACCTGGATAGTGTTAAATAAGTTTGATTGAGAAGCCGAAATAGACGAGGCATGATGTTTGTTCAAGTCCAATCAAAGATGAAGGTTCACGTGGCTATAGCTATTTTAGTTGTGACCAGTACGCATTTCGAGTCAATGGTGTGCGCTGTAAGTTGTGCGTGCCTTCGTCTGGAGGCATCGCGAGTCTAAAATTTATATTTCATTGGAGATAAGTCTCTCATTGTTTTTTATAAATACCGTGCTGCGCTGAGCGAAAACAGTTCTCCGAGGGCTTTTCACATTCGATTTCGTTAAACGGCCGTAAAAAATTTCAGAAAAAAATGAATATCGCGGAGATAAAAGAAGCTCTAAAGCCAATAAGTCGTTCGTGCAAAACGAAAACCGGACTCTCGGATGGTAATTATAAGCTTGAAAGCGCACCGATGGTCGATGAGAATCGACGCGAGCCATCATTTTTCTTTCTAATTTCCATGATAGAATTGCTCGCCGGTACGATGAACGGATTATGGCCGAGGGACAGGTCGCTCATGTGCTATTTTAAGTGCGCGGCAGTGACGTTAAAGCTCGTAAGTAAAACTATTTATTTTCGGCACTGACAAAGAGGTGCATCGCCGTTTTGTCAGCGATTATGGCTAACGAACGGCACTTTCACAGATGACCAAGGAAGGAGAACTAACGATATCGAACATCAATAAGCAGCTTAACATGCTGATAGCAGACGAGCTTGTACCACGAGTAAAAGAAATTCTAGAATCTTGTCTAGCAACAGGTTTGCATCGTTACCGTGCAACCATTCGAGTAACTCGTATTAAATAGCCTATTAATATATTTTGCAGTAATCAAATCTAACGATGCTTGCGAGTTTGCTTTTGACATGATGGTGTGCTCCTACAACATCGATCCCGAGGTAAGGCTTTCACGTTCGAAACGAACTTCACGTCAGAATTTTATTGCATTCGCTACTCTTCTTTCAGTTGTACTTTTTACCTTAGTTACGATCTAAAAAGGACAGTCGATCGAAAGAACTACCATCACTACTACTTTCCACTTACTGTATATTGTAGAAATTTATATCCTCAAACAGAGTAATAACAAAATCTATTGCATATGTGTTCCTACGAGTGTATCAGTAGTATACTATGACGGGCTATCGGGAATCTCATAAAAGATATGCGAAGAAAGAACCGCTGAACCAATCCTTAATTTCATATTGTAGTCAAGCCTGATCAGTTGTATGTGCGTCTTCATTTCAGTAGATACGAATAGAAATGGTAACTCGTGATAATTCAGAACGTTCTCTCGTAATTAAAGAGTAAAATTTTAAATAATAAACTTACATTTTGAATTCTTTAACTTCGAACGTCAGCCTCCGCCGTTTGTTTCCGTCTGTGGCGCTCAAAAATATATTTCACAGCTCTTTCGTTTCATGATATGTGGTAGATACGACGCTAAGTAAAGAATGTGCATGGTTTGTAAGAAGTGTGTTCACAAAAGCAGAGTATGTCACAGTCAAGGATATGACCGAGCCAAGACAATTATTACAAATAACTATGTAATACTCGTAGTATTCAAGAGAATATGATTGGGTTGGGTGATTATAGTATTGAATCATCATAAAGGTTCTTGATAAAACTATTCGATAAAATATAATTGACAATTTCTTTGTACCATTTACTAAAATTAATAAAATATTATTACACTGACTGGGTTAATTATTGCATCGTTTAAATATTGGAATCCATGAAAGAAGATTCAATAAAATATCATCGGATTGTTGTGCTGTTGAATCATCATTCAAATTTATAAAATATAATTCAATGCAATTAAATATTATTGATGTTAATAGTCAGTTTTATTATTTATTATAATTACTATTGGAGTTCATTGATAATAGTTCACTTTTTTGCTATTGAGTATGATTAATTACCATTGAATATGAATTATTTTGAATATAATTCAATGGAACTTTTGTAGCAGGGTATGATACAATTTGCGAGTAATATATTCTGGCAATAGTTATTTCTCTATATATTAGTACGGTTAATACAATACATGGGCTTTCACGAAGGAACGTAACAAAGAGAAAATTCGACGAAATAGTCTTTTGTTCGAATTATAGGCGTGACGCACGAGAAGGATCGCCAAGGAAGCGACGCGAGCGGAACAAAGTCGGGTGAGTCCTTTGAATACGTTGTAGCGTATCCCAAACTTTTTAATTATTTGCGACGTCGACGTCGGTAGCCACGGGTCTGTCTGAATAATCCAGACGAGCCCCTCGAACTGGCTCAGGATGAAACGCGCGGCTCTCCCATTTAACAGCTTCATCAATTTACTTGTATTTTATCATTTTTGCTCGAACTTTATTTCTTTGTTACTTTTATTTTGCTTTGGAGTATGAATTGAAATTCATCTTTCTTTCGAAAAAGAATGTGATCTTTTGCAGATATTTTTGGGTTATCGCCGCTCGAATCTGCATCATCCACGTTTTCATTAATATCATCATAACACAGTTTCAATCTAAATTTTGACGTTTGCAATAGTATCCCTTTAAATGAAAAACGGTATAGAGTGAAGAAACTACGACGATTTTCAAGTTTATATTTTTTATCAGCTTCCATCTATTTTGTAGAAATATTGTTACGAATAAAAAATGTTATTTCTTAAAAATTTAATATACCATTTGGAAAATAAGCTCATCTCAGATTTGTTCAGAATTAACAGGAAAACATATCCTTTGCTTCAATGAACGAATAAAATTACATTTTTTCTACTATTTTTGATAAACAAAAACTAATTGTACCATCCATTGGAAACCATGTTTCTACATTGTTTTCATACTAAACGTAATTCGTTTACATTACTCACTGAAAACTAATACAAGTTGAGATTTGAGCTGATACTATTGAAAAGTGTATGTAGACAAGGTTTAGCAGGTAGGGTAATTAGTTTTCCATTAAAAATAATATAAACAAAGTTATTTAACGTTGAAAGTTAAAGCGAGACTGTCTTAAAATCTACAAGATGTGTAGGCAAAACGTTACGAGGAACAACGACCGTACGAATACGTGTACAGTGTACACGTATGGCCCTGCGTAAAGAAATAGAAACGCCGGAGATTGTCAATAGTATAAATAGGCAAAATATTCAGCAAACTTAAGGCTCCGATCTAATTACCCGTGATTGACAGATCACGTCACCCAATATCGTGAAATTTCTATTAACGTAAAGTAATACAAAAAAGAAAATGAAGAGGGCGGGAAGATTTGAAACTTAAAATTCATATCACGTTTTAGCTAACATATCGATATTTTAAAAACTTTTTGAAAGTGCTCTTAAATGAATACTCGCTCGCAGAGTATATGAGAATGAATATGTAACATACATAAGAGACGAAAAAGGGTTAAATTTATTATATTGCAATGTCAATTGTATTTCGACCTTCTTTACTTGAAATGAAAAATTAAAATAAAGTCGACAAGCAATATTAAAAATCTATTTGTGAGCACGTTCTTATCACCACCCGTAGACATTTGGCAATCCGTTGAATCTCGGCTCACGCATTAATGAAATTGGTAATTTAAGCGAAACGGTCGAGCTTTTAAAATTTGTTTAAATACGAAAAATGACGCAACGCGAGATAATATAACAGATTTGGATAGTAATATTTGACAGTTAAGTTTTTTAAAAAGTGACTATGTATCATTTTTTTGATTCCTACTTCATTAGGAAGTGGCGAATAGTCCTGACTCGCTGACGATGTCCTGGTATAAAAGTTTATGCGTGAATGACGTTAAAGAAGTTTGACAAGCGAAGAGTGTCAGGGTGTGATGATTGTTTGAGTATTCTATTTGAGCGTGAAAGTTTACACGGCGATAACTGATACTCGTGAGTTAATCGAGCGTGCAGTGAGTTTTTGAAAAGATCGTTGTATGGTCCGACGCAGTTGCACGAATGGAAGTGACAATCTCTTTCCGGGACACTTATTGTTCTGATTGCAGTTCGCTAGCTGTCCGGCTGAAGTAGTACTTTAATATCGGTGACGTTCCGGAAAACATTTGATATCGATGGATTGAAATGTACGTAGAAGCCTATGAGCAAATCTTGAAAAGCGAAAACTGGAGCTTCGGACGGTAATTATAATGAACAGTAGATGATGGTTAGTGTACGGCAGGCATAATTATTTGTTGTTTGTCTAGCAGTCGTGTTAAAAGCTGCGAGTGTTTAGCTGTAATTCGAAACTCGAAAAATTCATGTAATTCCATTCTAAAAGTGTGACGATTTTACTTTAATCTACGTAAATAAATCATAAAATGAGCATCGATTCACAAGTTCACTCTTTGCTACATCTGTGTTGTTGCTTTTCTGACGGGCCCGACGAGTAGTCTTATGAAGATTATTCGAACTTTGTTTCCACCATCGCAAACATTTCAACGCATGATGTTAATGTTAAAAAACGAAATTGAACGAAAGTACAATATCTTAGAAATAAGCGACATAAGCGATGATACAACACAGATAAAACTACCATTATATAATTAAACTTATATATATATATATATACATATATATATACATATATACATATATATACATATATACATATATACATATATACACACACACACATATATATATATATATATATATATATATATATATATATATATATATATATATATATATATATATATATATATATATATATATATATATATATATATATATATATATATATATATATATACTGTATTATATACAGTATGTGTAACAGTTACTTATTAATCGTATTAATCTACTCGTCCGATGTAGATGAGTGATTTCACATCGTTCTCTAGTTTATTTCAGGTATAAACTAACGTATATACTTTGTCAGCATACCTGTTTGACGTTGTAGCTATAATAATAATAATAATAAGTATATAATAATAATTGTAATAATATTAAGTATTGTTATTCAAGTATGATATTTATTTTTGATAAAAAAACATAAACAAGTAGCTATGAATTTGTTTGTTCTTATGATTACAGCATTATATTCAATAAAAAAGGCTGGAATAAAATTGTTCAAAGAAACCAAAATAACATGCAAAACTATTGAAGAACAAGTTGGAGTATAATAAAAAAATTGTATAATCCTCATGCCTACTCGCCTACAGCAGAAGTTTACCTTTCTTGAAAGGTGTGAGGTTATAATATACTTGAAAAATACCATTCTGAAATATATTTTGCAGCTGAGGAAGGATTTTAATAAACAACTTGGTATATATTAGTAATAATAGAGGAATTGGTACCACGAATGAGAGAAAATTTTACAGTAACAAAATCTCATGACGCTTGCTAATATGCGTTTGATTTGATAACATGCGGTTACCAAACGGACCCATCAATGGCAATTATCACAACTAATTTTATGCAAAAGTATGTTATTCTATACATTATTTTTTTCTTTGTAGTTATACCTATTACCAGCATTGTTCGTTTATAAAGTATCAATCGATTTAATGTACTTTAAGTAATCTTTACCTATTCTGTTATAGAACTAGAATAATAGTATTGAGTATTCATATATAACCGAATGATGTATAATGACAAAGTATACGTACGTAGTTTAAATTGCAACTCCGCCGATACAATGAACTAGCGAAGAGTGTATATAACAAAAAATACGTTGAACTCTAAGTTCAGTCAATGTATTATAGTCTGATTAATTATGTCTAATATTTATTTTCAGCGTGTGTTGGTTTATAAAATCAAATATGATTATAAATACAGCTTTGAGTTTTCACCTGTATAAAAATATATATAATTTTTACAGTTTTGTACAATAATTAACCAATCAAATCAGTAATTCTAAGATAAGTTTGATGTGGTCAAACATAGTTCCTCCACAATTATAATTGTAATAACTTTTCAATAAAATCCCTATTGGAATTTCCCACATGGGATACCACATAGGATCCCACATGGAAACCTACATGGGATCTTATGCGGGATCCCGCATAGGATCCCACATGGGATCCCAAAAAATTCAGAAAATCTTCACAATCCCACATGGGATCCCTCATGGGATCCCTCATGGGATCCCACATGGGATTCCGCATGCGGTACCAAAAAAAAATTATTGATATAAGCGTATTTTCATTGATAATACCTCGAATAAATATTTTCAACATGCAATAATACTAATAATCACAATTTTAACTCATTACATTTTATTTTCTTAATGAAAAATCGAATTACAAATTTATTATTCAATAGTATTAAGTTGGAACTTATATCACTTTTAATATTCATAAGCTTTAATGCAGAAACCAAATAAATTGTTTTTCTTTTCATCTTCGTGCGTCTTGTATGGCGTAGCCGATATGTCGCTTGTATAATCCTTTCCAAGTCGCTGCCATAGCTCTAGTAGGATCGATGACGTTGCAGTGTTTCATTAAGAGAACGGTAAGAAGAATAATATTAATTGGAAGCAACGATTAACATAGTTAACTTTAGTAGAATAACAATATTTTTATAACCTTTGATAATGCGTAATTCTCGACGGAAAATACATTTATTTGCCAATTCGTGTGGTTGAAATAAACAACGAAAATCTGCGTCGAAATATTTGAGGTTCTTATTGAAGCGTTTATTTCAACCACATGAATTGGCAAATAAATGTATTTTTGAGATAAAAACAACGGTAGTAGTTAATGACAAAGAAAGACAAGAAATGTCCCGTCGAGAATTACGCATTATCAAAGGTTATAAAAATATTGTTATTCTATTAAAGTTAACTATGTTAATCTTTGCTTCCAATTAATATTATTCTTCTTACAGTTCTCTTAATGAAACGCTGCAACGCCATCGATCCTACTAGAGCTATGGCAGCGACTTGGAAAGGATTATGCAAGCGACATATCGGCTACGCCATACAAGACGCACGAAGATGAAAAGAAAAACAATTTATTTGGTTTCTGCATTAAAGCTTATGAATATTAAAAGTGATATAAGTTCCAACTTAATACTATTGAATAATAAATTTGTAATTCGATTTTTCATTAAGAAAATAAAATGTAATGAGTTAAAATTGTGATTATTAGTATTATTGCATGTTGAAAATATTTATTCGAGGTATTATCAATGAAAATACGCTTATATCAATAATTTTGTTTTGGTACCGCATGCGGAATCCCATGTGGGATCCCATGAGGGATCCCATGTGGGATTGAGAAGATTTTCTGAATTTTTTGGGATCCCATGTGGGAACCAATGTGGAAATCCTGTTAAATTCCCGGAAAGGATTCCACATGGGATCCTATGCGGGATCCCGCATAAGATCCCATGTAGGTTCCCATGTGGGATCCCATGTGGTATCCCATGTGGGAAATTCCAATAGGGATATTTTTCAAATTTTAAAATTAACTATGTAAAGCATAAAATTGATTTTGAAAATGGATGTTCCGAGTAGTTTTAAGTTGAAAATTAATTCATAAAACTCAAAATTGAAGATGAGGTCAGAAGCTTCTTTTACTTTGGGCCAAACATAATTATTTTGAACTTTAAAAAGTTACAATATATTGTGAAATTTATTATTAATTGTCATAATTTTTTCGATAAAAAGTGTATAATAAAAATGGTAACTGCAGAGATACCGACAAATTTGTTTGAAATTCAGATTGAGCTAAATTCCGCAGCATGATGACAGTTTGAAAACTGTCAATACTTCTCTAATGACACATTTCTCAAAACATACATGATTGATTGCACAATCATTCGCTTGATAATAAAACGTTTGTAATTTTGCTGACTCGCTGATGACATCCTAGTATAAAAGCTAATGCCCGAATAATGTTTGACAAGTTTGATGGGCTAACAGACGGAACAAAGGTGTCGTGTGCTCACACGAGAATCTATCTTAAATATGAACTTTCATTTGGTATTTTGTTTATTTGTGATTGGAATGCTCTTTAAATCAACTGAAGGCGGAGTGAGTTTCTCGTGAACAATTTTTTTGGGAAAAGTCCATCGAGTTATAAAAAAATGTGTTGCACTATTTCTTTCAACAATAAATTTTGCAGTGTCAAAATATAATACCTCGAATTTACGACTTCTCATATATATACTATTTTATTAAAAATTTTATTCTTTTTATATTATCGTGCCTTTACAACTTGTACTTTTTTATTTGCTTTTAAATGATTTTTAAAAATTATTTTTAGAATAAAATGGACTTAGAAGGTCTCAAAGATATGTTAAAACCAATGAGCAAATCTTGTAAAACGAAAACTGGAGTCTCGGATGGTAATTAATGCGTAACATACAATGTATTTCAAATGTCGATAGATTAACATTTTGATTGAAATAACAGCAGTGGTTGCTGGTACAAAAGATGGATTGTTTCCAAAGGAAAGGCCACTTATGTGCTTTCTCAAGTGTCTTTCAGTGATGTTAAAAGCTGTGAGTAATTGTCAGTATGACCTATAAAATATTTTAAATAAATGATATTATTCGTTAACTGCCTTGGCGTTGGTTCTATTCGTTTAGTTAGATGCGCGAGTTAAGATGTCACTCTTAATTAAATTACAAATTATGTACGGTTGCAGATGAACAAAAAAGGAGAATTTACTCTACGTGATCTTAATAAGCAAATCGATTTGTTAATAATGGAAGATCTAGCTCCTCGAATGAAAGCAGTAGTGAAAAAATGTGTGGATAATGGTTTGTAATATTAGTATCACTTAAAATTCGACGATTTCATTAAGAAATTTCATAAACTTTTTTCCGTACAATTAAAATGATATAATCTACGTTTATCGGATAAATATGAAAGTTATAAAAATATATTTTACAGTACCTCCATCAGACGACCCCTGCGAATTAGCTTATAACATGGTTGTCTGTGGCTACAACGAAGATTCATCTGTAAGTCGAAGCGATTTATTTTTATGCTTGACGTTATTTGTCTAATTATCTATAAACATTTTGCAGCTATACTTTTTACCGTCATGATTTTTTACGGGAGTACAAAAAATATTTTATACAGAGAAAAATTTAACATATTTCGAATTTTATGTTCAAGACTCAAATTGACAAAAATGTAATAGCTGACAATCACCAAGATGAAAGTGATGTATCTATGTAAATGTTTTCTGTAAGTGTAAACATTGCCAACTCAATATTTTGTGAACAATTTACTTAAAAAGTAAAAAATTTGAATGTTACATAGTAATTTATATACATAATTTTAAGTCTGATTATATATAATTTTAATATTTTGAAATGTCGATGGAACTGCATTTTATATAGGTATTTTCTCTTAAAATTGTAAATACTAATCAAAATGTTGATTTGAAAGTTTACTAATTAAAAGATGTTCGTATCATTCTTGGAAGCATGTCAAATTTTCTATAGATTATTCCTATAAATGAAAGTAAGATAAAAGATCTTCATTTATATTTCTCTTTTGAAGATCAAGTTGTAATTTTAAGTCGATAAAATTCTATAATTAAAGTAATTATTATAGAGAACATTTATGGTTCTGTATAAAACAGTGTTTTATTTTTAAAAATTTAGTCTAATTCAAACAGACAATCTTTATAGATAATATAGTACAAGAATTGACTGTATATTCAATTCTGCATAGTTAACAAATTTTTGTATATTTTAATGTTTTTAGAGAATATATTCTTCATTCAGTATTCTAAACATATGAATGAATCCAAAACAAATTACTAACACTTCTCTTGTTTCCTATTTTTCATGCACAACCAATCTTGTGGTGATTCTTTATACATAGCTGGCACAGCCAAATGATTACTAGTGGTATAAGGTATATGCCATCCCTCATCACTTTTTTGTGCACAGGGATCGTATTGAATTGGTTCAACTATATTGATTATATGCCTTTTCTCTGGTACAGAATAAAAGAAATATTGATGCGACATTTGCCAATTTCTAAAAAGCTTCTTGAGTGTAGGATCTTCAAGTTTAAATTTATGTTGTCTCATCAAATCTCGAGACACAAAACATGTTTCAGATCCACTTGATAGAGTTAAATGTAGTAAGAATGGGTCATCTTGAGATCTGAAAGCAGGCAAAGACAAACAAATATTAATCATCTATTATGTTACCAGTAACTGAAATCTTATTGTAAAAAACCACGAATTCCAAAATTTTACATAAAAATTATGTTTCTATCTAAAGCAAATTAAATTAGGTTGACAAAGTTTTTCCAAAATTCTCATCAAATATAATTAACTTACATATTTTTTATATAGAAAACATCAGTGCTATCTTCTAATATTTTAATTTCTTTTGTTGACCACCATTTCATGTGTACACGTCCCACTACAAGAACTCGCTTTTTTCTTTGATGGAAATAGTTAACAACCTGCAAAACCTAAAGATAGCTTCTATGAAATAAAATTATAATAACTGTTAAAGCATAATTATTCTTTTGGAATTTACATTTTCAATAGATCCTTTCATATTTCCATTTACTCCACGAGTTGCATATGCAACATTCAATCCATCTATGATAACATCATAAGGTTTCATACTTTGCAGAAAAATCATATAATTTTTCAATTCTTGTGGAGATGTATTGCGATATACATCTTTTCCAACAATTAAATTTTTTAATATGGCTGATGACAACACTCTGAAATCTGTTTTAGAAAGTACAGTAGGTTGTAATGGCATATTACAGTGTTGGCAAATCCCTCTGAAAAAAAGTAAAATAATTATTTTTAATTTGTAAATTAAAGAGTATTATTTAACAGCAACTTGACAAAAAGAATCGAAATCTAGAAATTTGTTAAAAAATGTTTCGATAAAAATCTTGTACATTACAGAATACAAGAAAAAAACTCAAAATTTGATATAATCTTTGTTTACATACTTTGTAATAGAAGTTTTTTTTGTAGTATATCCAATAGATTTGAAAAATTCTTCATATGCAAGAATAACTGACTCTTGTGGTACAATAGTATATTTCTGCCATGAAAAAAATATTTTTTCTATTTCTTTGACTAATTTGTTTCTTTTAAAATTCCGTTTGCAATAATCCAAATATTCAACATAAACAAATGGTGATAAAGGTTGATTGATAAGAAATTCATCAATCATTTTCAAAGCCATATCACCTCGATCATTTCTAAGAGCTGCAGCAATTATTGCTGACATCTCTGTCGTCGTTGGTGTTTGAATAAACTTAATCATTTCAAGAAGTTTGAAACATTCTTCCCATTCTGATGTCAAAGATAAGCCAGCAATGCAAAAACTTGCTGATCTTGGATCAAGTAATTCGTATTCTTTTCTTATTTTTTTGTATACCTTAATGATATTTTTTTCTTCCTCTTTGGTTAATGGAGTCAAAGAATTTTTCTGTTTTTGATTCATTAACTTTAGGTATGTTGTCATAGTAGATAAATTAAGTGGGTACTCATTTCGTTCTAAAAATTCATAGTAATTGATACTTTGATCTAACCTCTTATAATAAGAACAAATATCATAGACTTGGGAATCAACATTTATTTCATTCAAGTGTTCAAATTTCTGTAACAACTCTTTCCTCACTTTGCCCCACTGGTTATCTTCAACTGATTCATCGTTAGCAAGTTTCTTGTTAATATACATGTCAGTTGTAACTAAATGACCGATGTTAAAAGCTTTCTTTTTATAATTATATTCTGTTCTAACCGTATTCAATTCAGACTTAGTACACATTCGTCTAGCACATTGTACTAGACAAAACAATGAATAACCATTTGGTCTCATTTTATAAATACTAAAAACAAAAACAACAGTACTTAAAATTATAGTTTAATTATCATGTAGAGGAGTAAAAATATGTAAACTGAATAGATAATTATTTTAAGATTATATTTGCTTCTTGTTTAAAAAACTATGACATGTTATTTACAAGCATCATTACAAAGTTGTGTAAATAAATAATATAACCTCTAAAGAAAGTTCCATTAACGTGTTTTCTCGGTGTAACAGAATTATTATAGTAAAAAACTTTGGATGCACGCAGAAGCAGACGCAGCTGACATGTTGATTGTGATTGGTTTGTTTTAGAATGATCGACCATGTATTACGCGTGCGTAGTGCTTAAGGAAAAACGTAGAGGGAAATTTGAAATACAGATGACAGGTGGATAGAATCATTACTTTTTTGGCAAGTAAAATTAATATGTGTGTAATAGGAATAACGAATGAATGTTGATAGTTGGGTTCTACTTTTTTCATGGTTGATTAGTATTAGACCAATTATAATGCGTCCTATTTGAAATGTGAATTATTTTTATGATAATCTTTTGAAACATGTATAACAAATAATCTGCACTTGCTATGCGAAAGATCGACCATACTCGGATGATGATCCATTATTTTTGAAAAAATCTGATTTGCATTTTGCTCATGGTCGAGTACAAAACGCACAGAGCATTCGCCGATAGCCTTCGGAAGGATAAATTTCGCGTGCCAGCCAAGAAGCAAACGAAACAAAGTGTCGAAGGAACATCAAACCGAAAGCCGAGTGTTGCAATGGCCGAGTGACGGGAAACAGCGCAGAGAGAATGTCGACGGCGAGTCAGAATTGAATATCAGTGTTTGCGTGTGAGCGTGAGTTTCGCGATAAGGGAACGATCGCGACGACGTTGGAGACGAGCGCGCGCGCGCTCGTGTGCGTCAGTCTCGCGCGAGTGGCTTTGGTCATGAGGCAGCAGCGCGTCGTCGCCTACTCCTCTCTCCGTGACGGCCACCTGGTGCTTGCGTCTCGGCGCCGCTTCGCCACTCTGGTGCCTCGCTCTTCCGACGTCGCTGTCGTCCGGGCGCCGAGGAGCAAGTGAACGGGCAAGGCAAGTCTCGGCACTGTGTACGCACGTACGTTGCGGCAAAGCGTGAAAGGTATACACACGCACGCGAGTGCAGTTTGGCAATTTCATACGTGGGCGAATGGTAGAACGCAGTTCGCGTCGTTCGACTTGCCGAGCGGCGATACGAACGCGTTGAAAGGCGATTTGCATTTTGAATCAGAGCTGCATCCCGCGGAGAAACGCATGTGAGTTCATTCAACGGTTGACACTGTATTTTCAGATTTAATCTTCGCTCGTTTGTGCGCCAATTTCAAAAGTAGATTGCGATTATTGGCCGCTCGCGGGGAAAGCGTTTCTTTCTTTTTTCACGTTCTCGGCTTTCGAAAAATCACAGTCATTCAAGAATTGCGTTAGAATTGCGTAACGAAGCTGCAAGCTGATAATGAAAACTTGCACGAGTTTTTTCTATGGATTCTTCATAAATATAGGCCATCGACGAGACTACACTTTCCGTAAGAAAAGATCACACGCTAATGAGTATTCGGACGTTAACGTGTACCACATGATCGTTGTAAGACATTAAGACTCGGTTTTCCATATAATTACAATGTGTCGTTTCCTCTTTAGATAACGACATTGTAACGCATGACATTGTATATAGCAATGTCAATTTTTACATTATAGTATATCAGAACTATTGTATTTTTTTTATCGGAAAAACGAAGTTTCTCATTGGAAATCAGATGAAACAATGTGACGCAAGATGTGAAATTCGCCGGCGCGTTTTTCCCAAAAACACATTGACACTTTCGATCACGAAGATTTCACGTGATCGCTATCTACGAGAATAGATCGTCAAATTATACTCCTTAAATATTGCGTATCGGCAATACGGCATTACGTGAGCCGAAAAATCGTCATTAAAAATTGAACGGCTCGATCTTCTTGAATAAACGTCTCTCAACTCTGTCGTGAGTGGTGTGTGCGTTCGGAGCGACAAAAGCTAGCGGAATAATAAAAATTCATCGTGATAATCTTGCTCTGTCGTTTGCACGATAAATTCTAGACTTTCTTTGCTATATTTTTATACAGGGTGGCTGCGCGTGCGAAGAACGACGCTCGCGCGTAAAATAATTGGACCCTCAATGGGGATCTCACGGCATCGCACGGTTTTCGAAAACAGCGTACAATCCGAGGATTTTTATCCTCTCAATGAGATCGCGGCAGTGGCGGTTTAGTGCGTCGTGAAAATTTGCAAAGCGCCAATCGATATTATCAAAGTAGCTATCCCAGTCGAAAGCGTGATAACTGATCCAAACGACGGCTCGGAATTGTTTTTTCTCCTCGGTGTTTGAATGCTTGTGCGTTTGCTCGCCTGCATTCACGTTGCAATATCATTGCTGGCTTTGCAATCAGCGCTCTCATTGTTTACCATTAGCAGAAACTAAGTTATCGATCAAAGATAATTGCCAACGATGATCATCGTTATTTAGCACTTTCCGCGCGAGCGGCACCGACCACAGCGAGCAGTCGAGCCGACAGCGAGGTAAAAAGAAGAAGCGACGTCGCAGCCGCGCTTCTTTCTCCGCGGACAGTTCGGTACAATGGAGAGCTACACGTCGGACTCGAGCGACTCGGACTCGGCCTCGAAAACGGTGGACCTCTCGTACTTGCACCTGGACTCGCAGGTGCTCCACGAGCACTTCGTGCGCACGACCTCACCGGGTCACGTGGAAACCCTGCTGCTGCATCAGAACCGGCTGAGCCACATACCCGACAGCGTTGTCATGTTCTCAAACTTGGCCACGCTCGACGTATCCAACTGCGGCCTGCAGAGGCTGCCGGACTTCCTGGCCGAGCTCACCCACTTGGTCTGTCTGTCGGCGAAGAACAACGCCCTGAGCAACGACTCGCTGCCGAAGAGCCTCGAACGCCTGCCGAATCTCAGGGAATTGAACTTGAGCGGCAACAGGCTATCGGAGTTCCCGGAGCAGGTGCTCGATTTACCTGGACTCAGGTATCTCTACCTTGGCGGCAATCAAATCGGCGAGATCGCCAAGGACGTCTGGAAGATACAAAGGTAAGAGATGCCTCTCTTGTGTTTATGTATATCTTAAGCTGTCCTACCTCTCTCGTGATTTATCGAACGCCAATTTTCGTTTTTGGCTCTAATGTCGCTCGTTAACGGTCACATAGCTAGTCCGCTTATTTTCAATGACTCACAGACGTCCTCCGATTATTGCCTGTGGCCGTTTATCTCTACAAATTTTCGCACTTCTACTTCGCTTCTCTTGGATTCACAGACTCGTGAAGTTACAATTATCTTAAACTAAATTTAATTAACTTAGCTTTAGCTTAAACTAAAGCCCAGACAGAAGCCTGGGAGTCGCTATGACAGAAAACGTCAATAGCGAAAGATCCGAGCGCTCGTCCGCAGCCCCCGCTGAGAATCCGCTCCCCCACGAGGTAGTCCATTCAACAGCTGAGGTTGCGATCGCAACACGAATCGTGGAGGTTCTGCGGGGCTATCTTGCTCGTATGGAGCAGGCCAGTCCCGGCTCAACCTCGCGGGTGTCACCGGTTGACGGCATTACTGCCTTCGTGTCAACCGTGAACGCATCAGGTGTGGCGATATCTCGTCGCCCTGTGCGACTCCCGATGTCGCCCTCTACTGCCCTCGAATTTAACAGAGTTATAAACTCGTTTCGAGGTGGGGAATTTTCCCACGGAGGGTCATCAGGAGTTCACCCGCCTGTTAGCCAGACCTTCGCGTACACTCCCGGACTGGCTGGATGTCGCAATGCAGTAGCCTGGGGCGCCCCAGCAATGGCTTGCAGTGGGAAAGGACGGGCGTCACCGCCCAGCCCGGAAGCGCGCCGAGTCTTCTGTCATTGTTATTACGATTCACTTTGTAAAATAGTTGTGACTGCAGTTGTTTATTCTGAATAAAATTTTTTTTTTAAGTGCATTAATTCGTGTATGTACTTCAGGCTTAAATTTGCTCAACTCAAGTTTCTGCTGCTTTACGTGACCGATTGAATTACGAATTTCTTAATTATTTCAGTCGAATAAGCTGAAAGCCCGAGCTCAATTCAGTCTAATTTAATATGTTAACTGTAAGTGACAACGAGTATCAATGAATATTCAACCCTTGCGCAAACTTTTATCACAGTTCGTCGTCGATAATTCGTGAAATACTAAAATATCCTGAGATGACGAAAAGAACTTATTGATGCGATAATAAGCCAAAGCATGAGTCTTAAAGAGAATTTTATTTTTGGTTTGGATTATTGGCCCAACTTTCGTCGGGCTCACAAAAAATTAGTATTTAGACTCATCAAGTGTCCCCCTCCACGGAAATCTTTAGTAAAAGGCGAAAGATTTATACGTGGTATGAAGGGAGACCAGAGTGACGAGTTGACGATTCGGCCTTCGTTATATCTACTAAAGACTTTTATTTCTGTTGCGGAGAGCGACGTTCGACCGGCCACCTAGCGGTCGACTCGTAAACCGTAGACTCGCTACGAGAGACCATGTTCCGTTTGTGGCGCAGCATTCAAAATCACGCGCGTGTCCTACCTTTTGCTAATGAGTTGCATCGTTACGGCGGTGCCGCTTAGTTTACAGGTTCTGTCCATAGGAGGTAACAGACTGACGGAAGTTCCATCCACATTGGGTCAACTTACGGCGCTACAAGCTCTAGTCCTCTGTGATAATAGGCTCGAGAATCTTCCGAGCTCCATAGCCAATCTTAAGAATTTAAAGTCGTTACTGCTGCACAAAAATAGTCTGAGAACTCTGCCGACCGAAATCATTACGCTGAAAAATCTTACGGAGGTATGTGGCTGCTCGCGCCCACTTACAACACTTCAAGCTACGCGATTTACACTTTTACGTATTTCCTCTTTTTCAGCTTTCGCTGAGGGACAATCCACTCGTTGTGCGATTCGTTTCCGACATGACCCATAACCCACCGTCACTCTTAGAATTAGCCGCTCGCGTAGTCAAAGTCAGCGAAATTCCGTACAGAGAGGAGGATTTACCCAGGACTTTGCTCAATTACCTGGACAGCGCTCATCATTGCGTGAATCCTCGTTGCGCAGGTACGAGTGGCAGCATCGCGACTCGCTTGCTCATATCGCCAAGTGCCGCTAATAACTAATGACTTTCTATTCTCTTCCTATCCAAGGTGTATTCTTCGACAATCGCGTCGAGCACGTCAAGTTCGTCGACTTTTGCGGCAAGTACCGGCTGCCGCTGCTCCAATATCTGTGCAGCAGCAAGTGCATAGGGCCGCGCGAGGGCAACGAGGAAGTCGTGAGCGGTGCTATGATCAGAAAAGTTTTGCTTGGCTGAAGCAAGTCCTCGCAACGTGCGCTGGAAAAGAGATGACTTGCGCTTTTATTCAACTGCGTTATTCGTAACAGGAGGAGGCGAACGACGAAAGCGCGAAAGGAAAGACGGCAACCCAAACGAAATGTACGCTTGTTGAATTGTAAGATGAATTTTCACGCGATTGACTTGATTTTTTGATGGGATTCTTTTTTACGATTGATGTCAATAAATTACACTTCGTGCAACTGAGCTCGTCGTTTGATTGATTTTGTAGCGAAGGATTGCTGGCTGGATGAGATTGACTGAACAGTACTAACGTTATTGTTAATATTTTATTGTTAAATAAACCACAAAAATGTACAGTAATGTCGTCGTTATAGCGCGCGCAGGCCGCGTGAGCGATGCGGAAAGCGCGATCATCGCCTTTTTCCTCGCAAACTGTTTTTACCACACATAGTATGCTACAAATATACTTTTTGTCGATATTCAGTATCTCGTATAATGCAATCATCACTCTATGCCGCATTCACTCGTCATCAGTTTTCTCTTGCGTTCGTCTGGCTTCATCAATTACTTGTCGTATAATAATTATCAGCTGTTATACTTTTTCATGTATATATATGTATACACTTTTGCAGTTGAAAATCAATTTATTTCTCTTTAGGTAAAAATTAATTCAACGTGTTTTCCTTCGTCTAAACGTGCGCGGTCATCTCTTCGTAGTTATCATCATTACGATATAGTTGATTTAACTTTTAAGAAATTAAAAATTACTAATTTCGAGAGAACATTGAATATACATCGAAAGGACGTGGAAACGTGGAAATTTTTTTCCAAGCTATAGAAATTCCTCTTGCAAAGTTATTACTCTTTAAATTTAGACCTGATAACGCATTTATCAATATCAAACAGAAACGGTAGTTAAATTTCAGTGGCAATAGCCTTGTTCACTAACGTATTTTACTTTTTCGTACGCACGACATCGATTGAATTTCTGAATTATTTCTAATTCGTAAAATGTTTAGAGTTCACTTTTCTGAACAATTTTCTCCCAACATCTATAATGCATTGCTTAATCTTCATATATGAAAGTTATTATCATTACTACAGATGTTTCAAGAAACACGTATAAAAAAAATCTGAAAACAATAAAAGAAGTTAGTCAAAATAAATCTTTCGCATTTAGTCTTGAAAAACGAAAAGGAGAAATCTGAAAAGACGTGCTCATACTCTACGAAGAATTTATTTGTGAACATTGACTAACGAGCCATCTAAATTCAAATAAACAATCGGTTAATGAGTCTTCACAAAAGTGTTTAATCGTCATGATATATGATTACTATTATTTATAATACACAACTTCCTTATTAATCAAAAGATGTTTTACATGAAATGGTTAAAATAATAAAGATAGTAGAACACTTAGAAAAAAAGAAAACATGTAAACTAATTATATCCATGTAATTTTTATTTGTTAATAATAGTAAGTAGGCAATCGTTAAACTTAAAAACGTCGCAACGATACGTTTATAAAAACTTAAAAAGAGAAGGATAGATACATTGTAAAGACTCGGCACTCGAATGTTCCTTCGAAGCAAGAAAATGTATTATTTTTACTTTTTGTATTATTTATTTTTGTTTACTTTGTTTCCTCGTCTCATTATAATCAGTGCATTTGTCGCTAATTTGTTTGTTTTCTTTTCGTTTGCATGCGGTGCACTAAACAATGAAATTTTCACGCTCGTTTACATTTATCTACAAGTATATGCACCCATTTAACAAGCTTCATTTGGATTCATTCATGATTCAGTCGCACGCTCGCAGATTAAATTATACACATACGGAATATCGTCGTCGCTATTTTTTTTTCTTGTTTATTATTATTATTATTATTATTGTAAATCGTTACTCGATAATTATACCCATATTGTAAACAATTATTACACTTATCGCCTTTTTTCATCGTCCAGATTTGTGTCGGAGTATGAAAGCAGAGCCTGGACAGCCATTAAAGATATTTTGAATACAACGCAACTTTGATTTGTTGACACACGCCTGTACTTTTACAAATGTTCAATTACATTACGCTAACAATATGTAGTATGGATTTGAAACCAACAGTAATTTGACAAAAAGAAAAATTCTTGAAAAACAAAATGTATTTACATAAAATGTAGGTGGTTAATTTTACCAATTTTTTTTATTTACATAATATAATTAATAATTCTTTTTTTTAATTATTCTGACTAAATGAGATTTTTTATTATTTCCATTCATATATAATATATACATTAATTAACACTTTACGCTGAGCTTATTTGGAAGCACTGCGTGAAAAAGTTTTTAAAACATTAGATATATACAAACACTCTTAAAATTGCTAACTCTACGTTTGCATAATGTGTCTAACATTATAAAAAAACCGATAAATTTTGACGCGCATGAGTAACGTTTGTAAAAGCACTGAGATCTCACAAATCAAAGGAACATTTTTCAAAACTTACAAATCATTTGGTCCAGCGAACATGAAAATCGTGGATTAAGAGTGCAAATAGGGCGACCTTGTATAATATTCACTCGCTCTATTTTAATATATCAGCATCCAATTATTTTCTTTTCAATCAATCCACCTCATGCAGAGAAGAAGAAATGGGAAGAAATGGTGTGACTGTGTGTCGCAGTAGCGTTATAACAAACTGTTCAATTTCGATATTACGACTACTATAATTTTTTTCTTTTCGTTTATATTTTTCATAATGTATAGGTACCTCGGTACAATCATTCCACTTTTTCCTTTCCTTAATAGCTGCGGCATTGTTCCATTTTTTTATTTACCTATTGATAAACCTTAATAGTTATTAAAATTAATTTGAATATATATTGTAAAGTAATATTTTTATATATATGTATATATATCATTTGTATATATAATATATATAATTATTTATACGTAGACTTTCGGTATTTTACACGGATCACGTAATCCTAAAATAGGTTTGCCTTTCAACATACATGGCTTCGAGACTTGCTCAAAACAAAATTTCATGAAACTCTCTTCTCCAAACACACCTCATCAATTTTATTTCTTCAACGTTCGACCTGTTATTATGATATTCATTCAAATTTTCTCTTTTATTTTGAAAGATTGATTCTCATACAACTGAAACTCCAATAACAACTAAACAGTGTCTGCGAAACTACTTTTTCTGAGATATATATAGTTAACTCTCGCTTTAGAAAAAACAACGATGAACGTTTTTCTACAATATACAAATCAAAAACCGTTTCGTTTTTTCTTTGTATTCCAACTGCAAAATAGACAAACATTATCGACATCAGAGATTTTTTTGTCTATGTTACAAATGTGTCGTACAGTAGATATTTATGCGATTTTTCCCTTTTTTCGGTGCTATATCGTTTTATATGTTAAATCTCTCTTTTTTACAATGTATATTAGGACGCAAGCGAGCTATATAAAAGTGATTGTTTATCTGTTTTCGTCTTACACAAAAAAACGACAATAAATGTGTTAATTTTATTTGAGCGATGGTGTCCTTCTTGGTTTTCAATGGCGTCATAGCAGGTTTTTCATTGAATTTCCTGACATTACTTTAAACTCTATTACAAATCCATCAATCCATGAATTTCACGGTATAGTTTGGCTTATGTGTATGTGTGTTCGATACAACTTTTATTTGCTTGAATATCTTATTTTAATGAAGGTGTTATACTTTGTCGTTACGAAAGTTTAAATCATCATAGGAGGCTTCATACCACTAACAATTTTTATTAGCTATTATTCTTTTATCCTTCAAATACAAACATACACAAATTGCTGCTATCCCCCGTTGCCAATCTCGTTGCTAAATCTTTTCTTTTTTTCTTTGTTCAACTTATTACGTTGTAGTTATGCATCGGATGCCTCGGTTATGGAAAGAGATTAACAGATGATAGTCTGAATAAACGACAATTGGTCAATATACACCACGCATTTAGTGTGTATTTGCAGAAAGCAAAATAAATAGCTTATAGCCGTCAAACGTTGGAAGAGGTATATTCTTGCTTATTAATTGGATTCGACACGTATTTGCAGTGCGCACGCATTCCTACAAAGAGTTAGAAAAAAGCCCAACATACCAGAGCTTGCAGAAATATTCAACATTTCATTGCCTATTTGAATACCAAAGATTCAATCAAAAGTTTGTGGATTTCAGCAACATCTAGACCATTGTCAGTATTATCGTCAAGGTATGCAACAGTAGGTCATTGTTAAAAAATCACATACTATTAAATAATTAGAGCGATAGCACTAAACTTTTGATCAAACCATTGGACAATCGGTGTCTATACACGTTGCCGCATAAAAATAATTTTTTTTTCTTTCAAGTAAACAACAGAGTGATTCTTGCATTATGTAATTAGTAAAAACTGATTGCGACACCACTAAAAATAAATTTCTATTAAAATATATAATAAAAGTTAAAACGTTCATTTCTGCCTCCATAATGTACACGCATCCTTCAGTAACGTATATAGATAACTGCCTTTACGTTGTAGGAAGAGGAACTCTACCAGTTCGTTAAGCTGTAGTAGCCAGGGACACTGTGATATGTAGGCGCGTGTCGGCAATCAACAGAGACGCAAGATTTTTACATTCGTTCGCACACTTATGAAATTTTTTTTTCTTATTTTCTTGGCTTTTTCACTTCGTGTGCATTCATACATATGTTACTAATTTTATTGTTTAGTTAATTTTTTTCTATGTAACTTTTTTTTCCGCTGCCAGTCGGGACTTCCATTAAGATTTTGAAAGTTAAGATTAGTGAAAAGTATATATTTATTTACAAGATAAGGCATTTGTATACGTAGATATATACGACTCTCGGAAGCTGTACGGTGTTTATTTTCATTATAATTGTTTTAACTATTTTGTTTTTATCTGTGTAATTCCCATATTTATCTAAAAGTAAATTACCAAGTTTTGATATAAAATTGATTAGTGACAGCTCTTGATTATTCAGATCTTTGCATACACAATTAATATTATAACAAGAGAATGTAAAACAAAAAAATCATACAAATTGAAAAAAATATTTTGTCATATTCGAAAATTACCATTTTATTTAAAAAATAAGTTCACTGATAAAAAAGTATACACGTATCCTTCAAAAATATTTCTACAGCCGATATAAATATTCGAACTCTGTAAAAAGAAGTAAGTCAAAAACAATTTATGTTATTGGCTTACATATTTTTATAACGTTGAATGTCCAAAATGAAGATAAAACATAGAAATTGAATAACTTATAAGACCGGTACCAAACAATTGTTAATTCTGAATCTTTATCGAGTCAAGGCAGGTATAAAAAAATTATTCTTTGTAAATTTCATAGCATAAAAAGTTCTTTGCTATTATACACAAACACATTCACCAGTAATAGATTGACAGCCTCAAAAACAACGTTTTTTACTAAGGGTGAAAAAATAAAAAAATGTACACATGTAAACGAAAATATTTTTGAGCGTATGTTTAAACTATTGATTTGTTTTTTGTAAAATTAAATAAAAGTTGTTAAACGTTCAAGTCGCTTTATTAAAAGTATTACTAAATTTTTTTTCACAAAGATAATCATTAATTTTTACAATCTGTTATAAATGAGATCGACACATTTTTATTGTTTAAAACGAGTCTTAAGGCTTATAAAAACCAAAAATCAATAAAAAAGAAGAAAAAAACATATGAATTAAGATAAAATCAGAAATAAAGTTTGGCGAAAACAAAACAGACGATGATATATTGACATTCAATCTCAATCTTTTTGTATGCTTGTCGATGTCTTTTTATGTATACGTATCCACTTCTAAAGAGGTTTCCTTCAATCAGTGAAGAAAGAGAAGCAAAGTAGGTACTTCTCTATTTGTCACAGTGCCTTGCGCGAGATTCTCGAGCTTCCGAGCTATCGATTTTAATTTTTTATAGAAAAAAAAGCTTTTCAAATACAATGTCATAACGAAACAAAGTCGCGCGCTTTGTGATTCACGTTTGATCGCGCAAGTGAGCTTGTGTTTTGTATGTATTTTTGTGTGGAGTATATGCATCTATAAAGTAGCGTAGAGGGCTTGAAAGACTTGAGAAAAAAGATAGAAGAGGAGAGGCCCTTGAAAAAAAACATTGTAAGGCCGAAGCGCGAGCTTGTTCGACTAAACGCTATTATTAGATAATATTTTTTTTCACATAGACGCATATATAGAACACATGTCTTTCTCTCTTGCACACAGCCGAAACTACTGTATAGCGGCGCTTTAATTTATCCCCCCTTCCCATTTTTCCTGGTGTGGGCTTTTTTCCTCGTTATCTCTTTTTAACCATTTTTCCCTTGTTCCTTTCACTTTCATAATAATAATAATTATAATAATAATAATATTATATATAATAACGTATATGCTGACATTAGAACTTTTTGCAATTTCATTTCATTTATTTCTTTTCTTGTGTTTCTTCACAAACTGTCGTTAAAGAACGCTCTTTCACCCCCCTCCTCCTCGCTCCCTCCCCCTTTTTCTGTCTATATACAATTCAAAAAAGAAGTTCGACCACACATATGACGAGCCAACACGGCGAGCTTCGTGCTTGGCTCTCTCTCTTTTTTCTCTCAGTGCGTTTATCATTCATTCTTTCTCGCGCACTTGCACTTTTTGCTGTTAAAAGTCCTTCTCTCTTTCTACCTCGCGCACGTAGTTCTCTCATTTTCGTAACATCCTACGAACCGTCTTTTTATCACTCATGAAGTTATATCCATAATATTTCTCTCGTGAACGTGATGTGGCAATGATGACGATTGTTGTTTACTGTCGTTGATGATGCGTATGAGACAATATCCGAAGGGTTGTTGCTTGCTTTCGACGCTACCACATTGAGGCGCGGCACGTTGAGTGAGTGTGTCCGCGTTGTTGTTTTTTATGTCAACGACGATGACGGGGGAGCGAGATTATATCGCTCTGTTTTCTTTTTCATATATCCCTTCCTGTCGCTCGATGTCACGCTGCTGCTGCTGCCGTAGCTACTTAACTCGCCGATTATTGTCGGCTTGAAGAGGAAAATGATACAAGAGCCAGGTGGAAAGAAAGATGAGAAAAAGAAGCCGATTCCCTGTAGATTGTTCACCTGTGAGAAATAAAGCTTTAATGTTGGTTTATGAATTCGAATTAGAACTAACGATACGTTGTATTAATTACCCTTCTTAAGCCATGTTCGATTGGTTAGGATCAGCATTTTGTGCGGACTGAGACGCAGCCTCGTTTGAGTTGCCAGCCACGCCAGATGCTTGCGAACCAGCAGCAGCCTCGTTGGTCGCCGAGGCACCGCCGGCAGCACTTGAACCTTCAGCTGACTGATTACCACCAGCAGCACTACCACCGGCTCCAGACGATTGCGAACCATCGACAGTTTGCATATACTTGGGTATCAGCAGCGAATTGAGATTCGGTTGAATCCTCAACTCGTGCTCGGTGAAGTTGAACAGAGGCGGCAATTCACGACCGTTTGGTAGCCGCGTCACTTGCTCGCGCAACTCGTCAAAGAAGTTGTGAGCGCATGCACCTAACGGTGTCATACGCAGTGACGGCGTGTACTCCAGCAGACGTTCCACCAAGTCCATTGCCTCGAGTGGCGTGCGCGACCTGAACACCTGTTTAGACACACGGGTGGCCATTAGTTCATACATTCTCTCAAGTATGTGGCAAGATCAATGATATACTTTTTTTATACGTTCGGCTTGGTTTATTACGGATCCAAACATTTCTTAAATTTGCTGCATACTTAAACCACCTTTTCTATGACTAAGATAACTTTTCTCGAGATAAGCATTTGTTCGTAATTATGAAATGTGTTCTTGATTTCAGAAAAATATGTCGGCATGCAACAGATTGAAGAAATTTTTATTTTGCAATGTTACACTTTACGAAGACTAACGATGGAGTTCTGCGAAATAATGATGTGATTTATAATTTACGAGCTAAGACGACACTTTTTTTTTAATTTTCATAGTATAAAATGACTACTATTAGTCTTCGTAGAATGCGTCGCGATGATGTTACAACACTTGTTCTAAAAAAATGTTCATTCTCTGTAATACAACAACAATAAAAAGATATGAATGACATGAAATTAACATTATTATTATGACGGCTATTACATGTACGGTTTTCTCTCTGTTATGACGTTATGTACGCACACCAGATAGTCGAACAAATAATATTTTAGTAAATTACTTATGAATGTTATTATTTATTTATTTTTTTTTTAAGAACAGAGTATTCGCATAAAAACAATTTCATGATGATTTTTTTTAAATTAATGGAATATGAATAATTTTTAATTTAGATAATGCAGTCGAAATGCTGGTGATTCATGGTAGAAACGAAAATATGTGACGATTATTAGAATGATGCTACTCTTCCGCAAAGTCATGTATGTCTTCGTGCCGACCAAAGCGGAGCACCAAAACATTAGAGTAAGTAAAAAAAAAAAAAAAGAAAATATTCTTGCAAAATTTTGAGTGATATTAACCATGGTTAGTAATGTTAGGTCTGCCGCAGTTATTTGAAGATAATGTCAATTTTCGTAGCTAGTAGATAGCAATGAAATAGTATAGAGACAATTTTTTGCGAGATACTATTATTGAATCGAACTTTCTCAATTATTTCGTTTTTTTTTGTTTTCGTTGCATTTGTTAGTTGAATCGTGTGTGAATTTCCTAGCTATGGCAGATATAGAGAAGAAAAAAAAAACACGTACAAAAGACAAACGTTTTGTGGCAGCCCTCTAGAATATCTATCACGAAACTTACTCTAATCTTTTGGTGCTCGGTGGAACACTTTGGCAAGCTCATTCGTTGAAGCATGTACTGTAAATCATGATTAATACATGTCGTTGATATGTGCACGATATGAAATGATACAGTCTTTTCGTTCCTTCACTTTTTCATTTCCTATCTCGCTCAGCAAGATCATAATACACTTAAGAATACATTTTCCTCGATCAAGAATTATTATCTCGAAAAAAGTGAATGATTCTTTAGTCACATCCAAGAAGTTAAACCAAAAACCCTCATGACATTTCGAAACAAATAAATGACGCTCGATCCTAATAGTTTACATGGACAAAAAAAAACGAAGTAAAACGTTGGATGGAGTCATTACCTTATGCCAGGGATGAGACTTGATTTGCGGGAATTTGAACTCAGTATAATTGGGATTCATTTCGCGAATCTGGTCGCGGGTGGGTGTGCCAAGAACCTTAATGATTTCAACCAGTTGGTCCACGCCGCTGTCGCCTGGGAATATCGGTTGACCCAGTAATAGCTCCGCCAGTACACAACCAGCACTCCACACATCTATTTTCAAACATACACACAATCGTCATTAATTATTTTCGCTCTATTCATATTACTACTGTCATCATTATCGACGATTCTCAATATTATCTACTTCTATTTACAACAGCGAACGAAAGGCAGATTGGTTTTTTCCTTCGTGCATTTTCCTAATCGGCTTTTGTACGTCGAAAGGTTTAAATAACACGAGCATATACGACTAAAGAAACCATTGCGTAACGTGTCGCTTTAGCAATTAGTAGACGAATAATTGGAATTAAAAATTATGCAATAACAATAGGCTCGTCGACTGCTCGTATACAATTCTGCACTTTAGGCATTAACAGCCGAAAGCGATTGTTTTCTTTTCCCTCTCTTGTCCGAATCACATCCCACCACAGTCGATGCGTTTTCGATACGACGAATGCGAAAGTAGATTGACATCTAGTGAATTCGCTCGAGTGATGCAAAGCTGTTTATCTCATTCTCGAATTAGAGCAGCGCGCACGTACAATCGAACGGCCTTCGCGCCTCCTCCCGCCCCTCCATCGGCAAGTGCGTACCGATTTTCGTGGTGTAGTCAATAGCACCGAAGATGAGCTCGGGAGCACGATAGTAGCGGCTGCATATGTACGAGACGTTGGGCTCGCCCTTGACGAGATGCTTAGCCGAGCCAAAGTCGCAGAGCTTGAGTATGCCTGTCTCCGGGTCGAGCAGCAAGTTTTGCGGCTTGATGTCCCTGTGGCAGATCCCTAACGAGTGGATGTAAGCGAGCGAACGAAACAGCTGATACATGTATAACTGCGGACAAGAAGGGCGAACAAGTGTAAGCTTCATAGGGCGGGGGAGGGGGGGGGCAGGGGGGCCGCTCGGTACGGAGATGAGTCGGCATTTCCGCATACGCACCTTAATGAAACTGATTGGTATCGTCTGCTTGCTCTTGTTGTAGTGTCGGGCGACTTTGTACACGGTTTCAGGTATGTATTCCAGGACTAGATTCAGGTAAACCTCGTCCTTCTGCAAAATCAACAGAGAGCGCGCTGGTCAGTGTGCGGTGACCGAGGACCCGCTTGTTGTTCATCCAAAAACGCGAGTGCGTCTCGTGTTGTTTGCGTGCGGCGCAGTTTTCAAAGGCGTATCGTATACACAAGACACAAGCACGACATAGTACTGCTGTTTTTCGAATATCCTCTATAACTAGCCAAGCGGCGTTCTGTAGCTACTCAGAAGCTTACACTCTTTTTCTTGTCTACCGATTTATTTATTTGCTTTTTTTTTGTTTTTATTAATGGAGAAGCATGAACTGCCTAAAAAGACTGGCAATCAAAGGATTGATCTCTCACTGACTGTATTACTGGGTTATTACGCTTTTAACTTACGTCCACGTGAAAAACTGGATTAGTTGCGTTTAAGGCGTTCTACAAAATATAACAATCATCGCATGCGTTAAGAAAAGAAGGTGAATGAAAAAAAATCGTCGGTAGATCTGGACTTTCTTTCGTCAGGCTTCAAAGTTCGAAACTAAAACATCAGTGAGAAACGAAAGAAAGCTTTTTTGAAAGGGCCACGTCCGCATTAATATTTCGGTTCCGATTCGCGTAATGGTTGCTTTGAATAACGCAGAGAGGCTCACCTTTTCACCACTCGAGTAGAAGAAATACTTGAGTTTGACGATATTGCAGTGCTCAAGACGTCGCATGATTTGCAGCTCTCTGTTCTGCAATCGGGTGGAAAAAGAAAAAAACAAAAGATGAAAATCGTCGGTTATCAGTGTCGAGCGATCGGCGCGAGGCGATAACATGCCGAATAAATCTTACCTTGAATCGCTTGTCTTGCAAGACCTTCTTGATAGCAACGGTCTCGCTGGTCTCACAGAGTTTGGCCTGGTAAACGACGCCGAAGCTGCCATTTCCGATGACCTTGGTGTCGGTGTATGCGATCTCCTGGGGACGGTCCGGTCCGGCGCCGGGGGTCGCCACCACTGTTGTCACCTTGCTCCCGTCTTTGCCTGCGTTATACGTCGCACCGCCCATAGAAAGCAAACGCAAACATCGCATGTAAACATTACTCGCTTCTCTTTGCTTTTGCTGCTTCGCATGTAGGTATGTGCGTGCGTGTAGGTGTGTGTGTGTGGGGGGGGGGGGGGGGATTACAAGTCATGCATCGTTCTTTTACGTCCTCGCTAATGGTTCACGTGAATACGCGCTGGTAAAACCTGAAATACCAGCTTCGATCAATTAACCAGACTCTTTCTCTCTCTCAATAAAACTAATCGCCCGGTGCAGCTGCTACGTCGGCTAAATTAAAAGTCCACTGCGTCTTCGTTCTCTTCTCTCTCTCCTGACCTTAATAACCGGCACTGCGTCTCTCGAGGACTTCGGCACACGATTCTAACGGATGAAATCGTCTACCAAGCCAAAAACTGGCCGCAATGCCGGCCCGTGGGCTCGCCGCCTCTTGGCAAGCGTTTCTCGAAAGAAAAAAAAAAAAAAAAAAATGTTATCTCTACGCGCGAGACTGCGACGATACCGGCGTCTCGCGCACACTCAAGCAAGCTTACGACTGTCGAATTAGATGCATGCACATACGCGTGTACATATTATACACGGTCACGCCTGCGTTCAGAGTTCTGGCGCGAGGGAGGCACTTTGTAAATCACACGCTCGCTTCGACGAGGGCGATCGGAACACGGTGGAAATTCGAAGAGTACGACATAACCCATAACGCACGCTTAACCCCCAAATGCTGCCCCGATTGCGCAACGAGCACCGAATGGATGACGAGTGCTCGGTTATCGCTCTCTATCTCTATCCATCTCTCTCTCACGCTGGTATTTTTTCCGCGTTGCCTTGGCGTCGCGTCGTCTCCTCGTATCCATCGGCACGGCACAACCGATCCTTTCTTCGTCCGCGCGTTGGCTCTGTATGTTATTTGCGATAATTTTTTTTTTCTCTGAGCGACGACAGTTGAGCGCGCGACTCGATGACGATTCACTTTTCGTACGTCGACGAGCGAGAGAAGGGGAGAAAAAAACAATAAAAGACGAAGAACAAGCAGAATCCACGTTGAGTCGTCGCGAAAGGCTATTAATAGTTGCTCATCTCTCCGTGAAATAAGCAGCTGTTAGTCCAAAGTGGCGAGTGCCTGACGTTTCGTATATACCTCGCGCGGTGCGATAAATCAATCGATCTTCGCGGAGGCAATACGTTAAATCGTAAAAAGTGTACTCGGGACAAAACATAGAGGAATAGAATAGATAAATCATCGAGGTGAAATCTTATCGTTCGCGCAGAGGTTTCGAAAGCTTTTTTCCTTGCCCCGGCACAGTTAGAATGAGAAAATGGCAGTTCGCTTGCCCGTCAATAAAACGTCTTTATTTTGTTGTTTGATCTTCACCGACAAAAAAAAAATATACATATACAAACGACGCGAAGTTAATCAACAGACGCGTACTTTCGAGGGAAGAACAGCGGGCGCGGCAACCGAGATTCCCGTCCGAACTCACATCTCTTGGACTTCAACCGTCTGAGGAACTTGCAGATTTTCTTGTAAGCCGTGTCGGCTTGTTTGTCACTGAGTTCGACGGAGCTTTGCGTTTGCACAGCGCGTTCCGTGGCTTTGGCACTGCTACCCTTCGGGTATCGCCAGGTCTGCCGCGGTTCCGACCAGTCCAACACACTCGCCGGCGCCATCGTTTTGCCGTCGCGAACAATCACTTTGGAACACTCGATCGGGGACGGGGGAGGGCGCACCGCTACGGCACTGTAGCGTGGCTCGCCTAACCGAGCGCACACGTCGTTCTCGACGACGACCGCATCTCGGTCTCGCCCGTCATCTCGCTGACTCGGCGCGCGATTGCACTCGTGGAACGCGAGCGACTAGCTCGAGTGCCGCGAGAGCGACGCGAGAAATACGCGTGCGAGCCGCCGCCGTCGTCGCTCCTGCCTCCGTGGTGGGGATACGCGCCGGGTATTATGCCGTGCGTGTGTCCCCTTCTCGCGCCCGTCTGCGCGTTATAGCGGCGGCCGCGTCATTATCGTCTTTTTTTCTCGGCGCGAGGATCTTTGGAGAGCTCACGCGTGCCGTCTAATATAATCACTCGAGGCGAGAGTCGCGGATTCTTCCCGGCTAGATATCACTGCGTCTATTTTGGCGACCGAGTCGAGGCGTTAAGTGGGTCACCCTTTTCGGCGATTTCGAGAATAGACGCGCGCCCGTATCGCGTTGCACACCCTTGCGAATTTTCGGCCCGAGAGCCGCGCGCTGCGAAGACGACGAACGCACGACAGAGACAGATGAAATTGACAAGATAGACGTAATCCTTCTTTATTCTCTCTTATTCTCTCTTTTTCTCTCTATTTCTCTTATCAACCAGCGGGACAAAAAAAAAAAAAAAAAAAAAACCACGCGCTACCCGATACGATTAGGACGCACGACGACGATCGCGAGCAGATAAAAGCGAAGAATTACGACAGCCAGAGCAAATTATACAATGTCTGTTCGTCGAAGACGACGAGCATTCGACGGTCTCCCTCGAAGGCGCAAACTAAAATGAGAGAGCGGCACAAGAGAACTCGTCAATGAGGCTAAAAGCAGCGACGGTTCATTGAAGACGCGGCCGATAAATCGATGAGCCGAGAGGCTTTTCCGTAGGCATTTCACGCGCGACCGGCCGCCTTGGTCGCTCGCATCCCGATCAATTCCGCCGGCTGCTCCCGGAAGCTGCAAGAGGATGCAAGGGAGCTCTCCCGCTGCCCCCGCCGCGGATGTATTTAAGCGGCGTCTCTTTCTCACGCAACGCTCGGAGAATAAAGAGACGGGCAAGTGCGCACGTGCGCGCGTGACGTCAGCCGGCGGAGTCCGCGCGCGCGTGTGAAAAACGCGGCCGTGCGGCGACGCTCGGCTTGCCCCGGGCCGAAATTATGCCCGCGGGAAAATGGCAATTCGGCTGGATGCAGAGGTGCGCGCGCGCGCGCGGCTAAATTTAGCTCGCGCACTGCAGGCGGCGCGGCAATGATAACGACAGCTGCGACGTACACGCGCCAATGACTCGTCCTCTCGTGGCGAAGGCTCGGAGAAAATAAAATGAACCGAATGCACGGTTTCGCCTTTCGCGACGCCGGTGAATTACGTTGTATCAGAGGCGAAGAAAAAAAAAAAGAATATCCTCCTTTCCCCTTATTTATAGCCTCAAGTTCGATCGTGAAATTGTTCTCCGGCAGTTATTATGGGCAAAGGTCCTTTGACACAGTCGAGGCTAAGTGAATTTAATTGCGGGAGCAACTGCTCCGCGGATATCCGCTGTTCTAAGCGCCTTGCCAACAATATACACTTGCGCGCACTTGCGCGACAGATCGTTGTCTTCTAATATTCTGACGCGTTACGTAAAGCGTCGAGTCGCCTTTTGCGAATGAAACGCCTTATCATATCGCTCATTGCCGACGCACCAGCGCGCCATTTGCGCAATGATGCCGAGACAAGGAAAGCTCTCTCTCTCTCCCGGCCGCGCGGAGACAAAAGGAAAGCACTTTTCTTTATCTTCGATCGAGAATTTTCCGGCTTTCCGCGTTTTTCTTTTGCGCGGTGACATGCCGAACGTCCACCATTCGCCTCTCGCGGCTTTATCTCGTTTGGTTGACTTATCGATGACGCGCCGCTCGCAACCGAGTCGAAATACCAAACTATTGCGCGCCTCGAAATCGCGACGAGGCGAGAGCCGCGACAACAAATTTCGAACGACGCCGCGTCCAGGCGTGATAAAACTTTTCAACTATTACGACTCGTTGCAAGAGAAAATGATGATCGCAATCGCGACGAGCGCTGCCGATCGAATAGTAACGCGCGCCTGTGGCCTTTTGTTTGCCAAACGCGCTTTCGCGTTTTTCCGAGTTCCGCCGAGATTCGCAAGCGCGGAATCGCGATCGTCCGACATCGAGGATCGAGCGCGGAAAATATCCGTGAAACGTCGAAATCGGGTCACGCTCGACGCGTGCACGACACTTGCGCCGCCATCCTTCAAAATAATATTTATGCAATGCATTTATTTTCGTTCCGGGCGAGCGCACGTAACGTCCAATTGCAAAATGGTAAAGTCACTTGGCCGCGCGCCCCCCAATGCGCGCATTCGCGAACATTTCCAGTGGTCACGTAGCCGAGGGTGTTTTATTGCGTTTGCGATAATGGCTTTACAAGTTTTGATGGATGTTGAGCAATTGATATTGAATTTAAAACTCTCTTTTTCTCCGAATCGTTTTGAAAGTATCACGGAGGCATGAGGAAGAAATCTTGACATCAACGGCGATCCAAAGCAAACGCGAAATCGGAAACAATTTTAACACTCCGCCATTCAGTGAACAACCTCTCGCATTTGGTATTTTACGGAAAGAGGATGAAACGCCAAGGCTATGCACAAAAATGTTTTTTTTTTTTCTTCTTTCGTCGAGAGAATGGTTAAATCGAGGACGTTTTGTCTAATTATAGAAGAAAGATTTTATTTTTTTTCTCGACAACTCTCGAAAATAACACCGGCCGGCGAGTGGACTTTTATCGCCGTTTATTTTTATAAGTTTTTTGAGATGCGTGTGCGTGAGTCGCGCACGTAACGCGCACTGATCATACTGTCGATTACTTTGTTGTCCGCTGTCTTTCAATAAATCAGTTTTAATATATTTTTTTCTCCTTAATTTTTCGTTGTTTACGCGGTCAGTAACGATCAAACACGAGAGACACGAGGATTTTATTTTTGTTAAGCCATGATTCCACTAGTCGTCAAACGAATCGTATTCAAATGTCAAGGCCGATGAGAAAAAACGTGGAAGCGCCGAAAACACAGATCGTTCACTTTCAATCATCGACGATTCTGGCTGACTTCCAGCGGTCGATCAATCGCCACGCGCATTTCCGCGCTTAATTTTCTCACACCCGCGCGTCGGAAAATTTTTGCGCATCCACACCGGAGATAAGCGCGAGAGCGGAAAGTTTTGCCGGGCGATGATTTGTTTTCAAAAT